TCTATCCACCTATCTATCCACCTATCTATCCACCTATCTATCCCGTTTACTCGTTAATTGTAAGACAGGTCGTTCGTGACCTAAATTTGCGAGATTTTTAACTAAAACAACATTCATTCATTCATATTTTCTCTCTCTCTCTCTCACTCTCTCTCTCTCTCTCTCTCTCTCTCTCTCTCTCTCTCTCTCTCTCTCTCCTTCCTCTCCGTCTCCATTTTCTTTCCCTAACCATGTAATGATATGAAGAAACAGGTAATCTTCATGATAGAACCCTAAGGGCAGAAGTGTATGGTTGTCTTACATTAAAAGTTTTAAATGGAATTTATATTATCGTATGTTTGAGTATAAGTTGACTTTCAAACTGACCTAGTAATTTTTCAGTACTACTCATAATAAATAGATGTACGGATGTACATGGAATTTCAATGGTTACCTAAAGGGGGGAAACATTTTAGAAACTGGAAAGACAAGAAAAGACGGCTTCGGTTCTTTTAAGCCTGTTTTAAGTTTATAGTTTTTGTTTTGGTAACGTAAAAGTGATCGGAGAAGACCTCTTTCACTTGCCAATTTCACAATTTAAAATTAGTAAGGCTAGAGGAAGGTTTACCGTAAATGACAAGCGATAAAGAATATTCTTGAGCGTATCATCAAGAGTGAGGCTTTTGAATTTAAATTGTTAACAAAAAGAATATCTATTGATATGTAAAAGTTTTATAATAAAATTACTTTTTTTTAATTGATTAACAGGTCTCGTCTGCCTATGCGAGAGAAACGCTAAATACAAGACTGTTTTGGTTTTTTTAAGTGTATTACTTTATCGTAAGTTTATAACTCAACTTTAAGTTTATAATTCGGGCTTCGGATCGGTAAAATTATTGAAAAACGCAAAATGAACTTTCATGTTAACTTAATTGACAACTAGCTGGGATTTCGAAAGATTTTTGTACAGATGACGCGAGAAACCAAAGAATATTGGTGCAAGGTCTATGGCAGTTTGTATCTTTAGTAGTAGTTGAAATAAGTTTAAAAAATAATAATTTTCTGATTAAATGGTGTGCCTATACGAGAGAAAAACATGTTGAAAACGCTAAATACAAAATTGTTACTGTACTTTTAAGCTCATAACTTTATCATAAGTTTGTATACCAAGACCCGAGGGGTTAAATGCCTGGGCAGACTCGTACCCCATCCCTAAAAGGTCCGGGACTTGGTCGGTGCACGTGTCGTGCATAAACCTCTTGGACTTGTTCACAAACCCCAAGATTTTGGACCATTTAATCTCGGGGAGTGATTTGGTAATGTCCTCTCCTTCAAAAGTTTCGAATCTATGGCATACCTATCACACTCTGCGAGGTAGTGCTTTGCCGTTTCTTCTTTTATTTCACAAAAACAAAACGCAGAAAGGGGTCTGGTAAAATACTCATTACGAAGAGGTGTCTTCTCAAAGGACAATGGCTCGTCAGGATACCTACCAGCCTCCTAATTCCCTTCCTTGAGTTAGAGAATATCCATTTCGATTCTTTTGGTTTGATTTCCTTCACGAACTCCTTCGATTGCCTATGTCCGAGGGACAGATTCCATTCTTTAAGGAATTGTTTCATGCCACAGCTATTAATACTCTCTTTCGCCGTGCTTATAGAGAGGGGTAATACCGGTTGCGGCCCGACAAACGCAGTATGTGAGCCTTCTTTGGCCAGGCTATCCGCCTCTTCATTGCCTTAGTGTCCTTTATGTGCTGGTATCCAAATGAGGGTTACCCTATTCTCATACCTAGAAGTGATACTATTGATAAGTTCAACAGTTTCCTCCACCAACCTAGATGTTGATAACTCTTTTTGTAATGACTGGCCTGACTGTCGGAAAAAATTCTATCTTTTCCCTTGATTTTAGAATTTTTTCCTGTATTATAACTTAAAACTTTAGGTTTATAGTTCGAACATAAGATGATGGTAAAATGATAAAAAATGAAATGAATGGATTTTGTAGTTTTGAAATGTTTTAAAAAAATTATATTTATTTATTTTTATTTTTTAAATTTTTTTTAACAAATTTTTTACGAGGGAGCAGAGTCAGATCAACCCTCAGGGTGACGGTGTTTTTTGGGAAAAAGCCCATTTGTAAGTATGTCGGGTTCGAATGCAGGGCCGCTGGATTCGAACCCGGGACCTTTACCTTGCAGTGATGGGTGCCGTCTTAACGCCTAAACCGTTGCGGCACCGAAAAAAATAAGTGAAAATAAACTTTAAAAAAATATAATTTTCTGATTAAATGGTTTGTAATAAAATTATAACTAGGAAATTAAACGTCTGCCTGTACAAAAGAAAAACATGTTGAAAACGCTAAATTCAAGATTGCTTCTGTTCTTTCAAGTTTATAAGTTTATATTGTAACTTAAAACTTTAGGTTTATGGTTCGGGCTTCGGATCGGTAAAATTATAGAGAATGAAATGAACTTTCAAGTTAACTTACTTTAAAATTAGCTGGGATTTTGAAAGATTTTTTATAGATGACACGAGGAAACAAGAAAATCGGTGCAAGTTTTGAGGACTGAGGCTTTTTGTATGTTAATTATATTGATTATATAATAAAACCAGTTATTTTGATTTAATCTGTAAACCACATAAGCCTTAAGAGAAAGAGAGATTTTTTTTAAATATCTACCATTATACAGGCTCTCTCTCTCTCTTTCTCTCTCTCTCTCTTCCCCTCTCTCTCTCTCTCTCTCTCTCGTTTTCGTTCGCTCGCTCGCTCTATCTATCTATCTATTTATCTATCTATCTATCTTTCTTTCTTTCCCTTTCTCTCTCTCAGCTATCTATTTATCCATCTCTCTTTTTCTTTCTTTCTCTTCCTTTTCTTTTTTCTTTCTAAGTACGTTTTAGCTTAAAGCTCTTTATTGATTGGTAATGATAAAATTAGTAGAAAAGACAAGTGACTTGCAAATTTCACAATTTAAATTTAGTTTGCGTTGTATATTTCTATAGAGGACAGCAAGACACAAAAACTATACTTGGGCGACCTATGAAAGCTGTGGCCTTCGGTATTTTAAATGAAATCTTTAAAAACTTATATTTTTGAGATTACTGTTATGATTTTTGGATAGGTATACGTAAAAATAGATTAAAAGTCAATATTGATTTTTCTATCGAAATATTCTTCAATTTAAAATTAGTTGGAGTAGTGGAAGGTTTTATTGTAGACGACAAGGGGAAACAAAATATTCTTGAGCAAACCATGAAATTAAGTCAAAAAATAATTTATACTGATTTGGATAATTACCTTCTACTAAAACAGTTTTAACAGGTTACCAGGTAATTTCAATTGGAGCTGATAGGAGAAAACACATTAGAAAACGCGAAAGGCAAAATAAGACTCTTTCTGAACTTCTAAGTAAACTAGTACATTTTGAGCTTAAAACTTTTTGATTTAAGTCGTAAAGCACGTAAGTTTCAAGTTGAGTTAACTTAAGTATAATTTACAGATGCATCAGTTACCTGCAATCCACAATCCTGAATCTCTCACTCACTCACTCACTCACTCTCTATCTATCTATCCACCTATCTATCCACCTATCTATCCACCTATCTATCCCGTTTACTCGTTAATTGTAAGACAGGTCGTTCGTGACCTAAATTTGCGAGATTTTTAACTAAAACAACATTCATTCATTCATATTTTCTCTCTCTCTCTCTCTCTCTCCTCTCTCCTCTCTCTCTCTCTCTCTCTCACTCTCTCTCTCTCTCTCCTTCCTCTCCGTCTCCATTTTCTTTCCCTAACCATGTAATGATATGAAGAAACAGGTAATCTTCATGATAGAACCCTAAGGGCAGAAGTGTATGGTTGTCTTACATTAAAAGTTTTAAATGGAATTTATATTATCGTATGTTTGAGTATAAGTTGACTTTCAAACTGACCTAGTAATTTTTCAGTACTACTCATAATAAATAGATGTACGGATGTACATGGAATTTCAATGGTTACCTAAAGGGGGGAAACATTTTAGAAACTGGAAAGACAAGAAAAGACGGCTTCGGTTCTTTTAAGCCTGTTTTAAGTTTATAGTTTTTGTTTTGGTAACGTAAAAGTGATCGGAGAAGACCTCTTTCACTTGCCAATTTCACAATTTAAAATTAGTAAGGCTAGAGGAAGGTTTACCGTAAATGACAAGCGATAAAGAATATTCTTGAGCGTATCATCAAGAGTGAGGCTTTTGAATTTANTCTCTCTCTCTCTCTCTCTCTCTCTCTCTCTCTCTCTCTCTCTCTCTCTCTCTCTCTCTCTCTCTCTCTCTCTCTCTCTCTCTCTCTCTCTCTCTCTCTCTCTCTCTCTCTCTCTCTCTCTCTCTCTCTCTCTCTCTCTCTCTCTCTCTCTCTCTCTCTCTCTCTCTCTCTCTCTCTCTCTCTCTCTCTCTCTCTCTCTCTCTCTCTCTCTCTCTCTCTCTCTCTCTCTCTCTCTCTCTCTCTCTCTCTCTCTCTCTCTCTCTCTCTCTCTCTCTCTCTCTCTCTCTCTCTCTCTCTCTCTCTCTCTCTCTCTCTCTCTCTCTCTCTCTCTCTCTCTCTCTCTCTCTCTCTCTCTCTCTCTCTCTCTCTCTCTCTCTCTCTCTCTCTCTCTCTCTCTCTCTCTCTCTCTCTCTCTCTCTCTCTCTCTCTCGTTTTCGTTCGCTCGCTCGCTCTATCTCTCTCTCTCTCTCTCTCTCTCTCTCTCTCTCTCTCTCTCTCTCTCGTTTTCGTTCGCTCGCTCGCTCTATCTATCTATCTATCTCTATCTGTACCTATTTATCTATCTATCTACCTATCTCTCTCTCTCTCTCACTCACTCTCTCTCACTCTCTCTCACTCTCTCTCACTCTCTCTCTCTCTCTCTCTCTCTCCCTCCCTAGAGTATTTTTTGGATTATTATTTGGTATTACTTTTCAATAAAATAATCATTTTTATACAATTTGACCGGGACCGTGACGGCGAGGAGGGGACACTCCCTCTCCCAACAAGGTGATAACAGGTATCGCCGCGTGGAAGAAAGTCAGTTGGACTGGAGATGAGCGGCCGGTTCGACGTGAGCAAAGGTGTCAGCAGGAGCCCCGGGGGCGGCTACGAAAACCCGGGCCTCACTCTTGACGGCGAATATCGGGCGAATGAAGGGGACGAAGGGGTGAAGGGAAAAGGGCCGACAAGGGAGAGGAACTCTTTTTGCACCCTCACCCTCGAAGCGCTACCACGTCTCGACTCGTACAGCAACATCAAAGGGTGCAACAAAAGGCCATCCCTCGGAGAACTTCACGGAGAACCGACATTCATCAAAACGGTAATTATTACAAAAAAATGCTACTACTATCATGTACGGCTAATTAAGGACCTTAAGATCAAGGATGAGATTCCGGCAGGACACTTTATTTCCTTAAATAACTAGGAAGATATATAAAAAATCATGGTATTGTGAAATTTTCTCTTGAGGTATGTGATTAACAAGTATTTTGGTCATTTTCAATCATACTTGTGTCAATTCTATTCGGAAATGATCAAACTTTGTTAAATATGAAGCTGGAAGATTTTTTTTCTCGCCTGCATCTTGAAGCTTTTTAAATTTTTGACAGTAAAACCTTTACTTTGTACTCTGTATTAGTTTCCATCAAAATCTAAATCGCAACTGCTTGGTGTTTCTTTAGGTCTTGGTAGTTTTATTTAATTACCTCTAAACTATTTTAAAAATATAATCATTGTTCATATTTTTAGTATTGTTTTTAGTTTATTCATAGTTTTTACCAAAAAACCCTATTTTTTCTATCATATTCTACTTCATTGAGTCAATGAAGATTACCCAAAAGAACGAATATGTTCATTCAATTTCTAAACGCACAATGAAAAACTATTTACTATTGATTACAAGTTGACGTTTCGTATTTTAAAAAAACGCAATTTTTCAAAATTGGTTCGACCAAATCGCTTATTTGCGCTTTCTTCTTGTTCTGACAATCTTTGGGTTAAAGGAAGCTTAGAAATAAACGTCTAGTCAATCTAATTGAACTGTTTGTTAAAAACGTTTATTTAAAATCAATTTACAATATTGACAAGTATTTCAAATATTTTCCCAACAGTATTGTTCTGTAAACAGATCGGTGCAAATAACACATCGTTTACCTCTGACGATTTGTAGTGCTGATAATTAACAGACTTGCATAAATTTACGATATATCGCTTAATACATAAAATACTGAATACATGGCTGGGCAGTGTTTTTTCTTTATTGAGTGTTCAACTTGAATTATTTCTTATTCTTTAAAAGTCTTAATTATTAAAAATTACACTAAAGTTAAAACCCAATCTAAATTTTTGATTAAAATATATGAAAAATGAACAAAGCCCAGTACGAGCGAGGTGATGCAATTGGTACACCATGAATCTTTATACAGATTTAATCTAAAGTCTAAATTTGACGACAGGAAGATAAAACATCGAGTGAACTCAAGTGAACATCGTTTCAAACTGTATCAATTTGCCATTTTTTTAATTTTATATTAAAAATCAAAGATAATATTTGACAGCAAACACTCAATCCCTTCGTTGATATTTTTGATATAGAATGGACACGTGTATCATCTCGTTCATTATAAATTCAATTTTTAATTATTTTCTACTTGAAATCATAAGTTCCAATATTGAAAATAAATGTTCTTAGAACCTGTTACGATCTTTTAAATATTAATGATAGTTTAAAAATCCTGATGAAGTTTATTCCTCTAAAGTTCGTCGAAGGATCTGAGACTTTCAATTTGCCTTTTTCACGTTTTGTTTCTTTAATGTAAAATTATAATATTGAAGGATGATGTTAATTATATCGGAGATAACTTCAATTTACCTCAAGGCAAAACGCAATTCGATAAACTGATGTGAAAGTACTTCAAAAATAGCTAAATAGGTCGTACATTTGTTCGATTTAATTGTTCAAAGATAAGGATTATAAGTTCATATATATGCATATAGCTTTACACTTTACAACGTTTGACCCTCGACAAACAAATAAATAATACAGTCATGAAAAAACTTATTTAGCGTTTTGAAATTCAGTTTTGTTCAATTTCTCTTGAACTTAAATTACCGATTTAACAAAGTGCCAACTATCTTTTTATATTTTTTTTTTTAAACAAGCGCAATTATTTGAGGCTCGATTTACACCTGAGACAAGTTTTTACAAAGAGCATTACAGTAGTGATCACTAGTACAAATCAGTAGTTTGGTTTCCGATTATTTTGGTCCAACCTCGCTGTTTTGAACTGCCTGGCGTATTTCGGCTTTTCGCCGTCTTCATTGAGTGTCATGAAGGTTTATAGCAGGGAGAATTATCATATGGCATACCAGAATGATCGGATACGTTCATCACCCCGAAGACCCCTTTGAAATAATTACAAAGTTTTAAACTATGTGATCGAATTGATTGAAACGTACTTTAAGTTTAAATCAACGTGTTATTTTTGAGTTTTTTTTTTAGGCAAAACTTAATCTTAACTTAACCTACTTGACGTTCACTTCTCTAGTTCTTTTGTTTTACTTTCAACCTACGTTTGAACTGGAGATGATATCTAGGAACTACCCGAGATCTAATTAATCATGTCTTCCTCAGAATGAATTTCCAGACCGATAAAATTTCAATCGTAGACAAAGCGTTTTGACCTTTCATTTATATAAAAACAGTACATAGAATAAAAATTTACAAACGCGTTATTTCATTATTCATAACCAAATGTTTACGGGTGCAAAGAATCCAGTGTAACAAGCAACAAGCTAATTAATAACATCTATAATTAAAAAATGTAATTAATTTTTTTCATGTATGGATAAATAATTAAGCATGTTCGTCCATGAACGGGTCTGCGAGAACGCGCGCCTTGAGCCAATTTTTTCGGTTTTTGACATTCAGCATAGTGGTTTTTCTCTTGCATGTTTGTATTTCAAAATAATCGAGTGGTCCGAACATAAATTGTAATAATTGCATTAAAATGTATCTGTTGAATTAAAGAATCACTTCTATCGTTTTATAATTGAAACACGAACTAGCAATAGGTTTTCGTTTATATATATCTTTATTTTTCCTTTTCTTTTTTGTTTTACATTATGAATCAATGATTATTGCGTAGGTTTTTTATAATTATTAAAGAATAAAAATAAAATATGATAATTTATAAAAATAATATATACGTTCTATCATGACTATGCCACAAAAGATGTGCCCAAACAGAGCATACAAATATAACGCCACTATTAATTTTTCCTTTTGAAAAACCTACGTATTAATATCTTTATTATTTTCGGTTCAATACATTCTATACACAGTTCAAAACGAATCGATGAGAGTATAAAAAAATTTAACTATACATTAGAATTTTTACTCATTACGGTCGTCCAGGTCCGCCTATACCTACTATATTGGTGTCAGACGCGTTTCGGCATTTCGCCATCTTCAGTGTGTCCGCCTCACCCTGCTTATATCCTTGATGACAAGCGCTGAAGGCAGCCGAAACGCATAACAGGCCAAATTTCAGGTTCGTAACAGACCACAAAGAGAACTCGCAATTTTCACAAAAAAATCACATAAATTATTCACTTTCACTACACTAGCAGTACACTATTCGAAAAAAAATATACAAAAACCGTGCAAATTAACGTGCAACCTTTAAAAAAGTAGATAAAATAATAAAACTTGATTTATCAATTTAAAATCTTATATCATTTTAAAGGTGCAATTGTAAGGTGCCACTTTGTGAATTTAAGTTTATTAAACAAGAAAACAAACTTTAGAAGACAAAAATAGTTTACTAAACTATTAATATAATTATGTCCTTAAAGAGTAAACTTTATTATTTACTATTGTAAGCTTGCTAAATATAAGTTGTTACCTAAAAAAAGGTTCTTATTAATATTAAATTTAAACGAATGTTACAACTCCATACTTGCTACGTTTATGTTCATGCAAAATTCTAAACTAATCTACAATTTAAAACAAAAGGGAAAAGAAATTTCCGCATGTTAACGGTACTTATCTTTGAAAGTGATGTCATTGACAGTTATCGTATGTTACATTTTCGTGTTGTGTTATTTACTGCAAAACTGTCTCCGTTTTTACACACATAATTCGTAATTTGTGTTTTTTTCCGTAATTCCAAAACATCTTTCATCCTATCTGAATAATCTACTAGGATTGAACTCCTAAGTGATATATAAAATAGACAAATTAACTTTTTACTAGTTGAGTTTTAAACGATAAGTTAGTTTTAAGCAATACTGTATGTTGTTTGTTCAGTTCTGATCATTTTGGTCTGCGTACCAACGCTGGGTCTGAGCGGCTGCCTCTCCCTGCTTATAACCTTTACGCTTCGCACTGACCAAATGGATTAATCTATCCGCCGACCTGAAGGAAAATCTGACAAATTTAAATTTAAAGATGAAAGGTCACTGTTTAGACCAAAAGATAGGAAAGGGATATCGCCTAGCATACCTCTAGGAAATCTCACGATAAATCAATTTATCTAACAAAACTCTTTACCCAAAGAAATGAATTTTCATTCAAACTTGGAATAAAGTTAAAAGCTAGAGCAAAAAAATTACCTTTGCTAATCTGAGTATCTGAAGTGTGTTCAAAACTACCACAGACTTTGAAATATTATATTATTTAATTAAATCAACTGCAAGCACGGGAAATATTGACTTGTCTTTACACAGCAAAGAGAATAAGAAAAATAAACAATTAATTGTTCGTTTTGGTACAAAAATGTTATAAATTTATATGCCAATAAGTTTAAAAAAATTCGGAACTTTCATGTGGAATAATTTTTGAATTTTACTTAGTCTAGACAGGACCGAGTGACTCGAGGATTTGATTGAACATCCTGGCAATAAAAATCAAATGTTAATACGAAGAATAGTTTAGGGATGATCAGGTCAACAGAATACGACAGAATAATCAAATATATGGACGTACCATTAGAGAAAAATCAGGAACACAGTCGAAAACAAACTTATCCGAACAATAAGCAGTAAATGACAACACTGGACAACAGGACAAACTTACGAGGAAATCGCACAGACTCACACATAAGCTAAGTCGAATAAACATGAAGAAAAATGTCTAGATTTTGACTAAAAAATTCAGATTATTTATAAATCAATAAACGTATTAAATAAAGTAAATGGAATCATATGCCTAAATTTTTAATTAGTCCAAGTTTAAAGTTAGACGTATTAATAATTAAAATTTTTTTAAAGTTTACAAAGAAAAAAATTATTGGGTAGTTTGAACGTTCTGTGTAAATATTTTGCAATGTATTATTTTACTGTTTGCACTCATTCTAATTTTAAACACAGGAAATTTTACTTTCACTTTAAAATTCGCTACACCTTCATTACCTTATAAAATCTCACATGAGAGACTCCATGGGCGACGTACAATTCTTTCAAAAATTTACGTTTGCGAATTTTTCTTTACACAGGAATGATTTTTATTGTAGCCAATTCGAGCGATATATTGGTAATGAAATTTGTTTTCAAAACAAATACCCTAGCGACAAATAACGTCTTCTAGCCTGTTTGTCTGACTTATAAAAACTTAAATTATTTAATATCCATAGCTCTGTGATAGTTTTACCGACTGGAGGTGAATGATATCCCAAGCTGAAGTAACTTAACAATAAAAATTTTGTGATTTTTTTCGGTGTTCTGGGTATTTTAAATTGTCATGTTGAATGTATATATAATATTATATTATTATCAGAATAATTCTTTAATTTTAAGAATAATTGCAACTATAATTTGACTTATTTGACCTACAATTGAATCATCCTTATCGGATTAAATGAAAACAAAAGATCAGATGGAACGTATGTGTAGTTTATTTAAAATTATAAATTTAATATAATTATAAAATTTAATTGTCCTACAATTAAAATTCTTTGTGCCGGAATTAATCAAATTACTTTTATAACGCATTGAGGGACGAAAACAACGCAAGGAGTAAGATCAATTAAAAAGTGTATTTATACGATTTAATTAAATGTATGCATTTTAAATTATTAATTTGTTTAAATTTTAATTGCAATAAAAGTCCGGGCTTAAATACGATAATCAATAATAAACCCTTTTTAGTAGTTCAGCCACGTCTCATTAAAATGAAAGGATGATTAAGTACCCAATTTCATTTTTAATCATTCTATATGTTATTGTCTGTACTGCCATCCATATGGATGCCAAACATTAATTTTTCTTTTAATGTCCATGGAAATTTTTTTAAGTAGCTCGCTTTCAAATAAAAGAATCGTGAGATTTGATCTTTAGGAGAGCGGGGTGATGACCTGTAGTTTGGTCGTTTTCATTTTGGTTTGTCAGACGCGTTTCGGTGTCTCGCCATTTTCAGACGTGGGTCTTGGTCACCTGCTTCTCTGCTTATATCCTCGATAAAAAGCGTTTGTCAGACCAAAACAGCTAGAATAGGTATACCAAACCAGAAACGATCATCTACAATTAGGACATTGCGAGATTTCCTGCCAAAAGAAAAGTTCAAACCAGTCCAAATGGTTTAAAAATGTATTAAAAACAGCCAATGTAAATATAAAACAAAAGGACAAGATTGTTGGGTTACATTATAATCAATGCATATTGTAAAATTTCCTATTGATTACGGAAATTCCTATAGGATTACGGTGTGATGAACCTGCAATTTGGTCGCTTCCGATTATTTTAATCCTTCAATAAATTTCATACATTTCTACAATTCACGTTCAGAATCTTGTTTGTTTCTCACCTGATGATGAGAGAGTATTTAATACTCGAAATCCGGATAGCTGCCTAAAACTTCTGTGAGTAGAACTATCTTTTTCAAAAAAAGAAAATGGCAGTGTTATTGGACTGATTTATGATATGATCTTTTTGAAGAGTTGACATATACCGGATCAAAGCTAATTCATACAGTTTAATCGCTTCCGATTACATATTTTGATCTGCTCGTCAGTGCCGCCAATGAAGCTGCCTTTCCCTGCTTATATCCTTGTCAAGCGGTAAAGATGCCGAATTGCTAAATGCAATTGTTCGAAAACGACCAAATGACAAGCACCAATTTTATTTGTTATTAATAAGAAAAGAACAAGATGATTATGTTAAAGTGAAATTAATGATATTTATTGTTGGGATTTCCTCTTGGAGTCTGTGGTGTGAACCTGTAGTTTGGTCGTTTCGTATTATTTTGGTCTGTCAGATGTATTTCAGCATCTTCAGTGCTCGTCATTCAAGAAATAATATGATAAAATAATGGCAAACAATAAATAATATAAAATATACAAAGGATAGCTGTCGTTAAAGTTTTTACAAGATCCACCTGAAATATAAAGAAATTGTACGCTTTCTTGTTTGAGTTTGGTCGTTCCTCCCAGATTCGCATATGCTTATTTTTGGCAGAAGTTTGGGACCAATTGCTTCAAATTATCATATATGTAGCCAATTGTTAAATTTTGTTAAAAAATTAATTTTATTGTATGGTAACATAATTTATAATTATCTTAATGAATTTGAACTTGCAAGCAACGTAAATTGCATAGAGGAATGTTATATCCTGATTGTTGCCTTGGTGATTGTATACTAGGTCCTCGTTAACCCAGTTTTTTTATCTTAAATTTACATTATATTTCCTTTTATTCATTTTATCTTTTTTAGGCACCTAATAAATCGTGCATAGGTGCAAAACAAAACTTGAAATATGTGTATATAAGTTTGATATGCAGATAGAAGAAAATGCTCCGAGGTGTTTCCTACTATCAGCGGTGATGGTACGAATCCCTCCGCGGATAATGAGAGTCTACTGTACTTATCCGTCAAATATGATGTCAACTTATACACATGTACTTAAATTGTGTTTGTTCTTGATTTTTGCGGGGGTGATGAACCTGTTTTTTGGTTTGCCTATCCTCGCTGCTTTGCTGTCATGTTTCAGACGTTTTAAATTAGAACCTATTACTGATGAAGGCGAAATGCCGAAAGCAGCGAGGATAGGCTGACCGAGACCATCGGAAACGGCAAAACTACAAGTTCATCTGGATGAAATTTAGATCCTGATTAACACTGTTTGTTGATGCCAAACTGTTTTTTTCCTCGTTTTTATTCATCGTTCAAACGGATTTGTTCATGAGAGAGAGAAAATTACTGATAAACTGCCGTTTGTACCTTGGTCAAGTCAGCAACCAGACTGGTTCTCTCATATTCGTATGACTCCTGTGGTATAGATAGGTTTTTATGGAATTATGCCAATGTTTAAAGGACTCAGTTCCAAGCCAATAAGGATTTAAATTCGCAAACCTTGAAATAGATTAAGAACGGGTCGATTAGCACGTTTTCCTTTTATGGCCATTTATGATTTACCATGAAAAAGTCGTCCGATCCTAAACTGCAGAAAATTAGCAAAACAGCTGTTGTCTGTCAGATGAGGACGTTAAGTCTCAATTTTAAAGATCGCGTAGTTAAGAATGGAAAATAAATCGTTATTTATTAACAAGAACCGTGAGACAAAAGGAAGCTGGCGTGACACCAAGGGTGTTTGTACAATTTTGAAAAGAAAAGGAATAACAAAAGCCTCAATAAGTCCAAAACTTTGCCGACTGATAAAATGACCATTTACGATTGGAAAGAATTACAACGGGCCAAATTATGTAATATGTATAAGCTTGTGCCCACGGAATGTAAATGAATCGGCGGGATTAGTCAGCGTACAAATAAAAGAGACAAATCTGGTTTTGGTTTATCTCCTGAAATATCCGGATGGCTCCAGTCGTGACCGGATTTCAGTATGGTCCTTCATCCCTGAAATCGAAACGATGCTTTCATCTTGACTTTTATTATAGAAATAAAATAACAATAAAGACTAATTTCCGAAATTCATTTAAGACAAACAAGCAAGAAATTTATCAGAAACAGTTCGAAAAATGGATCTGGCGCGAACGCGAGCTCTTCCTCAAAATGAATGACATTGAGAACGTCTTGAGCGTCACACTCGACTAAAACTAAAATTAAAAGCTTATTAACTGAATATTTAGTGACAATAAGAAATACAATGGAGCGCTTATATCACGTGAAAAAAAGCTGCTTCTTTTTATCCTGTCGTTATCTGCAAGGAGACCAGGAAAGTGAACGTGCTTGCCACATACAATAGTAATAAAATGTTATTTTTCTTTTAAAAAAAACATTTACATGTGATTTTTTAATTTTTTAAAAATATTTTTTACAAATAAAAAAGATAATATGTAGTTGCTGACTGACGATGGGTATAAATTCCCGAACGTTCAAGATTTTATTTCGTAAAAATAAAACAAAAATCTTTTATAAAAAACCGCATTTAAATGATTTTTAAGAAAAACCACATTTTATAATATTATAAAAAGACAATATGTCTTTAATAAATCCATGTTTAAATACTGTACAATAATAATAACTGCCCTATAATTTTATATATATATATATATAATTTTTTGTATTATAATAAGTATTTTTTTATTTTGATTTTATAATATTTTGTCAATATACAACTCCTCGACTCTGCTTATAAACTATTGTTCCGAAATATGGTCATTTCTGATCATTTTGGTATGCCTATCCTCACTGGTTTTGGCACATCGCCATCTTCAGTGCATCAAGGTATAGCAGGGAGAGGTAAGCATACAGGCCCTGCAGGCAGCATTGAAGCTAGTGAAATAAAATCTATTTTCCCCCTGAAATATCTTTTCATCTGCTTTATTTCAACAGTTTAACAACCAAAGTACACGTTTATCTCCACACAGTGAAAAAATCACACATATTTTTTTTTAATTTTTGGGTCAAATCTCTCGCCCATTAAATTGCTTTAATAATTTATAATAATTTGTCGACTTTGATCAATTGAGAGTATCAGTGTGGTCCATCCAATGGCAGACCCGACCAACAGCACCAAGAAAAAAATATAGTATATTCTTCTAAGTCAAATTATCCTTCACAGGAAGAAGAACCAGTGAAAAAAAAGAAAGAAATCAAAATTGGTGAAGGGCACGGAGTCAAGTTAGGGTGGATTGTCGGTGTGCTCATACCATGCCTACTAAACATATGGGGTGTTATGCTTTTCCTGAGGTTGTCCTGGGTTGTCTCACAATCCGGGATAGGCCAGTCACTCGTCATCATAGGGATATCCGCTACAGTCTGCATCATCACAACTCTGTCACTTTCTGCTATAAGCACTAATGGAGAAGTCAAAGGAGGTATGCATTTTCATATTACATTGATTCATATAAATAAAACATTTAAATACACATGCCATTTCTACTTAAATCTGCATTCTTTAGTTGAGCTACTTTTGCATATGATAAATTGAACCCCATTGCATTTATTTTAATCATTTTTATTGTTTTAAAGTTACATTGTGTTTAATCTATTACAATATTTTCACAATTTATTGTGTTGTGTAGTGCCATGTGAACAGAAAATTGTGTGCTGTATTAAGTTTCTTTTTTTTCTATTAAATTTGCTTTAAAGAGTCTTGGCATTCATATAATGACATATTACATTCAAACATGAAAATATAAATTTATTTAATTAGAATTCTAGTAGACCTCAGATTTTTAAAGAATGACATCTCAATCTGAACAATGTTCAGGTTATTTCTTAGACACCTAAATAATTTAATTTTAGAAAATTGAAAGATTTAAATTAAAAGTGCAATTAATGTGATATAAAATTACAGGAGGTATTTATTACATCATTTCAAGATCACTTGGTCCTGAATTCGGGGCCTCTGTGGGTCTCATCCTTGCTTTTGCCAATGCTGTCGCTGCCTCGATGAACACAATCGGTTTCTGCAGCTCTTTGAACAGTCTCCTGAAAGAGAACGGACTCAAGATAATTGACAACGCTGTCAATGATATAAGGATAGTCGGTATTGTCGCTCTATTCTTCATGGTCATTATCTGTGCCGTTGGAATGGAATGGGAGACAAAGGTGACAATAAAAGACTGCATCAGTCCTCCAATGACAGCACATCGCTAATAAAACAAAATTTGATTTTTCAGGCGCAAAACTTCTTGGTCGTCATCATTTTTGCAGCTATTGCTAATTTTTTGATCGGATCTCTAATTGGACCAAGGACAGATGAGGCTCAAGCCCAAGGCTTTCATGGATTTAGCCGTAAGTCTTTTTGTTCAAATTGTATAGGGTGATGCATACTTAATATCTTATAAAATTAATGTAACATAATTAAGGACATTGCATCAAATATAATATATGTATAATAAATTCTACTTTCAAATATTTACAACAGATTAAAAAAAAACATTAATTTTTTATTTTCCTTTCTATTTGTGAAAGTTTAAATTAAATGCTTCATTTTCAGTTGATGTTATGAAAGACAATTGGGGTTCAGACTACAGGTTCAGTGAAAACGTGAATCAAGATTTTTTCTCAGTTTTCTCTATCTTTTTCCCCTCTGTAACAGGCATACAGGCTGGAGCTAATATATCCGGTGACTTGAAAGTAAGTACCAATAATTATAACATTGGAGGGTGATTAGTAATTCTTTTCTTTTAGGACCCTGCTGAAGCGATTCCAAAAGGCACACTACTTTCACTCGCCATCTCAATGTTTTCCTATGCGCTTTTTGTTGTCTTTGCCGGTGGTGCTGCATTAAGGGATGCCAGTGGAAATGTCACAGATTTAGCACTGGGCAATTTTCCTTGTGCTAGCGACCACTCCTGTCAATTCGGTCTACACAACGACTACAGTGTATGTGGATATTTTATTTGTTTTTAAATAGCAACATTTATTTAAATTGTGTTAATTTTAGATCATGCAACTTATGTCGGTCTGGGGATGGCTTATTTACGCAGGCTGCTTTGCTGCTACCATTTCAACAGCACTTACAAATCTACTTTCAGTACCAAGGCTTTTACAGGCACTGGGCATTGATCACATATACCCTGGGCTGATATTCTTCTCAAAAGGCTATGGGAAAGCAGGAGAACCTTATCGAGGATATGTGCTTACTTTCTTCATATCTTCTGCATTTGTTGTTATTGGTGAGTAAAATTAATTTTCCTACTTTATAAATTTACAGTTTTCGAATAGCTATAATGTAAGAAAACTTAGAAACTGTCATAGTTAAGCAATGGAGAATCCAACTCTCATAATGTGGGTTTTAGTCCTTAGAATTTCATTTCATGACAATTTAAAAAGAAAATATTGTAAAAAGAACTTCTCTCTAACAATTTTTAATTTTTTTCAAATATCCTAGACAGATTGACACACGTTTGCTTGAAAATCGCAAAGCAGCTCTTGTGCTCAAAACTAAATACTACAATTAATTAAGGTTTTCAGTTGATATAAAAAAGTCAATGGCACGAGCGGGATTCGAACCCATGATCTTCGGCTTGATACGCTGCTGCTCTACCACTTGAGCTATCGTGACCTTGATCCACTCGGACACCAACCTCCCATCTCAACCACACCTTTTGAATTTTCCCTCCTTTTTGCCATTTTTCAATTAACTAAATACTACAATTAAATTAAATTATATTAAAGATAATTAATCAATCTCACTTGATCAATGAGATCAATCACTTGCCAAAATGAGAGTGCATAATAAATAGTTGGATAATTCGTGTGTCCAATTCACTACACATGATATTAGTTTACGGCTAACTTAGTCAGCACACAACCAGAAACAGAAAGCTTAATAAAAATAATAAAAATTTATATATAATATATTATTTTAAATTTATATATATAATATATTATAATAATAAATTCACAAAATTATTTATTCCTTTATTAATTATTACAAATACTTTATTCTAAACCCATAATGAGAAAATAGAAACTACAATGCAACAATCTCAAAGAATAGTAAACAGTAGAGCATAAAGGGTATTTAAAAAAGGAGATTAATTTAAAAAAAATATTTTTACTAATACTATTTTCAATTCAACAAAATTATTATTTTAATTAGTTGACTGCTAGTAGGCTTAATCTTTTATTGATTTGTCTATTTAATTTATTAACTAACAATAACAGTTTTTAAACAATATTGGAAAATGTATTCCTTCAGTTTCTGTTAAAAATTAAAAAATACGTTTTTATTATATTCATATTATTTTCAACAACCTAATCAATTTGTATTATTTTATTTTTGTTTCAGCCGATCTTAATATAATAGCAACACTCATTTCCAATTTCTATTTGGCATCTTACGCCCTGATTAATTTCTGTACGTTCCACGCTGCACTTATTAAACCTTTAGGCTGGAGGCCGACTTTTAAGGTAACAACATCTATAAAATTAAAAGTATCAAGTTTTTAAAATTAAATTATTTTGTTTCAGTTCTACAATATGTGGCTATCGCTTTTAGGTTTCTTCATGTGTGTGTTGATTATGTTTCTCATTGATTGGCGTACTTCACTTGTGACTTTTGCTGTATTTTTTGTCCTTTATGTCATAGTAGTTTACAGAAAACCAGGTATATTTAAATTACTGTACTTCAATTTTTTTAAAAATATATTTATACATTGTGCACTTTTTACAGATGCAAACTGGGGTTCATCTACACAAGCGCAGACCTATAAGACAGCCCTGCTCACCGTTCAGAAGCTTGCGACGAGTAACGAGCATGTTAAGAATTACCAGCCTCAAGTCCTTGTTCTTTCAGGCCCACCGCAAAACAGGCCTGCGCTTATCGATTTGGCGAATTTGATCACAAAGCATAATTCATTGCTTGTCTGTGCGGAAATTACCAGAGTATGCATTTTCTAACTAAACGTTGTAATTTTGTTTTACACCATGTATTTGGAATTTCAGGAAAAACTTTACTACAAAGCACGCATAGCTAAAATTCAAGCTGGATACGATTGGTTGGCTGTTAAAAAAATTAAAGGATTTTTTGTTGTGACCGATGGTTTGCAAATGGAGCATGCTGCGAAGGCCATGATGCAAATTGCTGGTATTGGAAAGTTGAGGCCGAACGTGCTACTCATAGGATACAAATCTGATTGGCAAACCTGTAAGGATGAAGATCTAGAAATGTACTTCAACACAATGCAGTGCGTTTTTCTGTTTCTCTTGATATATTATTAATAATTATTTCAATAAAGTAAAATACACAATTTAAAAAAATCTTAAATAGTATAATGTTCTGAAGTTTTAAGTAAAATTTAAATTTTTATCTAATAGATTGTCATTTGATTTGTATTGATAGATATGTATAATTTAAATATCATTATTTTTTGTGTTTTTAGTGAGGCTTTTGCGAACAGAATGGCAGTGGCTATTTTGAGAATTCCCGACGGTTTGGATTATTCAGTGCAAACCAGCCCACAAGAGAATCAACTTGCGAATCAAATGTCTGCACTGGATGATCTCAGTAATTCCTACTTGGACTTGACAAGTGGAAGCTTCCAACTTAACAAAGCGGCAATGGAAGCGAGCAATGTTTTATCACAATCTTCGTTGACTATACCAGGTAAATAATTTTTCTCCGATTACTGTTTTAAAGTATTAATCCATTTTTAATTGATAGGAAGTAAGCCTGATACCGAACGACCGTCACTGCTGACAGAGCATATGAACAATGGCAATCCATCTGACATATTGAAAATACGAAAGAAGGCTACAGCAAAACAGCAGATACTTCATGAGTATGTCAATTTTATTTTTGTATTTTATATTATCAAATAACAAAAACCTTTCAATTATATATTCTGAGATCACATACAAAATAATTAAATAGTCCTAGCATTATTTGTAGTTTGGTAGACTCCGATCATTTTGGCCTGCCAGTGCATTTTGGTTTTTCGCCATCTCGGTTTCCCCCTGCCAATTTACTAAAATTTTGGTTCTGGAAAAGCGGCTATTAAACTTAACACCCTCCTGAGGCCCTACCTGTCTAACGGTGTGATTAAGGATGATAAGGCCACCATTTCAGTCCATGATTTGCCTCTCCCTGCTTATAACCCTAATTTAGTTCAGTTAGTTTGTTTCAAGAGAGCCAAACTACAGATTCATAGTGTGAAATAAGTACAACCAAAATTAATAAATTCAATGAGGAAGAAAACACTAGAAAATAAGTTTCTTTTTAATTGTACCACAACAAATCTGTCTTTCTTATCAAAAATTCCCCTCACTGATCTGTGCTAAATACTCTGCTATTTCACAAAATTTTCTGGTTGTATAATCATAACAAATCTATTAATTATTAGTAATATCAATCACTTATAAATAATTAATATTTACTATATTTATTAACTATTTAAACTTATTAAGTTTCAATCATTATGAAAAGACACTAAAAACATATTTTAATATCAAATGAATTGGTATTTTAGATTCCCAGGAGGGGAAAAACTTGAAAAAAATGCCTTAGACAATATGAGGATTTTTGACAAAAAGTACAAGGATGGATACGTTGATGTATGGTGGCTGTATGATGACGGCGGTAAGTGATTTAGTGGCCCAATGTAGCACCCAATTCAAGTAAACATTTAATCGATTTTCTTTAGGTCTCACAATATTGCTGCCTTATATTCTGCATACAAGGTCTGTGTTTGCAAACTGCAAGATGAGAATTTTTGCCCTGGCCAATCGTCATCATGATTTAAAAACTGAAGAAGCCAAGTATGATAAAGGTCGTTCATTAAAATGTCGATCAATATATAAAATAAATTTTAATTTTCAGTATGGCGAGGCTTTTGGCCAAATTCAGGATATCGTATGAAAGCCTGACTATGATAAATGACATTATGGAAGAGCCTGACAAGAAGACTATCAGCTTTTTCCATGACCTAATTGCAGGCTTTCGAACAAGAGATAATGGTAACAATACTGTCTTTTTATTTTAAATTAAATAAATAAACTGTATAATGTTTTTCCTAGGTTTTAAAGTCACTGACGAGGACCTGGTAACGCTTAGTGAAAAAACTGACAGGCAATTAAGATTAAGGGAACTGCTCCTTAAACATTCGAGAGAATCTACTCTTGTTGTTATGTAAGTAGTCAAAGAATGATAAAGTACGCCTCTCACTGTAGATTTTTGTCTTAGGTCGTTGCCCATGCCGAGGAAAGGGCTCGTTTCTGCGCCAATCTACATGGCCTGGTTGGAAGCTCTGACAAAAGATTTGCCACCTTTTCTTCTTATACGTGGGAATCAAGCGCCAGTTATCACATTCTACTCTTAGCCCAGTATTCAAATCTATCGACGTTATTTATTTAAACTTAATATTGTACAAAATGTTTCAACCACAGTTTTATGTGGAGTATTTTATGAAAAATTTCAAATTAGTTTTGTAAATAAAACTAATCCCTAACAAATGTTGAAATTGTTATCTTAGGTTACAAAAAAATAAATAAATAAAATAAAATAAAAAATAAAAAACTGATACCCAATTGAAAGTACTTTGGAAAATATAATTTCCATGAAATAGCAACCCCCATGTGTTACACACACCCTCTTTCTGATTTTTTTTTTTTTTTTTATTAAAAAAAGAATTAGAACAAATTAATTCTGATGCTTGCTCATTGATAAACTGTTGGTTTTACAAAGAAAAAAGTATTTTTATATTCCTCACACATATTAACTAAATTTGTACAAAAGGCTAAATATTTAATTATTTGTTATTCTTTCTTCTCAATCAAGACAATAAACAAAGAAGAACCCAAAATAGATGGTTGGTGCACCACTGTGAGTTATGATAATTTCAAAAAAGTCCAGAAAATAAATTGGTTTTATGTAATTAAAAAAAAATTATATAAAAAAACTTACTATTAAAGTTGAAATTAAGGGCAAAATTCCAATCCTTACCATTAAAAACATGATAAAAATGCATTATTGATCCAAAATCTTAACGAGTGACTGCAAAGAAAATGATGTAATCAACAAGAATAAATTATATTTAGGATTTTATAGATCTGCTTATTTTTCTTAGTAAGGAAATAAAGAAACTATACTGTTAAGCCTAAGAAAAAAATATATATTATAATGAAGAGTAGATAAGAGGTGGGAATAAATAAGGAGTGAAAACAGACAGGGAACTGGCCAATATAATTCCAAAAAACAGTTAAGAAATCTAAATTTACAAAATGATTTACATACAATCAGTTAATCAGGATTTCAAAATTTACAATAAATTAAAATTGATTACTGGACATTTTGGCCTGTAATATGTTAACGCTTCAGAGGGATCATTCTCACCTCAAAAATAGGTCGTGTGAGGTCACCAATGGACACTTACTTTTGACCAAAGCCTGCATATGTGTCTGACATGTAGAGAAAGGTCGGTTGATGTAACCCCACTTATTGAAGGGATGCCCATTCCTTTGGCTCCATATAGAGAGCGAAATGATGATATAAAAAGTGTGATTAAGCAGGGCAGCGAGCATTTGTCCCCTGTTCAATTCATGGAGTAAATAGGGTTGTTTTATTGTATACAGTACAGACCGTTTTGTGTCTTCGGAGTAAATGTATTTATTGTTGTGAATGTGTAGTCTGAGAGAGAAACAATATAGAGTACCCCAACAATCCAAGGTTAGTAATACAATAGTTGTAAAGATTGATGGAGGAATATCAAGTACTTTACTAATCTAACTGTACGAATGGTATATAAATAGGAAAAATGCATTTAAGAGTGAGTGAGAGTGTGAATGCGAGACAAAGTTGGGGCTGACATGACATTTAAACAGTGATCACAATTTTTAATATAGTTTGGCTTTTTCAGATCGTTATGTCTGGTTACCCTTGCTGTTTTGGACTGTCAGATGCATTGTGGATTCTAGTCATATTCACTGCTGGGCTGCCTTTCCTTACTTATATCCTTACTACCATGCCAAAACCAACGATCAAACTACAAGATCATCAAAAATAATTCCAAGGCTTCTAAACTCATTACATAATATTTACAAGAAATAACTACGAAAAAGCATATACCAACTTTATAATCCTAAAAGAAAAGAAAAAGGGAAAAGTAACAATTACAATGAGTATGAACTACAAAGGGCTTAAATTGTTGTTAACTAAAATGAAATATTTATAATTTATTACAGTACATACAATATAGTACGTAATAAGAAAAATGAATAGACTAGTAATATTATGTATGAACTATGAAAAAAAATCAATAAAAATTGTTTTTATTTCCATATTTAAAAAGCAAATGTTTTAATTTTTAAGATTAATCAATAATTATAATATTGAAATTGTAGTACAAAAAGCAATCGAATGATGTAGGAAAGATATTTGCTGAATATTACAATAAAATTTATACAATACAACCATTAGGTAAATGTAGGTGTCACACTTGATCGATACAATTTACTGCTAGATTTTGCTCTGACTTTTGGCATTTCCTGGCTCGTACGAGGCATACTAGGGACAGTATTAGGTCTGGCCACCGTATTCATATATTGCTCTACAAGCCTCTTAAGATAATTGTTCTCCTCGAGGTAATTGCTATAAAACGCTTCGAGGTTCGTCACTTCGACTTGCAATTCTCCGAATATCTTCCAGAAATGTGTCAACTCAATGAGAGGCACCTGAAAGCATAAATATAATTATTTATTCCTCAGGAGATAAATAATAAATCTTGAGCACTACCTCATCGCATTGTACAGCCGTAGAGGCCATTGGAACGTTGTGTTCATGACTATACATATATCTTTTACAAAGATCCAAATAATGATTTATAGAATCAACAACTTTTTCCAAGTCCTTAAAATACTAAAAGCATAAATTGTTATTTCATATTTTTCTATATAACATAAAGTAAAAATTTATTTTTACCACTTATTTATTTATATTTCTTTATTTTAAACTTTTACAAATATATCTTATTCAAGCAAAATAAACTGGTTTTAATATATTTATTTATGTATAAAATAAATTAGTTACATTTATTGTTGAATTACTGTGGATGGATAAATGGTTCAGCATGTTTTGAAATTCGTTCTCCTTCTTTCCAAACTCTTTTTTAATATTAATATATTCCATTTTAACTTCTTTTATCTCCAATTCAAGTCTCTTGATTTCTGACTGGTTTGTTTTTTCATTTGCTTCAATTTCCTTTTTAACTTTTGTTATCATTTTCTAAAAAAATATTAGATTAGACATTTATTGTAGTAGTTACAATAATACAGGTTACTTTGTGATCTTCAATTATTTTGCAGTTCTCTTTGTAATTGTTAATACTGATTTTATCATTTTCAAGAAGTTCATTGTAATGGGCTTTGAACGGTGCAAATTTCTTGTGGTATTCGCCTACAACATTTTGAACTTCTTTCTTCATGTCTTTCATTTGCAGTTTCCCTTGAATTTCAAATTCTCTCGTTTCACTCATCAACTAAAATATCAAGTCATTTTAAATATTCTTATATTAATTATTTACAATTTTTTTAAATATATTACTTGGTGCATTATGTCATTTTTGTAATTGAGAGATTTTTTCTTCAAATTTTTATTTTTCTCGTTGTTGCACACTTCTTCCCAGTGTATCATCGTCTGTAGTTTATCTTTGTCTTCATCAAAAGTACTTTCAAGTCTGTCCCTTTCTGAAGTAGCCTGAGCCATCTTTTGTATGTGCGAATTGCTGTAGTTCAAAGAAATCGTCTCCATTCTTCCCATGCGTATTCCTGGGGATGGAGTTTACATTAACGTATTTATTAATTCTTTTAATTAAATAATCTTTTTATGTAAGGTTTTTGGTTGAAATTAAAAAGTTAGTGCCACAAGCGGGATTCGAACCCACGACCTTCGACAGCTCTACCGTTTGTGGCACTAACTTTTTCATTTCAACCAAAAACCTTACCTCAAAAGATTAATTAATTGAAAGAAGTAATTTGGTCAGTAGACCACTATATATAATATACTTATTAATTTTTAATTATATATTTCAAACTTCAGGTGTAGCAGTGCTGGTGGCCACAACAGTTAAGGCATTGACATGGCAACTCGTATATATATTTGAACCTTTTTTTAAAATTAATTAAGGTTTTCAGTTGAGATAAACCTTTTTTTAAATTTCAATTAACTATTAATTGCAAATTATCTGCTCAAAGAAAACAAACAAGTACAAAGCTGCTTTTATGCAATAAAACTTTCTAAATTTGTCTCAGGTAGTAATCTTTTTAATATTTATAATAGAGCTCGTATATTCACCTAAAATTTTATCAATCGCTATCAAATGTGTTTTCACAGCGAGGTTATGAAGTTTTATTGAGCTGTCCAAGTCTGTAATAAGATTTTCAATGATCTTATTCTTAGTTTTCAATGCAATCTCGAATACTTGTCTCAATGTCTGAAATAGAAAATTAAAAAATTAAAACTGATTTAGTTTGACAAATTTAATTCACCTCAGTAGCATCGTGTAGTTCTTTATTTTTGATTTGCCTTAATGTCTGTCGCCACTGCTGGTTTATCTTTGCTGTATTCAGCCTTGTAAATGCTTCTTCACGTTTCAATTTATTCTAAATATTTTTGAAAAAATTATGCATAAAACAAAAAATTGTATTTGGAAATAGTAAAGTCTAGTCTAGTAATAAAACAACCGACTTTCATGTAAGAAGAAATAATGTGTTCTTTTCTTCTTTTTGCCTCTTCTTCGACAGCTGCACGGTGTTGAAGATATCTCAACTTTTCTTCCTCGGACATCCGAGCAAGTTTATTTACTTTTCCTTTTTTCTTCGGTGCCATGTTTTATCTGAAAATTGGAAAAAATATGTGATACTGAAAACAAGACTCAACGTACACTTCTTTCGAACTATGGCAACCAGTAAACTCTAGGGTTAAATCAATATTATTACATTTTGTCAGTTCAATAGCCACTGACCGTTATAACAAATAATCTTATTTTATAATTAATTCTAACAAGAAACAAAAATAAAACTTATTTCAGTGTTGTCACAATTGCATAATTAAATGTCATCATTGTAAGATCATAGTCACGACAAACAAGAACTACAACAAATTAAAATTGCTTCCAAATTTGATCTTTTATAATAAACAAATATCAAATTCTGTATAAATTTATGTATGTCTGGATTTAAACACTCACATTAAATGTATACATACTTACTTTATCCTGCAATCGGAATTTTTTTTTTTTTTTGCTAGTTATGTAACAAAATTCATGGGATCTGCAGGGTGATGAGCATATTGGCACATGCCACCTTCAGTATGATAAAGCTGTTATGTCAAGGGTATAAGCATGGAGATATAGGCACAGACCCAGCACGGTTGTTGTTTATGTGCCTCAAACATACCACATATCATCATATATGAATTCTAATAACTGATTTACATATGCTCAAATCTGCGCAAGTATGTACATATTGCACATATGTAGAGAGTTGAACATATAACTTCTTGCGGTCGACTAGCAATTCCAGCTTATGTAAGTTACAGTAAATTACTGACAGACCTCGGCAATCTTCCTGCCTGGGAGAGGGCAGTACAGGGTCAAACCAGTCTTTATCCATCCAGCCACTAAGGTTGTGCTCCAGGAACAATCAACAACTAGGTCATTTCAGCCCCCAAGCGTATTCTCACTTTCTCATAAATTCATTTTCTTATTTACATTTCACTCAGATAGAGTAGTGGAGTACTGAATATTCCTCTATCATCCTTTAAACCTATTACATAACTAACCTAATTAAGGATCAATGGGTACTCAACATTCCACTGTCAATCTACTCACTACACACTCACGCTAATAAATACATTCACTCCCTGCACACACAGGGGGACACAAGATTATCACTGTATGCAATAAAACAATACGCTTCCTCCAAGAATCAGAACAGGGGGAACTTGTTGCCATGCTCAAGTGCAATTCTCATATCAGGTGGCATTCCTACATGCACTCTATATGGAGGCAAAGAATTGCACCCTTAATGTGCGACACATCAAGCAACCTTTTTTTACATGCCAAAGACATACATGGGCTTTGGCCGAAAAGTAAATGGCCATACATCAACCTCATATAGTCTATGCTTAATGGGGAATTACCCTTCTTTTACAAGTCGGTTCTCCAAGGGCATATCAACAGTGCACTTGATATACACAAGAGTTTCTCTGCCGATCCAGCCAAGTTAATACAGTGTTAAAGTTTGTAATTTGGTAGTACAAAGTTCATCGTGAAAAAAATCTCCTAACGTAAACCTTTTAAATTTGGTGTTTCTCCATCTTCTTAAAAATATTTTCCATTTTATCATGGTCCATATTAATAACAAAATAATATTTATTCAACATTTTTATCTTATAGTTATATTACATAAAACATTGTTTTGAAGGATTCAGGTCACTCTACTAAGGTTACACTCCTGAATATCCTTCCAGACTTCATATTTGACAGAAATCTAACAATAACACCAGCAAGAATGGAAATGTCATCAAGTGGAGGCATAAAATTTAACTGTTTTATCGAACTTCTTTAACAGCTTTTTTCAAACAACTTTTCTCGAAAGGCAGCTCTGCATGTAAATTTCAGTAAATCTTACATGTCTAAGTTAGTTATTCCAGGTGATGTAACATTTTTGTCTTAGATCTGTTCTATGAACTTCATAATTATTTTAATCAGAAACAATAATCTTACAGTTAGTGAGGTGGTGTCAAACATGTCAATTTTCACCATAGAAGTACTTAAAATATTAAGGAGGTCAAAATTATTTTAATTTGCTTCTTTCATTTAAGAACCGTGCTAATAAAGTTTTGCTCTACTGGAGGATAATAATGATTTAAACAAAACTTGCTTATTTCAACTATTTAGTTTGTTTTGTATGAATATTACAAGTTTATATGGTTGTATGCATATACTGAAGTTTACACTTGTTGAAAGTCATAACAAAAAATTTCAACTAAAAAATTAGATAAATTTGATATCTTATCCTATTAAATTGTTGGCCTTTTAGCCACAATTTGTAAAATTTTTGGAACATTGCACAAACAATTTCTTTTACTAAAGAGAGGTCGGAAGAACAATGGACAAGGAAAGGTTTACAAATAAAATAAAATGTTAAAAAGTGTTTATTGTTAAAGTGAATTTTTTCATAAATAAGATGATTATTTACAAACCTATTTAGTTACAATATAATAATAAATAATAAATACAGTAAGTTTCTCTGGAGAATTATAATATCTTGCAGCTACTTTTTTTTAAATTATTTTATTTAAAGAAAGATAAAACAAGAGATTTCGCTTAAATATAATCACAAAAAGTATCGTAACAAAATAAGTTTCTCTCGTTTGTAATTGTCCTTATTAGTAAAATTAAATAAATTATTGAGACAGCTTTTAACTATACAAAGATATAAGTTAAGAACTTATTGACAATTTACAATTATGGTTGTATTTTTAAATATACAAATCCACACAAAACCAAAGGAGTTCACACTGAATTCATAGCCCCTTACATTAAGATTTAAAATATCTTTTCACAATTAATTGTAAATGGTTTGTTTCTTTTAAAAACAATTACTACTTTTAATAACTTTCATAAAATAGTTGACTTTGGCTTTGAAACCAAACAAAATTTGTTTGCTTATGAATAAGTCATAAATAAATAAGGAAATAAAAATGTAACGTATGAGTTCCAGCTAAATGACATAAAATAAAATATGTCACGCACAGATCAACCCAAGCTGATTTTTTTTGTTTTTGGTTTTTAATTAGGCAATTATTGTCTAGTCCGAGTCATGGTCTTGCAGGTTAACAAAAAGGTCGGTGGGAGGTATCATCCCCTTGGCAACAGCGTATTCTATGAGAGCGAGGTGGCAGAATATGTATTGGTCGGGCATTTGAATCGAGAATGCCCTCTGCCCACGTATTCTCTCAACAGTACTTCTAACGTCGACACTCCCTGTTTCGTCTAAACGGCTGATGCAAATGTCTAATGTGCAAAATGTTCCTGAAATAATGACATCATCTTGTAAATAAATTGTTTGGAGGGAGGAGGCTCTTTTATTAAGTGATAACGTGTGAAAAGCACAGCAAATTGTATTCAAATAATCTTTTTTTTTTCGTTATGATCTATGCATATTAGCCATGGTGACGAATTCTTACATGTGTGTTCAAATTGGGGGGGGGGGGTTATCGTGAAAAAAAGGCCAGAGGCGACAGAGGGAATCGAACCCACGACCGCGGCGTGAGAGTCTCTCACGCTAACCACTCGGCTACCGCGGGGATCCTCTCAAATAAATTAAATAAATTGTTTTAAATAAATATGTTATAATAGTTTCATGACCCTGAAGTTTTATTACTTTGGGTTTGTTCATTAATATGATAATTACAAAATGTCTATTATTACACACAATAAGGATTATAAAAAAGTCATTAAAGTTATATTTAATTGTTACAAGTGGAAAACAAACAAAAATTTATTTTGCAAAGGGGAAACCAGATTCAACCTGGCCCTCAGCAAGGTAGAGCGAGGTTGGCAAGAGGTCAAAGACACATGGGTGGTCTTTGGGAGCCAAAGGAGACTCAGCAGGGACATTGGCGAGGATTGGGGCCCAGCCACCAAGAATAAGCAAAGCTCGAACAAGAATGGATGAGTTGGAGAAAAGGGTGAAAAATGACTTTTTAAAAAATTATTTTGGACTTCATTTTCTTATCATTCAATTAATTAAGGTTTTTTGTTGAGATAAAAAAGTCAAGTGTCACGAGCGGGATTCGAACCCACGACCTTCGGCTTGATACGCCACTACTCTACTGCTTGAGCTATCGTGACTTCTCAAGTCGAAGGTCGTGGGTTCGAATCCCGCTCATGACACTGACTTTTTTATCTCGACTAAAAACCTTAATTAACTGAATGTATTAATTGGTCAAGCAGACCACAAAAAATAATGATTTTCTTATCATTGTGGAGCTGACAGTTCGCATGTGCATGGGAAGAACCACCCTGGAACGAGAAGAAAAAGGACCAGGACGAGGTTCGAACTTTGATTTTCTTTTATGCAATTTTGTTTTGTGGCCATTTCTTTTTCTTTCTTTTTTTTAAATTCTAGAAGAGAACTTACTTTCCTTATTGTTTTCTATTTTATTCAAAATATAGAGCACACTGATATATACTTTTTTATTCCACCTTGAGGGTTCACTGTTTCCCTTAAAGTAAAAGAGAAAAAACAGAGTGGCAGCTAATTATTTTATTTTTGGAAAAGAAGAGGCCACGCAAAAAATCTCCACTGAGCCCTAGGTACCCCAGAGACAGGATCGATTGTCAACGTTCTGAGGAGGAACCGGTAACATAATGGAGTCTGAGTGTTTATATTTGTTTCAATTTCCTTGAATAAAAAAGTAAAGTTCAATATGCCAAAAAGCAATGGTTAAATAGTTATTCTCGAGCATTATAAAAAAAGAGTAAAAACACATAGAGGGCAGGCGATGACCTCAGCTGACTATATTCCCAAAAAAAAAAAAAAAAAAAAAAAAAAAAAAAAAAAAAAAAAAAAAAAACTACATATTAATAGATTGTTATTATAAAATACAGTACAGTACAGGAGAATAAAAAATGTTTTAAACTGACTTTTAATAGTTTTATGAAAATTAATAATCTATTGTCAATATTTACCTGTTCTTCCAATGCCAGCAGAACAATGGACAACCACAGGTGGCCCCCTAGGATGTCCTGCCCAGGTGTCACCCAACGAATTCACCAGCTTTTCCTGAGTGCTCCTGACCAGTTGGAGAAAGCTGAGCACCGCAGCTGCGCTTTCCGGTACACCGTAATCAGGCCAAGAGATGTACTGCAAATGTTCAACGTGTCTTCTCTCATCAGTCTTAAAAAAAAAAATTCGCATTTAGTTTTAAACAATAATATATTATATAAAAATGTTATATAATGATGAAATTAATTGTGAACTTACTTTGGTATTAACCAAACTTATAATCGATACAATAAAATCGGCATGAGATTCGACCGCCATGGTTTGAACTGTGAAGATGCCGTAGGTTTGGGTCGTGCCAGCATCCGGAGGCCAATACTGCCAGCATTTATACCTCGCCCTTTCAACAACCCTCGTCGTCATCACTATAACCACAGTCCCCTGTTCCCACACCATTCTCCAAAAATCATCACAGGTTTTATGTAATGGTCCTAAAAAACACACACATAAATATGTCTTTGATAAATTGAACACAGTTCAATTGTGTTCGAATTTTTTATCGTTATATTCATCAACACCAATAATTTTGCTTGTTCAGTCAACTCATGCAAACAACAATTTAAAAGCTTGTATGTTGAAATTTATATTTTCAATAATAAAACAAAAATGTATTGAAATATTATTGGCAATAATACTCGATCAATCTAGGTTTTAATTTATAGATTCATTTTATTAATATTCTTCCTATATTTTTCTTATAATCAAGCGATGACAAAGCAAAATTATGATAATTTTAAAAAAATATGAAGATAATAGTTTTTATCAGTAATTTAAAATTATATTACGAGATATCTTATGGCAGTCTTAAAATTATTTAAAAATTTACAAAAATGTTTTGCACTTTTTCAATTATTTAAACTAAAATTAACTTTAAAAACTTGTTTGCAACTCTTTTTTATATTTATTTTATAATAAAAATAATATTCTTGTTAATAGGTGAAAAATATTTAATCACTGCTTTTTGGAGGAAAGAAAAAAAAAATTCAAAATTGTCATTTTATTTTCCAATGATGCTTAAAACACACACCCACAAAGTCTATATCCTTATATACGATTTATTAGTGTTTCAAACAGTAAAATTAAGAAAAGCAATAATTAAAAAAATACCTTGGGTAGAAATAAATGCATTTTTTTGTTTGTAGCCATCCACAAAATTTGCATTTATGTAATCAGAAGTAGGGTCATCATCGATTACAGAGAGTAAAACACGGGAGTGGTCATAACACAGTACATCTGTGTACCTATTCTTCGCTTGATTTTGTTTCATCCTGCAAATATAACAAAAAAAATACAATGATCTATCCTTTTCCCATCAAGAAATATTTGAAATTACTTGGAATGATTGAAAGTTCCATCAGGAGGCCTGGCTTTGATCTCAGCATATTCGATACTAAGCCCGGCTTTACCTTTCGACCTGACTTTTTCGACGAACTCGATAAGACTTTGCCCTCCTGGGCTATCACAGTGTAGGCTGTCATCATCCGAAAAGCCACTGCTCGCTGACGAAGGAGCCACAGGTGACGCTGTGAAAACAACAGATAAATGACCATTCTTACATGGACCATTTTTCTACAATAAGCACATTTATAAGACTGGATCAAGTTAAATAAGCTGTACAGGAAATCCAAGCAGACAAAGCAAAAAAAGCTAAGTTGGAAACAGATTTTCATTTAAAAGGGATTTAGTGAAAGAACCTAAACTACAAATTTACAATTAGATGTGATATGAGTTAATGAAAGTTGAGTAAAGTGTGTTTTATTTCTTTAGATGATTTGATAGGACAAGCATCAAAATTCACAAGAAAACGTACACATCTTTCCTAAACTGAACTGATTTACAACGAGTGATCCAGCGAAATATGCAAGTGAAATATGGTCAAATTTGTTAAATCATCAAAAATGGGGGGATCCATATGTACTTGAAATGTTCTTGCATTTGCATTACCTGCAGATTCTGTAATAGGCTGCCAGGATTCATTGTTCGGATGGGAGTTTATCTCCTCATCTTCGGATACAACAGGGGAATCTGCATAACTTTCTAGCTGTGAGAGAAAAAAAGACAAATAAAAGATTTGCAATGGTTCAAATTTGTAACACTTCAACTCACGTTGTTTTGTGATTGGTTATAATCGAGAGTTTTATTGGCCATGGAAATTTGGCAATAGAGCAGCCAGGCATGGTGGGCCACTTGTAGACCCCCTCCCAGAGCCACTGGAAGGCTTTCTCGTGGAATGTGTAAGCTTAACTGGAAGCAAAATTTTAAATGTACAAACAAAGATTACAATTACAAATTAGATTATTAAAAATAATATGCCCAACTACCAACTAAAACTAGTTAATAACTAACTGCTACATCCTCTCATGCCTTCATCCTGCTGCAATCCCCCCTCCCCCTCTCACTTTCTCTATCTCACTCTCTCTCTTTCTCTCTCTCTCTCCCACCATCTCTCTCTTTCTTTCACCCGCACTCTCTCACTCCCTCTCCACCTCTCCCCCCTTTTCTCTCTCTCTCCCACCATTTCTCTCTTTCTTTCACCCCCCTCTCTCACCCTCTCTCTTTCTTTCACCCTTACTCTCTCTCTCTCTCTCACACACACACACCCCTCTCCTCCTCATCTCTCTCTTTCTCTCTCCCTCTCTCTTTCTTTCACCCTCTCTTTCTCGCCCCCTCTCTCACTCCCTCTCCTCCTCTTCTCACTCCTTCTCCATCCCTCTCTCTCTCCCTCTCTCTTTTCTTTCACCCTCTCTTTCTCACCCTCACAACATCTCTCTCTCTCTCTCCCTTTCTCTCCTACCACTCTCTTTCTTTCACCTATCTTTCTCTCCCTCCTTCCCTCACTCCCTCTTTCTCTCTCTCTCTCTCTCTCTTTCTCTTTCTCTCTCTCTCTCCCCTCTCTCTCTCTCCTCTCTCTCTCTCTTTCACTCACTCTCTCTCTCTCTCTTTCACTCTCTATCTCTTTCTTTCACACTCTCTCTCTCTCTCTCTTTCTTTCACTCTGTCTCTCTCACCCTTTTTTCTCTCTTTCACCCTCTCTCTTTCTCACTCCCTCTCTCTCACCCCCTATCGCCTTTTTTCGAAAATTCTTTTTATAATGTCTGTGGTTTAGTTCTCTTTCTCTCTCACCCTATTTCCTTCCTTACCACTCTCTCTCCCCTTCCCCTCCCTCACACTATTTATCTCACTCTTTTTTATCACTCTTTTTATAACTTATGAAACGAAAGTTTTCCCCTATGACATTTTTCCCTCTTTTGCACTTGCAAAATTGTCAATCCATTTTCCTCCCTAACCCTTTTTCTTTCTCATTTGTTAGCTAGCTTTGTCTGTCCATGTTTTTGCCCTAATATTATTTGTCTTGCTATTAATTCTCGCTAGATTTATCTTTGTTTATTCCCCCTAAGCTAATTTCTATTTCTCTCACGCACTAGCTAGGTTTGTCAATTTTCCGCCTAACGCTCTTTATAATTTTCTAACGTACTCGGTAGGTCTGTTTCTCATTTTTCCTGTACACCACATTTCTACTTTTATAACGCGCACGCGATGTTTGTCTATTTTTCCCCCGAAAACTATATCTCTCTTTTTCACTACGTGCTCTATTTTGCACTTAAAAAATTATTTTTCTCCCTCTCACGAGCTCGCTAAGTTTGTATGTGCATTTCGCCCCTAACGCTATCTTTCTCTTACATGCTCATATGTTTACGTGCCCATTTTTCCCCTAACCCTTTCTCTTTTTCTCATACGTTAGGCTAGAGAGTTTTGACCTTTGATTTTATTTTCTAGCACACTATTTGTCTTTTTCTCACGCGCTCGCGAGATTTATCCGTCCATTTCAACCCAATATTTTTTTCTTTTTTCTCTTTTACACAAGCCCTAGCTAGTTTTGTCAGTTTTTTCTGCTTAACACTATTTATCTGCTCGGTAGGTCTGTCCGTTGCTCCCCCTTACTCTAGTCTCACTCACTCGCTTACTCGCTTTCACGAACTCGGCAGGTTGGTCTGATCTCTAATCGGAAGTTTTCCTCGCCAATTTTTTTTTCTCTTGTTTCTTTCTCTCATGCGCACGCGAGGTTTGTTTTCCTCTTCAACTCTATCTCTTTTCAGTTCACAGGATTACTTGTTGTCAGTTCATACTCCTCTAGCTATGTATGTCTATTTCCCACCGTTACTAATTACTTTCTTTTCACACTTTTTCATATCACTCACTTCGTTTTCATATCTTTTTCTATTTTACATCGCTATATTTATTTTCTTTTGAATCTGCTACTATCTTTGTAGGTCTTTTATTCCTGTCTCTCCTACTCTGCTCCTGCTGCAGGCGAGTTCCATTTCCCCTGTCATTTTTCACCCATACTTTTTTTTCACTCTCTCATACTCACTAACTCACTTTTGCTTAATATATCAACTGACTGATATACTACCTTTAGTAATTATTAATGTTATAATTTTCATAAAGATTGTCTATTTTTAGGACCCTTGTTTGTCATAACTAATGCCGTATAGTTTTTGTTATCGATTTATTTTTTTAAATTTTACGACGAATTTCGAAAATGAGGCATTGATTATCCATTTAAAACCTTTTAAATAATAGAAGAACGCACTCACCTGTGGAAGACTTACAGTGAAGACCCTATCTCTCAGTTTCTCTCTCACGAACAGTCTTAGAATCTTGAAAGGGGCTTTAAACCATAGTGGAGCTGTTACTATAAGCACTTTTTTCAATCTGGCTGGATATCCGCCCTGTAATTAAAGCAATACACTTTAGTCATGAAAACTATCGAAATGAACGATTCGACCAAGTTTCTAAGTAGGTTGATAGTTGGGAAAGTTTGGTTTTTAAAAGGCGTAAAGTTTGGACTTTTTATCTATAAAACAGCTATTAACGGTATAGTCATAAAAAAACGGTAACGTACAATGGTAAATTTGTAGAAGATGCCGAGCTTGGAATGGTGGAGAAAAGCGAAGGGGTGGAAAACGCCGATATGTGGCGACATGCGCATTCCACCACCCCATGCGCACATAAAACACCCCCATAAGCTCAACATTTTGACCTTTTTTTCCTTTTTTTTAAATTGTTTTATTTATACGACAACTCGTTAAGCTTGGTACGATAATTCTTGTGCACTTAAATAATCTTATCTGAAGGCATTTGGAATCGAACAGCGGCGTGTCCAAATTGCCCCTTAAGCATAATTAAGCACCCAAAAAATTCTTCTTAGTAAATTGAAAAAAAAAAATACATTGATAAAATAAAAACTTTGTCTTTTAAGATCAAGTTGTTATATTTAGTTTTTTTTTTTTTTTATTATCGAAATCTAAAATTGTTTCAGCTTTCAAGTAAAAACTCTAAATTATCATTTTTATTTGCAAGTACAACATAACGGTACATAAATCGGAGTTAGAAGTTCCTCCCATCCACAAGTTCGCAGGGTTTCTCGTTGCGTCTGTCGGTGTAACTTTAGTATCAAAATTAATCTTAAAAGAGAAGTTTGAAACTGTTGAAGAAACGACAATTTGACCAACCTCTCCAGTTTAGGATCGAATATTGAATCGAAAACTATGTGGGACATATTCCGGCTCTAAACCTCAAAAATTTCATCTTCAAATACTGATTCTGTAGTTTGGTAGTTTCCGAACTTTTGGTCTGGCTTTCCTAGCTGTTTTATTCTGTTGGACGCTTTTCGTCATCTTCAGAGCCTGACATCAGGGTTGTAAACATGGAGAGACAAGCACACAAATCAAACACTGAAGGATAGACTGATGACCCCACAGACCCCATGAGGAACACTCATTATCCTCATTAACTGTTGCAACTGCATTTTCTATAAAATAATTATTACGCTTGTAAATTTGCATTTTAAATAGCATTATTATATTATTAAAAATATCATTTTAAAACAAAAACCCTTGAATAATAATGACATCTTCATGTCGACTTTACAAAATCGACTATCAATTTCATTTTCTTATAATTTGAAGAAATATTTAGCGTATGATTAGTTAAGAGCTTTTCATAAAAAGCAAACATCGGACTTTGAGGGCTTCATGAAAATGAAGGCAGACTCTGAGATTTAAGAGCTTCAGAAAAAAGTGAACAGCGAACTTTGAGTGTTTTATTTTAAAAAAATCTACCAATCCTAGCTCCGTACCATTTTGTAGTTTGCGTCTAGGTGGCTAGGTAACAAGGGTCCAGAAACGAGCTTCCAAATATTATATTTTCGAAATTAACATGTTCCTACAGAATCAATCGAGGGTAGGAGGACTTTGGCCTCGATGCGTTCGTTAAAAGTTTTAAATAATTGATTCCCCAGGGATATACGAAATCGATCTTAGATTCCCTCAACCCACGCTTCACTCTAATACATTATGTACCATTGCTAATCGGAATCTTGTTGCTCTCGTTTGGTGCAACATCTATGTAAATTTATATGGTTATAACGCTAAACCATTGGATAAAGATTGGAATTAATTAAACACACTTCGGCAATGAGACAGGAGAAATCCCAACAGACCTGTTGCTGTGGTGCTCCGCGGGGGAAAAATGTACCTGAAACGCAAATGTGGACAAAATACAACCACTATAATCGGGCCTAATAATTATTAATCACCAAAGTACGGACGAGGAATGAAAAATGAAGGGGCATTTTAATCACTCTCATTAATATAAATTTACTTCTGCATCGCTGATCCATTCTGCGACATAAATAAGGTCTTGAGATCAGTTATCACTGGATGAAAGGAATTAATCCAAGAAAGAACCTAAGTTTTCAGTTTCCATCAACAAAGTTTAATTTTAAAACTCTTTCTAAATGAAATGTTTTATAGCTTTTACTTGCTTAATACACTGTTTATAATGAATTTCTTTAAAAATAAGAAATGACAGAAACTTTTCTGTGATTTTCTCTTCTAAAATAAATAGAAACTGTTTACTTTGTATTTCGGAAAAAGTATGTCACTGGATTTCCTGTCTCTCTTGTTCATAATAATAACAGTCTTGCATTATTATTTTAACACCGTCTGTAAAAAAATACATTGAATTTGAAACCACCGGAAGAACAAGGCGTTATGTAAATGGATTCACGCAAAAAAGAAAACAAAACGTGAAAAAAAACGTTATAACTCGAGTTAAATCAGTCTATGTAAAATAATGATGTCTATGTATTGTCTGTTTGTTCGTTTCCGATCATTGTTGTCTATCTGTTACATGTTTCGATATATTCAGCGTTGCATCTGACCCCCTGCCTTTCCCTGCTTATATCCTTGATACCACACAGAAGATGGTAAGACACGTCTGATAGAATGAAATGTTGTTAAATACCTAAAAACTCATCACACACTCAGATCATCACGCAAGAAGTTCCAGAAGAAATCTCGCAAGTTGATATATCTATTATGTTTTGTGGGATTTCCTCATGTGGCCTGCACGATGATGAACATATTGGTTGAAAGTTATCATCCTGGACTGCCTATCCTCGCTGATTTTTGTTGGTTTAGAAGCTTTTCGGTATTTAGCCATTTTTAGAGTTTGTGTGATTTCTGTGGAGTGTTATTTAGTTTAGAAATCGTAGATGGTGTGGGGACTGGGTGGATATTAGAATTGTTTGTCGGTGAGTTTGATGGATCAAGTCTGGTTTTTAATTATTCTAGTTGGCCTTTATCTATGGTCCTTTTCCTTTTTAATTTGTGTATTATTTTAAATAATGTAACCGATGTTTGAGAGATATTGTTAATTTGTGTATTTGGGATTTTTTTAGTGTTGAATGTGTTGTTTACATATTAATTAGTTTTCGAGTACGTTCATTTTCCATCATTTTTGTAGGTTGTGTAGTTGTTTCATATTTGTATTGTCGATGGTTTGTGGTTGAATTCTATTAGGTCATTCGCAAATTTCGATTTTTCGTCTTTGCCCCTAAACGATTGGATTTGCTCTTTGTATCTGTCTTTTAATTTTTGTCCAGTCTTTCCGATGTATTTGTCTCCGCATTCGCATGTTGGTGTGCACAATATGTTTTTTCTTTCTTTTCTTTTAGTTGGTCCGTCTTGTCTTAGTACTTTTCCTATTTTGTTTGAAGTTTTTAGTGCTGTTTTTATGCCTAATTTGTTGAATAAGTTATTGAGCTTGTATGTCTCTTTCCCAACGTATGTGAATGTGGTCCATTTTTTTGTTTGCATTTTTATGATTTTGTTGATTGTGTTCGTGTTATATCCGTTATTGCGTGCTATAGTTTGTATTATTTTTCTTCTGTCATGTACTTCACTGCTGCCACTTTGTATCAGCGATGGTATGAGTCGACTTGTATGATGTCAGTTGCAGTCGGTTTTCTGTCTATGTCCAATGTAGTTTGTTTGTTTTTGTGTTTGTTAAGTCTTGTAGGTTTATACTGTTATTCGTTTCTATTTCTGCGGTGAATTTTATGCTTTCGTGTAATGAGTTCAGGTCTGTCATTACGTTGATTATGCTGTTTTTCTTGCTGGTGTCTAGTATGGCGAGTATGAAGTCTACGCATTTGTGTGATGTTTTGCCGAAATTTCGGTGAATTTACAAAATGTTACAAAAATACTTCTGCGAGTATGGCTGAAGTGGATTCCTAATCCGTCTTTTGCGTGTATACAGGGTGTTCGGGTACTCGTGTTACAAACTTTTCTAGTAGATTCTTTACTTTAAAAAGGAACAAAAAAGTCCTAATCTCAACTTTCTTGAGAACTTTTCCTATGGTCCGAATCTCAACTTTTTCGGAGTTAATTCATTTTTTCTGATTTCTTGAGATTTCACGACCTTGCTTCAAATAAACAATCATAACTCCAAACCTAAAAGGTTTTAGACCAATCCGTTGATACCATTTAAAACTACGATAAATTTCCAGTAAGATGTGATCAATGCTAAACTTGTAAACCTTCGTGAATTAAGCGTTTTAGTAGCGAGAACTTAAAAAAAAAAATTAAAAGTTGAAAAGCTAGTGACTTCCAAACCTAGAGACCAGCAAATTTCAGAAAACGTACTCCATTTAATGTCGTTTTAATAAATTCATTCAAAATTTTCTTAAGTTTTTTTAATATTATTATTAATCTTTCTTCAGCCACGGTTTTTTCCTTTCCACCATCAATTTCTTAATCTTTAAAACAAGTAATTAAAAAAGCAATTACACAACTAAAAAGGATATTAAATGGAGTACGTTTTCTGAAATTTGCTGGTCCCTATATTTGGAAATATTATTTTAGAATCTCTATAGTAAGTTTGTCAACATTGAACAAAAAATTATTTTTCATAGATCTGGCTACTAAAACGCTTATTTCACCAACGTTTACAAGTTTAGTATTGATCTTATTAGAAATGTAACGCAATTTTCAATGGTATCAACGGATTTGTCCAAAACCTTTTAGTTTTGGAGTTACCATTGTTTATTTGAAGCAAGGTCGTGAAATCTTAAAAAATCAGAAAAAGTGGAGTAACTCCGAAACTGTTGAGATCAGGACCATAGTTAATTAGGACTTTTGGGCTCCATTTTGAATGAAGAATCTACGGGTAAAGTTTGTAACACGAGTAGCCGAACATCCTGTATTTTCTCTTGATTTTAAACTAGTTTCGTTGTGTCGTCGTTTGTATTATGCTTATCTTTTACTCTTTTGTAAAGTTTATTCGCTAATGATTTACAAACCTAGTGCAATGTGTTTCAACTAGACCAATTTTATTGTGTCTTCAACCTACTCCATACCGATATCCTTTTGATAATGAAAGTTAATTTATCTCAAAAGCACGCTGTACATGAAAACAAGAGTTTTTTCATTGCATACACATTCTTTTTTGTTATGGATCCGCTTTAAAATTAGTTTCCAATCTTTACCTTAAACAATAGATATGACGCAATCGCAAAAGGAAACTTAGACCCTACAACTAATAAAACCCACACTCAAAACACAAACATTAAATAAATAAGGCCATCATAGTATATTAAATCATGTAATTTTTTTGCAATTTTTCCAATGTTAAATTTACCGCAGAAGGGAATGAAAATATTTCACTAAAGACTGGAAAATCAAAACAGAAGAAAATATCAATCGGCCAAGAAAAGTCGATAATTTACTATGCAAAGAATGCTCAGCAACAATGGTCTCGGACTGTGCCAAACGAAAACTAAAATACTCTAAATCTATAACAACCGAAAAATTAGAATCTTCCAAATAAAAAATAAAGTATACTTCCTTTAGAACAGTATAATAAATACGCTATGAAGTAACAAAGTCATCTTCTTTCTTTTTTCACACATTTATTTTTTATTGGCGGTAATTAATACTTCACCTTGGTGATACATTCCCGTAGAAAATTTTTTCTCCGAGTGAAATGTATAAACTGTATATCTGAAGAATTCTATTTTGCATATTACGATGTTTGCTGTTCACTGGACAGTTTCTCTTAGGAATCTTCGAATTGGAACAAATGATATGTGGTAGGCACAAGACGAATATCCTAATGAATAAAATGGGTAATATAATTAAAAAATCTGCAAATCACCATCTTTCACTTGACAATGAGAAAACATTATTTTCAACCCTATCCCCCCCCCCAACTCATCATTTGCTATAAAAGGGTTAAAATATAAATTCAAAACCAACCACTATTTCCAAATTTGTTTAAACCCAAAATTAGATACTGTAGGTCGCTTCCTTTTTGAATGCCATTTCCAAGTTTCCGATCGTAGTAAATATTTAAAAAACACTCCAGATTTGATTTCATGTAAAAACAACCAGGAACATGTACATGATATTTATTATTTCTGCTTATCTTTGTTAAAAAAAGCGAGTTAAATGTGAAACCTGTTATCTTGAGCAATATTATATTAGGTATGATTTAGAAAATTTATTGTGCTTTCACTTATTGTATGTATTTTATTTTTATTTTGTGCATTAAGGCCATTGCCAACTATCCTCTAGATCCTTTCTATAACAATAAATAATAGTTATAATATTACTATGTTTGTAGTAGGTTTTTGAATATAATTCTTCGCGTAAAACTGCGATTTAATGCATTTCACAACGAGCAATTTTAATCAGATAATTAATGAGATGCATTAATAAGCACGTCTGATTTTCTGCGAACTCTTTATTGATAGTTTTCGTTTTTAAACCATAGCCCCCGTCGGTCGCGATTATTAAAAGCGATATAAGAAATTAAAAATAACTTTGTTAAATTTAACATTAGACCATAAATACAAGCACTTCTGGACAAAGGTTGTAGGTGTAATAATTCATAAATCCTTTACCTTTCGGCGGCCAACGTTTACGCCACTGGGACGCCAGTTTATGGTTTTTAATGGATGATCTCGCTGTATAAAGTTGGAAAGTACGTCATTAAAGCACAGTTTATATTTAAAGGGTTTCTTTCTCAATTCCCTGGCACTTGAGACGGTTCCAAGTCCTCCAACCCGGGGGAGAGGGAGACGTGTAAAAATACAAAATCACACTGGGGTCTTTAAAAATGAAAACTTTTGACAGAGGGAGGGCAATATTCTAGTGATCACTCAATTTCGATTTTACCGATCGCCCAGCTCTTCTGATGGTCACATAACTTTTCAACAAGTACGAATCATTGTGGCAAGTTTGAAAATTTTACTATTAAACCAGACACATTTTTGCATTATTCAATACCTCTTGAAGTCTGCGAAGTTTAGTCGTTTGTGCTTCTCGCCATCTTCAGTGCATATTATCAGGGTTATAAGCAAGGAAAGGCAAAACAAGAGATCTGGTAGATTGAAAACGACCAAACTACAAATATTAATTTATTTCGTTGTTTTATTTAAAGACGGGGTTCTACCTTTAGAATAGAAGATTTTGTATGTACAATACACCACTGAAGATGTTGAGAAGCCTAAACGCATCTGACGAACAACGAGAATTATTAATGTGTATCACAAAAATATTTTTATGGCCTAAACAGTCAGCCTCAAAAGCTAATAATTCTACATTGCGCGACATATTTCATATTTTTAATTAGTTCCTTTTGTGAACAGTGGATAAATAGTGTGGCATTATTTATTATTTTTGGTAATTGCACATTTTACACAGATTAAATTTTTAGTAATTTAATTAGGGTACATTGCCACTAGTCAGCTGGAGTTTCTTCATTAGTTTCATTAGCATAATTATTGCATAAATACCTAAGCTTGTGGCTAAGATTTGTAACATTTTAAACAATCAATTAAACAATTTTTGTTGGTACTATTAGTATTTTAATATTGTTTTAACAAAAATATATTTTGTGAATTTCTTCTTGTAGTTTGAAGGTTTCTAGTATTTTCAATGCTTTTGTCTGTCAGACATGTTTCAGCTTTTCACAATCTTCAGAGAAGAGTACAAGTACCTTTCATCTTTTACTAACTCACCTAAGTAAAATAGTAGACAACCCCAAAAAGCCGAAATGTGTCCGACAGACTAAAATGACCAAGCTACAAATATTGGTACATATCCCCCAAACATTATTTACACAGTATATATATTTTTCAAAAATTAACTATTTTATTACGTTTTATTGTATGCTGCGTTCATCAGTACAGATGAAGGCTATTGGTACAAAAAAAATTCAATGGTGACGTTTTTATTTTTAGGAAGTATTGGGCCATTGGCCTATCTTCAGCCCAAATGGGATAATTCCTGCTTAGCACCCCACAAACCAATTGACATTCCTTTCAATTTTAATTCAGGCATCTTTCAGCAAAGCTGGAATGGGTTTCCTTATTTTATTAATCACTTTCTGCATCATGTTTTTTAGATTAAAAATTTTACCCTATTCAATATTTACCAGGATAAAGTCTCGAAAAACAAGAAAAGGTCCAGAGGACTATTCACAATACAATAACATAGGACAAGGACAGTAATTAAAACATTTAATGCATGGCCGTAAAATTCTCTTACTATTCCAACATTTTAATATTTTTACATGTTCCCATTGAATATTTCTCTAGCTTCCTTCCTATTCAAATAAACCATGTCGACACATTTAAACTTAAATATAATTTTAAAAAATTAAGAGTTAAAAGTAGATTTATTTTATATTTGCAATAATCAAAATATTGCCAATCATACTTGGTTAATTGTCATCATTATGAGGATAACTGGAATTTCTAGTGTACCACAGAATTTTTGTTTTTAATTTTATTATAAAACTCCTCTTCCGTTTTTACGCATGAATTTTAAATTTTAAAAAAGTTTAAAAATAACGTCTACTACAAGTTTGATGCCTTCCAATGAGTGACACACTTTTCCTTTAAGGAAATTCAGTAATTGCTTCTAATGGGTTGGTAGTCTAAATGAATGAAGGCACGTTTGCCAAGTGAGTGTGTTCCATAAATGCTCAGATTTTCCAAAATCACATCAGAAGAAAACTAAATAACGCATCAGCCAAAGCTGAGGTTTTTGAACAATTTCTCCATTTTTAGAGTCCCCCCACACACGCTTAGTTTATTTGTCAATGTTGCTTATCGTTCTTTGTTGCTTGTTGTTGCTGAATCCAGATTGGCAGAATTGAGTACATTGAGTATTGATTTAAATGAGCAGCCAGCCACAGCTCAGATTTTAGTCGTTTCTTTACATGCTCTGTTTACCTGAATCCAGATCAGAAGAATAAACTGAATAACATAAGCTCTGTTTTTTGTACGATTAATCGATTTTTAGAGACCCAATTTATTTGACAGTTTACTAAATCCAGATCAGAAAAAATGACTAAACTGAGCATGTAGCTCAATTTTTTGTCTAGTTTAAACTTTTTCCCCCAAAGCTCAGTCAAGAATAAATATCAACATAAGGAGGAAGTTACATAACATAAGATCAAGTGTGTCCATTATAAGGCTTCTAATTTCTTAATATCATAAAGAACCTTTGAGAACTCAAGAAACCAATGTTTTGACATTAAGTTCATCCATGCCATTAAATATTGAAAACCAATTATCGATTTAAATACATTACACATTGTAAATGTTTTAAAACTTTGCTACTGCCTGCTGATTTTGATTTTTTATTATCAGGTTGGTTAGCAAATTATTTGCAGTATTATGTGATATTTAGTCAATAGCAATAATGGCGGGAGTGTGGGAGGGTGCAACAGCTTTGATTGAGTTTCTTGTTGCATTGACATGGGGAATTATCACTGGAAGAGTGGGTTTGAATTTCAGCCTCCATGAATTACCAATGTTCTTCAAATGGGTCATACATTAACATTAACATAAACATCCCATGCTTTAATGGTCTAATAAATAATTGTTGTGCAAAATTTGTATAGTTTAAACCACCAAAAAAATAGTAGCTGCATTTAATGAGTAAGTAAATTAAATTTCCAAGCATTCATTCTGAAATGTATAGCTTGTTGCCTATAATTTCCCAATGGAGTGGTAATAAATTTTGTACATTCGTACATTTTGTACATTTGTACTTCCATTACTAATAAAAGAAATGGCTTACCTTTAGAAGAGTTAAAATTTTTTGGCTAAGGTCATAGTCGAAATGCGAATATTTGGAATCTGACATATCATATATGAAAACAATTCCGGCCTTTTGTGTATCCACGCTCTCCAAGGCGACATCTAACTGGTAAACCAGACCCTATGTCAAATAAAATCAAAAGTCTTAATATTTTCTATAAAATTAATAGTCCTGATAATATAAGGATAAGAAGTCTGATTACCTGCAATGTGGTTTGGTGGGTTGAGGTCTGTGGACAGTGTATCCTAGCTGTAAAAACAGCGATCGCAGCGCCAGTAGAATCTCTCGTGGGCTGAAAGAACAAAAAAAATTTAAAAATCTAATCGACATTTCCCTTAAAATAAATCTTCCATAATAAAGAGGGGACATAGCATAAAAAGTAGAGTTTTAAAAGATACAATAAATATTTTATTGCAAAATGAAATATATTAATCAAATAAAAATATTGTTCATTGAAATAAACATACTAGATGCAATCGTTGCACTTATGAAGATAAACAGTAGAATACTGCTTCTGTTCAATTTTTGCATTATTTTCTGTTAGCAAACATAGTTCAAGAGTGGAAAAATATCTCCCAATTATTTTCCATCCTAAAGTTTAAAGAATACTTACCAAAATTGTAAATTTCCCAGAATCAAGTTCACTTTTCAGCGGCTCCTCTTGAGGATTCAAATCAACCAATCCTTCCCTCTGCCTCGTCAGTTCATGCTGTTCGAACAGTGTTATCGCCCTCGATACTTCAAATTTCCTGGCTGACAGGAACTTGACCGCCGTCGAAGGCGACACGGCGGCTGAATTGCCGGACCTCTTCCTTCTGAGTTTATTGACAGCTTCTAGAAACGTTTTTGTTGCCTAAAGCAAAAAGGGGGAACGACATTCAAACGACATAAAACAAAAAATTGAGTGGACTTCTATTATCAAACTGCAAACATTACATTGAATTTTATCACATATCATAGAAATTCTATTTTATCCATTAAACAAATCTGAATTTCATACTTGAATATTACAGTGGTGAAAAAATATTTTCACATTTCTAGCAAACTTACAGCAAGTAAAAACCTCTTTTGTTCAATTATTTTCTTTTATTTTCCATTTAGTTTCAATTTGGATGCTGATGACAGTACAACATTAATTTATTATGACTTATGTCAGAAATATTTACCACCTGGGTTCAAGGGTTCAATAATGAAAACCAAAAAAAATTATTTATATGTACATACAATGGCAGCTATGGTGTTATTTTTTATGCTTCAAAAATCTTAAAAAAATGACATTAACTTACATTAATTACTTTAACTGTAATGTTGGCTGCTCTTGAGCCAAAGGTCGTGGGTTCGAATCCCACTCATGACACTAACTTTTTAATTTCAACTAAAACCTTATGTAAAAAGATTAATTAATTGGAAGAAGTACTTTGGTCAATAGACCACTAAATATAATAGATATAATTATAAGGACAACCTGCAAGCATTTTATTATCTGATATACTAGATTTTTTTTAAAACAAATTTATGTAATTTCTTTTGGAAATATGAGACCAGGCCAGGCTGTCTTAATTTGCTAGGTTCCTCTATAATTTATGATATTTTAAAATTATTATCATTTTCTTTTACTGATTTCTGTCCTCAGTTTTGTATGAAATTCTAAAAATTTGCTTAGAATAGTGCATTAAAAAAAAAATCCATGCCAAGTCACACAAAAATCATCTCTGAAATAATATTTGGTACACTCAGTAAATGCCAAAACCTTATTGTTTCTCGCAAATTTTGGTCCAAGCAATGTGAAAATATATCATTAATTTTCAGTTGTTACTTGAATGATGTTTGAGTAAATTAAATGATTCCTTTATAATTATATTTAACGTTAGAAACTTTAATTTTGCAAAAGATGCAGGTATTCAAATAAATTGTATTTGAAAAAAATGTTGCATGTGACATTCTAAATTAAATACTAATTGTAACTATTAACTGTGTAATTTATTTCATGAATTGATGTTTTATGTATTTGTACTATAATATGACAAAAATAATTAAAGAAACAGATAATTTATAAGTGTGTATATTTTTTGTTCATGATTAATTTTTCTAGTCAAATGAAAAGTATTTTTTCTATTTTGAGTGCATGTATATGTAAATGTAAATTGCAATTTATTTAAAAAAAATTCAAACTGATGTGTGTTAATTAATTCAACCTTCAAATTAAATCCATCAACCATGTATGCAATATTTAAATATTCTAATTACTTTATCTCACCAAGCAGTGACAATTTCAATTTAACTTTCTTGACTACTTAGTCAAGATGCTTGATTTGATTTTACTGTAGGTTCCAGCAGTAGGCGCCCAAGATATTTGTTAATTATAATAAGAACAGAAGACGGTGGTAACTAGAGTAACTTTGTATAACTAAAAAAATGGAATAAAAATTAGCCATCATAGAGTTTAATGTAAATGATTAATCAAATATTTGTGTAACACAAGTATACGATTTTTGATATTGCAGTCTCCGAATTTATTTGTGCATCCTTCTTGTGCAGTTCTTTTTTGTTTTTAACTTTATGTCCATATTTATATAGTATGAATAAGAAATAATCAAATCATTTAAAAACTAGTTATGAAATAAAAACACACTTTTTTTAGAATTGAAAGTATATAATTTTAAATGCTATAAAAACAAAGGTGTGTTAAAGTGCTCCAAAATAACGCAGCAGGACTGCAGCCAAGAAAGTGTTGAAAAACATGTAGAGGATAAACGAGCAGTACGGCATGTTGCAAAAAAGGGATAAGCTAACGATAATCACAGTCCACGTCAAAATGTGCCAGGGTGGTTCGCGAAGTACAGTCGGCAGCTGCTCGCGCAGTGCATCTATCGCAGCTTCTTGTAATGGGTACTGGAAGGTTGAAAACGCACATGAGTTATGGAAAATCATTTAAAAGTTCTAGATTTTTTAATCCATATGCTACTTACTCACACAAATTCTTTCATTAAAAAATTATTATAAAATGGATTTTTCTTACATAGAAAACGGTTTAGTTAAAATTATACACCAATACAAACTTATAAAATAATACTTATTTTATATACGGTAATATAAGTTTACAATTGTGTTCTTTGTTATAACTATATTAAATTAATCGAGCAATAATGAACATGGAAAAACGTTTGTCTACAGCTTGATCTTCCCTGACCTATTATGGCTGTATGTTTACGAAACTAAAATCATACTCACAAAAGCAACAAGTGTCACCAGCAAAGGTGAGATACTGCGATGATCAGGGACGACCAAACTGTGCACAAACTTTCAATAAACGTCAATCAGAAAGCAGATACGTTTTCATAATTTTTTTACAAGCTAAGATTGCAAAAAGTTAAATATATAGTTAATACCAAATTAGTTTGTATTTGTAATAGCATCACTTGTTTTAGGTAGGTTATTACAAAGATAAAAGATAAGTTTAATTTGCTTTTTTTTCTAGGTGTATATAAACCTCACAAAGAACACAACTGACTAATTCAACGTTTTTGAGTTTATATTATACAATAAACTATTAATTCAACAAATATAATAGATAGAATACACCACCTCTTGTTCAATGTGTTTCAATTATAAAGTTAAATTCTACTTCCTTATTATCTGTTGAAATTTCTTCACTACTGCCCCTCCTACTTATTTGCGCATGTATTAATCTCAATATGGTATAAATCTTAAATGAGTGTTGTGATAATAAAAAATAATAAATTTCTGCATAATTACAGTTTAAAAAGTCTCATTAATTTTGGATGCAGTGATTGTATTTTATTTATTCATTAATTTGTATTTTTAAGGAAATAAACATGGTTTTTAGTTAGTTCCCTTCTTGTTTAAATACTGTAGCATATGGTTACAGTAGAAAAGAATCAAAATAAATAAAATGAGATGAGTTGAATTTTATGTAAGTAACTCTTAAATCTCAGTGGGATAGATTTTAGTATCTTAAACATGTTTAACATGGAATATTAAGATTACATAGTTTTGTCTTTTTAAAGAACACAACTTCAGATATCAATTTAAATTACATTTAATTATTTACAACACACTTTTTGTGTGTATTTTTATACAACACACTGTATATTTAAAAAAAAAAAAAAAAAGAAACCATCTAGATCTTGATATAGCAATTTGTTTAATTTTAAGATTTCTCTGTGTGGTCTGTGGGGTAATTTGGTCATTACCTATTATTTTGGTCTGCCAATCCTTGCTGGGTTGGTCTACCATATATTTTTCAACAATTACAAATTTATTTGGTGCTAGCCACAAATTTAATTTTACCAGAAAGCAAAACAGAAGAACTACTACTAACTAACAATTTTAATTTTTGAACTACTTGAATTAATGTGCGAACAAATTATTTCATGTGCAATTTTTCTATACTTACCTACTGACTAGGTATTTTTTAAAACAACTTTGTAATGGGTACCATACAGTATACACACTTAGTTAAACTGTCAGTTTGCCTGAATGAATGCAGGTTGTAAAACAATTTGAACTATTCACATATTCACCTATAGCTCATTAAAAACGTCGTTGAACTCATTAATAGGACTATCACCAGGTATGAGAATAGGGTAACCCTCATATGGATACCTGCTCATAAGGGGCACTATGGCAAAGAGCAAGCGGACAGCCTGGCCAAGGAAGGATCAAATACTGAGTTCGTCGGACCACAACCGGTATTACCCCACTCTTTAAGCACAGCAAAAGAGAGTATAGGTAGCTGGGGCATGAAACAATTCCNTATATATATAGCTCAGTTTCCTATCAATTTTTTCTTTCAGTTTTCTCAGTATTAATTGCATTTGTTCATCATCGGTCATATGGGTGACAAAAGGAATGTAGAATTTGATCTGTTAGCTGCTATTTCAACAGAAGAGGAGAAAAATGAAAAACACAATAAAAGAGATACATATATTATGGAGTGGGTTAATAGGAGCTTATAAGTGGTGTGAGTGCTTATAAGTGTAAACCTGCTGAATGATTGCTGAAATAACTCTCAGTTTACGAAAGAGAATTAAGGTCCCAGTATTCCCAAATTAAGGACATTTCACTGGTTAGAAATATATACCACTTAGATAATCATTTGCTAACAGTTTAACTGAGCGTGTATGGGACCTTTAAGATATATAAAACTTTTTGGAAACAAAAAATAGAGTATTCATGTTAAAAATGTTACAATTATAAAATGGGCCAATTCCAAATTTAACACATAAATATAAAATTTTAAAAGTGACCATTTATTTTAATCCGTTATGTTTAGTGGTCTGATTGACGAAATTATTTCTTTCAATTAGTTATTCTTTTTATGTAAGGTCTCGATAGAAATGAAAAAGTTATTGTCATGAGCAGGATTCGAACCCATGACCTTCAGCTCAATAAGCCGCTGCTCTAACCACTTAGCTATCATAACATTTATTATTTACATTTATTTTAATTTAAATTAATTATTCTTTTTTTCTACATTAACTTTTTCATCTCAACAAAAACCTTAGATAAAAGTATAATTAATTAGAATAATTAATAAGGTCAATCATGACTACTAAACATGTATGGACTATATTTTATTATTTTGTTATGTTAAAATACAAAATGATGCTAATAATACAAATCATAATCCAAAATACAGACATTAATCATCAAGTAAAGTTACTCTATTGTCTAAAATGTTAAGAATGATATGGATAATCATTGGAAATATTTATTAATTTATCTGTTTTATTTATTTTTTAATTATAGAAACAGCTATATAATCCTGAACCATACATCCATCTTTTTCCTTTTTTTTTCTTTTACTTTTTTTTAAGAAATAAATGTGAACAGTTTATTGATATATTAATCAAAAATTCATACGCATTAACTCCTAAATTGTGAACTTTTTACACTTACTAAAAATAAATTTGTGCGGAAGTTGAATTATTGATCAATTTTGTCTCAAAGATTCTGGACTTCAAAAAAGTTAAAAAAAAAAAAAGAACTAAACATTACATTAAATTATACGTGGAGAAACACCAAAATGAGTAGACATAAGGGAAAAAAAGGGACTTACATCTGTGAAATCTTTATGTTGAGGGGTGAGTCTATCATCTCTAGCATATCCAGAGCCCCATGAGACTTGTGGGGTTCTAGATTCCTGCAATTTGATGAGGAGTGGAATATCGATTTTCAAATAAAATGTCTTAATTTTAAAGATACTCATTCCCTCTTTATTTCACTTGTTAAAATTACTTATCGTTTATTTTCTGTGCGAGTACACAGTTTTGAAACAAAACAAAAAATCAATACTATGTTACTAACGTACTTAGTGTAACTCAACAAAAGTAAATAAAAGACAAAGCAGTTGTTTTAAATATTATTGTATTTCACTTTAAATTTTTTTTCTTGTTTTTAAATAAACCGACTGACATTCACTGAGCTTTGTGACCATTTTACTCTAAGGAACTGGGCCTTGTCATGATCAGACCGTGGTACTTGAGCACAACTAGATTGAAGAGCAATGTGAATGTCGTGTATGCGATGAACTTTGGTAACGGCATGATGAAGAACATCAATAGGAAGCCGATAAATAATATCCCAACCAGATAATTCCACGGAGGTTTTGATAGGTTCTCTGGGATCAGAGGGCTCAGCTTTCCCATCGCTATTCTTACAAAATTGCTAGTTCTCTGAAAATTTAGATATTTTAACCGATTTGTCTTTTATTGTTAAAAAAAAAGTTAAAAGTATGGGGAAAAACATATAGATGGCATGAGTGCTAAAGATTGAATTATTTTAACTGACATTGAAAATTAAATGCTGTAGGCTGGTACTATGTATTTAGAATCCAATTTTAAAAAAACTATAAAAATATTAAGAATAAATTGTTTTTTTTTGCTAATTTATTCTATAAGTTAAGAAAACTTATAGCCTATAAAACTTTACAACACTGTAAAGGAATGAAGCAAATAGGCAAATATTGCTGATTGTTATTTGATGAATATCTCTTATTTACTTAACTTATACAAAAAGGTATTTATCATGTAAGTAATTCAGACACAAATTTAACAAGTTGTTTAAATTTTATGAAAATGAGAAATAGACAAATCAATTTAACAATAGGAAATTATATTTTACTGGTTTGAAACGAGTCAATCGGTTAAAAAATCCAAAGGGCTGCACAATGAAAGTCCACTTTTCTAATTCTCCATCTTAGTCATCTCTCTTGTTCTTTCCCAAAAAATTGTATCTGATATATAAAAAGGTTTCCATTCAATGGATTTAAAGGTACCGACAAGTATTCTTGGAATACGTACAATCCTTAGCACTCAAATAATCTGCTGTAATGATAATTGTAAGAACTAGAAGCCTCTAATCATACATTTATAGACACTTAGTTACATAAGACAAAATGGCACAAAATTATGATGTGAACTTCTCCAAAGAACCGGAAAAGTTAACCGTTCAGGGCCTGTTTGTTAAAACTTGCTTTATAAACCCCCATCTCAAATAGGAAATCATAAATAGTATTGAACGATGGACAGTTTATTTATGGGAAAACCTTATTAAAACTGGCCAGAGAAATAATCTGATCATAATTTTTTTTTTAAATCAGAATGTTAATAATTATGTTATCTCTTGATAATTGGTTTTATCTTATAAAGTTGTTGACTATTTTGTTCTATTCAAATGTAAGCCAACAGAATAATAGAAAACATTTATTTTTTTACTACGTAAAATTTATATACTATTAAGAATAATTAACAATAAATGTCAATTTTGTGTAGCTATTATATGAGGCAATAATTTCATAATTCCATCTACTTTTAACTGATAGAACAAAGCCATGATAAATTTCAATGTTATTTTTGATGATGATGTCATTTGAAGCATTTTCAATCTACACTTTTGCTTTGATTATAATAGTACTACAAAAGAAGATAAAGAATGCCAAATATTCCGAGCCTTGCATTTTTTGAAACTGCAAGCAGACGGCTTGACACTCGATTTCAAGAAAAATCACAATGTTTAAATTTTATTCAACACAAGTCATTTCGATTTAGGAATTTAAGGACTGAACAGACTATTTCTTTTTGAGCACACTAGCCAAGTGAAAAACGCAGGTCTGCGTAGTCTGACAATGCAAATCACCGATGTGTGAAATAACTAATGACGTACTTTAAACAAGAACTAGTCACACTTAGGGCTGAACAAGTCCAAAATACACTAGATTATCAAAACAGACAAATCTTTGAAGAACTGTACCCGTAAAATGCTTGGGCTAAATCTAATAACGACATGGATTGTTTGCAGAGTACTTTTCAATCATATTCCACACCATTCATTATGAAAAACTTGTCCAGAATTACCAGATTTATACTAAACAATACTCCTCTTCCACCAAAACCATTAGAAAATAAGAAACAATTAAACTGTAGTTTGGACATGTCTGATCGTTTTTGTTCTGCCTATCGTCATTGTTTTGGTCTGTCTGTGACACACCAAAAGGGTGAAGATAGGCAGTCTAAAACAGTCAGAAATAATCAAACTACAAGTGCATCATCCTACTGACCTAAGGAAGAAATTCACAATAATCTCCCTAATTCAACAATTATCATACCCTACCTGAAAATTCTTTAAAAAAGGTCTTCATTTGAATATCAAAATGCAACTCATCATTGTTAGAATCATAGAACGTAGCTGTGGCACATCATATTGTGCAACACTGCACTGTTTCTATTCATTTCTTGTTGAAAACATACACAGGTAGCTAGGAATTTGGAGGCCTACAAGCAAATACACGATGGACAACCGTTTTATGGAACTGTTCAGTTTTTGAACCCATCCTTCTTTAGGCTATTTTGAGGGCCACCTAATTCCCGATACCCAGCTGTAATTCACCCAGTAGCTACAACTGTTAATTTATGCAGTGTGCAGTAGAAAATTGTACATACTGGTTAACCAGAAAAGCTCATGCAGTTGTATTTTGCTATTGTTTTAATATCATTAATCAATATTTCTATTTATATAGAAGGGTTAGGCGTAATACCAAGAATTACAATTTCCACAGCATTTGGTGATGAGACAATACATGGTCACACTACCCAAAAGTGTTTCAAAAAGTTTTAAAAATTACTCCACCAAAGTCACTTGGAGAATATTACATTCACATTAATGAGGCAGGGTCATTTGGTGACAGCCAATGGTACAACTTCTTGGTCAAAAAATGTCCATTTTGTACCATCAAAACAATGAAAGGCCAATGTTTAAAGGTAAATTTATGAGGAACCCATTTGCTCAGATTCCACATCTTAAGTATGGTTTCGTCATTTACGTTGGAGGTTTTGGCATACCCCTGATATGTTTGACACAAATCATGTTCGATAAATAAACTCAATTTGTCGTCATTCAAGACAGGTCTACCAGTCCACAGTTCATCTTCAACTCAAATTGCCAGAAGCAAACCTTTTGAACCACTTTTGGGCAGTGCGCTTGTTTGTTTCATCACTAAATGCAGTGCAAATTTTACAACTTGCCTCAGGCCAATGCAATAAGCATGTATGAATTATTAGTTTTGAAGCCATGAAAAAGAAAAGATTTTATTATTTACAATTAACTATCCAAGATAGTTTTTATTCATGAGGTATTGTGATTTAAACACCTCATCCTCCTATGGATATAAAAACATTGATTAACGGTAATAAAACAATAACCAATAAAAAACCACAAGAACTTTTCTGGTTACTAGGCACTCATGAATTATTGTTTTATTGATGCAAAAAAAGACTATCATCCTGGTCTGCCTACCCTCGCTGATTTTTGTTAATTCAAGCAATGCAGATTTCACCATCTTACACATCTAAATTTACAAAAATCAGCTAGGATAGATCAGGATGATAGGTAACAATCTAATAATAGGTTTATCACCTCACAGACCACAGGGGGAAATCTCACAACACAACTTACTACAATACACAACTTAGATTAGTATACATGAAATGAAAAGTATCATGGTGGGTACAGTTAAGGCTAAAACACTTATGCAGTCCCATCAAGACATACTAGGACCATTCCATGTACATCGATGCAACAATGAAAAACTGACAAGTGGTAGAAAGTTCCTGTTGTTACATGGACATGGGTCAAGACGTTTGAAGCGATGGACCCAAGACCATCTCTGTGACAAGTTGAGGAACCTTGTCGATACCAACTCAAACATTTAATTAACATCATGAGAAAAAATTATTCAATGATTGTTCAAATTTGAACAATGAATAACATTTGAAAAATGGCAAAAAGGAGGTAAAATTCAAAAGGTGTGGTTGAGATGGGAGGTTGGTGTCCGAGTGGGTCGAACCAAAATACGTACACGGGAGGAGGATTAAGTATGTATTTAAAATCAATGGAAAAAGACAATAAACAGACATAAAACTTAACGAAGATCATAACCTTTTTCTTTTTTTTTTAAAGAAAAGAGTTGACTCGCAATGATTTTGTCTAAGCTTTTCCATATGCCTTAAAAACAAAAAAATAACGTTTTCCTTTCTTTAAATGCGTAATAACAGAAAATGAATGTATAAAAACAGTTGGCATACGATCGTCGAAAATCGGTTTTGAATTGGTCCAAACCGTTTGTGCCAGTTTGCTCCCTTAAAAAGTAAGGATAAATTTAAATATCGAAAAAAGCTTTTGTGTACCTGTCGTTGTTCCGGAGTCAAATTATTGGCCATTTATGTCGATTAAGTTGATTATTGTTTTCCGCCGTAAAAAACCGAATCTGTGATGTTTTGAGAGTTGATTTTTCCTCTGGAGAGACGTTCGAATCACGTTTGTGCCGATTTCCTGTAAAAGGGCCCATTCATGTTTGTCTGGAGTGGTCAGCGATCTAGCTCGACTCCTCCCGTTGGACACACGATCAAAACTTTTCCAATCCGCTCCTCGGGGCCCTTATCATTTCCGCGAGTGAACACCGACTCCTCGGAAAATTACTAAATACAAAAGCCACAACAAAACCCCCGACAATCGCCCTCAGCTGATTTATTAAGCCACTGCCACAAAAATTAGACTGAACCCGAGTCGTCACAAAGAAAATAACGTCCGAAAGTTTCAAACCGGTGAATAATAAATTTAAAAACTACCATTATATCATGCAGATATTTTTACTCGATCGTCTCTTCAATTTATACGAGAATATTCGACAATTTTCTATCCAAAAATTTCCTTTCCATCCGCCCGACATTACCGCTCATTTGAAAGAACGTGTATCGGCGAGAATTTATTTAATTTTAAAAATGGGGCTTTCTACCCCCTTATCTGGCTCTACTTTAGAAATAAATTGAGTTATATTAACACAATAAAACAATAACAGTAATAATATTAAAACATAATATAACTTTGAGGGGGGGGGGTGGCCGCAACGGTTAGGCGTTTACAGGCGCCCATCACTGTAAGGTAAAGGTCCCGGGTTCGAATCCAGCGGCCCCATTCGAACCAGACATACTTACAAGTGGACTCTTTTTCAAAAACACCGGCTCCCCGAGGGTTGATATATAAAAAAATATACAAAACAATACCATATACAAAACAATAATGACAATAATATATTTTTAAATATGAATTATATAATTAGAGGTGGAAATTAATTATTTAATTAGAGGTGGAAAGGTCAGGGTTTGTCATTTGCGACTGCAAAGTGCAAACCATAGACTCAGAGTCATTAAAGCTTCTTTGAAAAGGGGCTAAAAAGATGAAGAATCCGAGAATATGTCAAACTACCTTAAGGGCATTCCAGGCTTGGAAATAAAGAAAGGTCAATTCCACGATAGATCTTTTAGTTGGCAGTGGTGAAGAAGGAGGAAAAAAGTCTACGCATTGTACAGGCATTAGGTACAGGTACCATTGGGTGTTGTGGACAAAGGATTAAAACATTTTACAATACTTTTTTTTTCTTCAAATTATTATCAGTTGAAATTTCAAGGCTGTGCCGAAATTTGAATCCAGAGCCGCTAGCAAATACTAGACAGGCACCATAACCACTCAACCACTGTGGTGCCTATTATTTTTTTTTGCAATGGTGCCTTGGTATGGAAGTGTTAGGTACATTTTTGGTGTGGGGGTCGGTCTAGGAATTATCAGATCTCTGACAATGATAGATTCTTTCTATGAAATTAATTTATCTATTAGGCGGTTGTCGTATCCACTGTTTTTAGCGATGGACTTGATGTTTATCAAAACTTCTTGTTTATCATGAGCAGAGTCTGTAAAGTTTATTTATAATGAAACTCACGTAAAAATAATACAAACTCACGTTTCACAACAATATTACACTAGAAGAATAGCACCACACTTTACGTGAATATGAAATACTTGGTTCCAAGTTTATATTTACATCCGTATTGTATTTTTTTCCAATAAACATATGTTTTGTAATTCACCCAGGCCACACCATGAAGATGGCCCGAATAAAGGTCGAAACATCGGCAAAAAAAAATGAAAAAAGGTGTTTTCTAAACTATCTATTCTTGACCGCTCCTCACGAATCCAACAAAATATTTTACAGTTTTATTAGGGATATTTAAGCGTTAATAATGAATCCTGATTGGAAAAATAAGATGAAGTGTAATAGGACTGAGTGGAAAATTTATCAATGATATAAAAAATAATATTTGTCTGGACTGCTTTTCATTTTTCTCCTCACCCAGAGTTGAACCAGCTACAAAAATAATTTTTTTTAATCATACATGCAACAATTTTCTTGGTAAAATCACAATGACAAGAAAACAAACGTCAAACTGGATGGAAAACTAAGCAGTGACTACAAACGCATAGTTCAACTAATCGTTTAGTTTACGATTAGGAAATCCTATTCCCAGACATCGGTTCCTTCATTCCTTAACAAATTAAGATCGAGAAGAGGAAAATTGACAGTAAAACTGAGCGTGGGGCAGTTAAAAAATTTGGCTGAACGAACAGAAATTCGTTAGTTGATAATTGTTCGCTGTGAGTGTGCTGAAGTTACACTCCTCCATCAACTTTCTAGACGCAACGTGTGTTCTGTGATGTTGATATCGTTGATTCGTCGTATTCGCTCTATTCAGGTTTTATTTTATTTTGTGGCTGAACAGACTGTTGGAAAGTGAGTTAACAAGAAAAAAGGAAATACAAAAAGTTACAATATGAAAATGGATTGAAGATAATTTAAATTTATCGATTGAAATTAGAAAACGTTTGTTGGACGTTCCATTCATCGCGTTTTTCGTCTGTACTTTTGAGTGTCATAGGCTTTCTGTGTTGTGAATCACCTCGTTGACTTGAGTACTTCTTATCGTCAGGTCCCGTGATTTTCCCTGAAGGAACTTTTCTCGGGCTTGGAAATGGGCAAGAAGCACAAGAAGGAATCGAGGAAAAGGAGGCACAGGAGCCGCTCCAGGTCTCTCGAGAAGGACTACGATAAGGATAAGGACAAGGATAAGAGGAGACACCACAAAAGGCACCACAAAGACAAAAAAAGGGAGAAGAGTTGTAAAAGGGATTCTTCATCCAATTCTGAAGGTGAGTGTCACGAGAAGTTTGCTTATTTAATTGGTCAAAAGCAGCAAAAAAACAAAGAAAAAGTTCTGATGTCGCTCTGAACTAGTAATATTGCCTGCAGTTTTGTCCGTTTTTCAGACTCCCCGTGATTCGGGCTGGGAGACAATGTGGAGGCGCCCAAGGTAGGAAAGTTTCTTATAAAATTAATTGTAAATTGGCCCATTACGTTAACACTATAAAACGTTAGGTTCAAAGTAGTGCTATTCAGTTTTGACTCACTTGGTGGCAATCTGCTGGTTTGATCGCCAATTTGACCATTGGCGCTGATCCTCCATCGCTGATGAGCAATGTTCACCGCAAGAAGACAAACTGGGCCAACATTTCAGAGCCAAACTTTCATTGGAATCTATATTATTTTATTTGATTAAGGTTGAAATAGTTGTTTAATTTTTTGGAGATGGTCGTTCGGGCTATAAAACCCATCTTCAGTCTTCCATGTATAGAATTTCGAGATATGACAACCAGCAATCAATACAGTTCATGTCAAAGTTATACATAACTATGGGCTGATGCAACAACAGTGTGGACAATGGAAAATCCCATATACACGGAAAATGTCAGCCTTATTAAATTTGAGTAGGGGCAGGTTGCCCTTTAGAAGAACTGCATGGCCGAAAGGATGCCTAAAGAAAGAATTTAAAAAAAAAAGCCACAGGAACGTTAAAAGATCCTATCTTCAATCCCCAGAGTATATTAAAAAAGAATAAACCTTGAGTTTCTAAATTAGGTTTGTTTGCACCAAATATCGCGAATTATAATTGTTCATTTTGTTTCCTAAATGCTGCTAATCTAAAATTTATCCTAGCCCTGCTCCCTCCCACAGTCCTTCCTGTTGCTGCCTATCCTGTTCACTTCCATATCGCTTTTATACAGTCCACTAATTAATCAGCCTCCAACAGTTATTTTCCTTCAGTTTTTCTCTTTAAAAAAAAAGACTTATTTTACATTTTGATGATTATTGCGTCCAAAATAATGCACATGTGTCGCCTCCTGCATCCTTAACGTGTCACATCATCCAGGGTTCAGTCGGAGCCCTGAATGTAATTAAAAGACTAAGAATCTATTTTACTTTTGGCCACGGTTGTTACAGCTTTTACTATTAAACTGTTCACCACCTCGGTTGTTGAGAAAATAAGGAAACTGTTGACAGTACTTTATATTATTTTTATTGTGACCAACCAGCGCTCACAAGGTTTATTAAATGCACAATCTTAAGTATTTATTAATCCTAGAATATCAAAGTTGAAATACATCCAATTGGTCAGTTTTAGCGATTAGCCGGGGGTTAAGTTAGTATTACAGATTAGTAAATAGGTTTTTCAGTTAAATTTTTTTGGCCTTACAAGGTAACTTGCTCCAACTCAAGTTTAATTAGGCTTTTCCATGTATTTGAGATTTTCTGTTGTCCACACTGTTGTGGCATCGGCCCATAGTTTATGCATAACTGTGACATGAACCATTGATTGCTGATAAACATATCTAGAAATTCTTTGCTTAGAATGCGAAGATGGTCTTTATAGCCCAAAACATCCATCTCTAAATCAATTAAACTGCCATGGAATACCTGGTTTCTTTCAACCATAATATTCTATCCTACCGTGGTCTCAACTATGAATGTCATTTTATATTCTAATAATTAATTACAGTGGAGTTTTGCTAGTGCTAACTAATCGGGTCTAAAACTGTCCGTATTAGAAGAAATTTGGATTAGCTGAAAAACTGTATTGAAAAAGTAGCTGTAATACAGTTAAAACTGGTTTGTTAAGGAATATGTTTACAGATACATAAGCTGGACGTTTTAAAAATAGCTGAGTGAGGGTGAAAGTTTGTCATCACTTAGCATTTTAACCCATCAGACGTAATTTGGCTTCTCCTTATCTACATAATTTTATTATTTTTAGTTAAAACCTAACTTGCAGTGAAGCTGAAACACTCCTGACAGATCAAAATGATTCGAAAAGACCAAATTACAGGTCCATCAACCCGCTCTCCGAAATAAATCACGATTTGAGGGTGAAAGTTGTGATGTTCTGGTCTGATATGTTCGGGGGACCTTTTGCACTGATCGACCTCTCCCCAAATTTAAAAAAAAAAGTCTTAGGGAAATTAAAGTGAAATAAAGGCAAAGATGAATCCAATCTGAAAAAATTTATTTGAAAGAAAATATACACCCCAAACCCATCACCTTTGAAATCTACAAGCTAGCCCAAAACCATCACCAAAATTCAACTAGAAACCAAAAAAAAAAAAAAAAATCTGCTACACAAAAATTAAATATTATTCAAAACCAATTAAGTTAAAAGTAAAAGATCACACACATGTGAAAATTATCTATTTGAACTTAAGAAAATGGTTAGGAGCTCTTCACTATTAGCCAATGTCTCACGAACACTTAAAGGCCCTCAGGGTCTCCCCCGTTGCTCACGCGAAAAGAAGTCCAACCTGGGCTTTGGTGTCAATCCCTAATCTGCGTCACTCCTGGGGTAACAAAGTGCAATCAAATTAAGAGTTGAGTTTAAAGTGGGCAAGTCCATAATAATAGAAAAGCAACACCTTTTAAATTTATGTGAAAAAGAGAAAAGTGTATATTTTGTGAACTGACAAATTTCTTCACCTGTTTTGATTAGCAGGACTTCACTACTTGTGCTTATTCAGGGGGAAGAAAAAAAATTGACATCCAATCTGATCTGATGACTCATTTTTTAGAACCCTCTGTTTATCACTATTATAAATTAGAAAAAATGCAGTATAATGAAATTTTGCAGTTGATGAAATTATGACAATGTAGAATGAAATGGTAACATTTTGTTATTGGGCTGAAAAAGTCTTTTGATATTTTACAAAAGCTTATTGACATCCTGCCTTGATTATGGGTGTACCACATAGCTCAATCACTGCGAACGAACTTCAAATGCTGAACTTAGTGCAGAACACCAGATGCACAGGTGCTTTTAAATCCAACTCCACTTGTAGCGTTTACATTGATGCTGGTGAAATCCCTCTAAACTTCTCATGACTTTTTGGACGTAAAAGTTATTACTGAAAAGCATATCACCAGTGCCATATCCTCTTAACAACCTTCTACCTTTAATGAACCATTCTCAGAATAGTCCAAATCAAACTACAGGATCTACATCGTGCTAACTGAGCATCGTTCCTCCTACGAGACTTTCACATTTTGAAACCACCGTCCAAAAACATTCTTTCTCTCTCCCTGGGATTTCCCCAAACCCATAATGCACCAGTTGCTGACCAAAAATTACTATTATGTTAAACTTCTACTTCTACATATTTACAAACATGAATTTTTAAAGTTAAGAGTGCTCTTCCTAGAGCCACTTTTGTCTACACAGATGGCTCTAGAGGAAATAATGTAGTAAGAGCTGCTTGTATCAGCAGTAAAAAAAAGGTATCAATTTTCCCTCAATACTACCTGCATCAAATTTAGCACTGAACTGCCCACAGTCAAAAAAGCTCTGAATATCACCAAAGTTGATTATATTTTCTATCTGACTCCTAATCAATACCCAGCCTACATAAGCCTTTGTACCAATGCACCAAAAGAGGACACATTCCTCTGTCTCTTCGTTTTGTCAATATCTGTACAGTCTTGTTTCTACCAATCTGAGTCTATAAATATGCCTCCGGATTCTGCAGTGTCCAGTTAGTAGTCTAACTGGTCTAGTCCTAATATCTCACCTAGTTCTTCTGTTAGTTTCTGTGATGGACTACATCCCCATTGAACGGAGGACTTACTTTTAATCCATTGTCTCTGATGAATCCATATTTTGGAAGTTTGGTATGCATAAAAGGTTCAGGACCTTGAATGTCATTGAACTTGCCTTGGCCAGTTTTTCAGCCTCTTCTTTCCCCTCAGCCCTGATACTTAGACAAGGGTAATTTTGTGGTTTTCCAAAAAGTTAGACAGGGCCCTAATGCAGTCCCGAACTACTGGACTTTACTACTGATGCAGTTGCAAGCCAGTGCGCTGGCTGTCCAAGTTGATGGCATTCTTCTGTTAGCGATACTTCGTCTTTGAATCTCCTTGTGATGGATCATACACAACGAGCACTCAACTTGTCAGGTGGTGTTAACGGGTGGATTTATCTATTAACCCTCCAAAGCCATAATGATTCCATTTACAAGGAAGAGGACAACAGGAAGCCTAAAAACTACAAGTATAAACGGGACCCCAATTCCATTTTCCAAGGATGCCAAATATATAGGAATCACACTAGATCAGCAACTCACATGGAATCAACATTTAACTAAAACCAACCAGAGAGCCAAAATTGTATGGGGAGGTACGGAAGGATTAAACCCCAAAATGACCCTATGGCTATATACCTGCATCTTAAGACCAATGCTGACAGGGCTAGTGGTGTGGTGGACCAAGACTTTGCAGGCCAACGCAATCAGGATATTAAGTGGCAAAGACAAGCTTGTCTCAGTGTCACTGGAGTCATGAGCACAGCGCCAACTGTGGCCCTGGAGGTGTTGTTAAACCTCCCACCACTTCATATTTTAATCCAAGGAAATGCCTGAGCAGCAGCCCACAGGCTCATAAATAGACAACCATCTGCAAAGGTAGGCCTTGTAAATAAACAATGGAAATTAAGGGAGGGGATACAGGCTGATGCCATATTAGGCATGCCAATCGAAGCCATTTCTCCAAAATATAATTTTACTAAAAAGTACAAGGAACTGATACAAGAATGGGAAGAATGGGCCAAAGGAATACCGCTAAAGGCAAAATCCTACTGGTACACTGACATCTCCAAAACCTACAAGGACATGGGGGCTAGAATCTTTGGGATGAATCAAAAGACCGAACCGTTGGTAAACCTAGGTAATTATGCTACAGTTTTCCAGTCCGAAATAATAGCGATTGAACAATGCACTAGAGGAATAAAAAGCTAGGAATACATTCCCGGAAGATAGCCATTTTCTCTGACAGGCAGACCCTGGTGGAAGTCAGTGACACTTATGACCTGACCCTGGCATAGGTCCCTGGGTTTACAGGGCATAGAGAGAACGAAAAGTTGATATGTTGGCCAAAGAGGGAGCCAACATGGACTCTCTTGACCTGAACCCTACTGTGGCTTAGGACACAAAAGAGGATATATCCAAAAATGAGTCCAAAACCTGGTGGAACAGCCCAGGCAGAGACCCGAGAGAAGGACCTCCACAAGCCTATAAAAGGAATTACTGGATAGCAACTGCAACAGAACCTAGAATTCTGGTTGGTCTCCTGACATGGAACTGCTACTAAAGAAAGCACATACACCAATTGGGAATACCGATGGAACTGTGCAGATACTGCCAGGAAGAGGAGGGAAGGCAGAACACATTTTATGTTTTTGTGAAGGTCTGAAGGTGGGTGCAGATTGTTGCAACTAGAACAGGAAAAGCCACAAGCAATATCTTACACTAAGGAGCCGCTGGCAAGGCTATGAAGGTTGATTAACAACCTGAACTTGGCCAGTTATAAAAAAAAAAAAAAAAAACGAGAGCACAAGTCAAGGTGCAGAAGGCCTTGTGGCCGCCTCTTTTACCCCTATCCCCTATCCCTTCTTGGCACAATGTTCAACAGCACCAGTCTCTTCTTGAAAGACAGTGACTTATTTCCCAAGGCTTATATGAATGAGTAAAAACAAGCTACAGTTTAATTGTGTTGTGCTACAAAATTTGCTGTAAAAGTTGTCGCCTAAATGAACCAAACTTATTACTTCTAGAAAAAAGTATTCCATTTCTGTTGAACAAAATCTAAACATTATTTATTAAGGCGAAAAACAGAAAATACTTACACATATCTGCTGTGAACCACAGCCAAAACATCAATTAACACATTCATTAATAATATCTAGGATTATATTTTGCAAATCAACTGTATTACTGTTGTCCTATGAATTTTAGTTATGTAAATATCGTATCTGAACCATCATTGTTCTAATCCACTTCAAATCAGTCAAACATTTGATATAAAGAACTTATATTAAAAAACAAGAAATATAATTATTTGATAGAAATTTTTTGCTTTTGACTTTCAGATTGTCAAGTTAACATAGATTGTGTTTTAAATTCCGGGGAAAGTATGTTAATTATTTTCAGAACAAATTGCCTTTGCTATGTTTATGCTGGCTTGGTTGTTTTTTGATTTTTAAATTAAGCTTTAAATTCATAAAAAGTTTAATATTAGTCTCTTCCTTAATGTTCTTTAATAAAGGAAAATTGCAATAGTTTTTTGCAGAAATTTAAGGATTTTATTTTTTTAAATATTTATTTTTGAAACTTGAAGGAAACAATACAGTAACAATAGAAAAATAATCCAGTTATGTTGCATGCATGGTACACTTTTCTTTATAGATGTCTGTATTCCATAGTCAATGACAAATAATTAACACAGTTAATTTGTATAAACGTGTAATGTTTATTGTTCTTAAAAATGTTTTCACTGATAGAATATTTTGTTTGTTTTTTCTGTTCCAACAGATGATGTTATCTTTGTACCTTTGAAGGTCTCAAAACCGGACACTAAGTCATCATCACCTGAGAACGTGAAGGCAAAGGACGTACCGTCTTCCCACCAGCCGACTGCTCCTGTCGTATCTAACAGTTCATCTGGTGACAATGTACTTTCGGTTGCTGAGACCAATGCCCTCAGGGCGAAGCTTGGTCTCAAACCACTCTCTACGCCCGATTCATCTTCCACAGGCAAATCGACTGACAAAAGTGAAGAATTTGTACATAAACCGGCTGGTACGTTTCCCATTTTGTGGTTTTTACAATTACTTGTAATTAATCGATGACTTTTTGTACAGAAAATATTATGGACAAAAAAATGACAGAGAAATTGAGGAGTAAAATCGCCGAGAGGAAAGCCAAAAGAGAAATAGAGAAAAAATTATTGGCCATGAAATCATTAGGAGACGATGGTAGCGAAGACGAATCAGCAACTGCTTGGGTTAACAAAAATAAAATTCTTTTAGAAGCAAGAATGAAAGCTGAATTAAAGGTAGAAATTCATCATTTAGTTTGTTTTGATACACCATACAATTTTGGTAATTTTTGTTTCAGGCGAAAGAGTTGGACGAAATGGATCAAGAATTTGGAATCGGTGAATTAGTAGAGGAAGAAATTAAGAAGGAAAAATCTGCAGCTTACACAGCAGCTCATCTTAAAGGGCTCAAAGTCGAACATGATATCGTACGTTAATACATTTACTAATTTGTTGTAGAGCGTAAATTGTAAAAATATTACTTTTTCAGGAGACATTCCAAGAGGGCAAAGCTATAATCTTGACTCTAAAAGATCAAGACATACTAGACGAAAATACAGATGCACTTGTCAATGTAAATATGTTGGATGACGAACGTTATAAAAAGGTAATACAAACAAAATTTACACAATATAAATTATCTAGAGGGACAATTGTGCAAGGAAGCTGTGGTTATGTCAACACAATTATTTTTTTAATTATAAATTTAAAATTTTTCTTTTCACAAGAAGTTAACATTTGTCCTTCAATTTACCTTCCGAAATTTACTCTCTCGCATCTCAACCTTTGATTACAATATTTGCCAATCATTATTTCATTGGCAGAATACATTTATCATAAAACTAACCACAACTTTACATAATTTTCAGAATCTTTTCAACAAAAAACAAAAGCCGTTTGGTTACAATGGTGTCGATACGGGTGAACTGGATATGGATGAGCCTAAAGGAGTTCTTACTAAGTACGATGAAGAAATTGAGGGTGCTAAACCAATTAAGCCCGCATTCACAATTGGTAAGCACTAAAGAGAACTTGTGTAATAAATCTGTATATATAATAAATAATATCTAAATATATATTATATTTAGATATCATACGATATATTGTAAATATATAATATCTAAATATCCATATATTTGTTGGGTTCTCATTTTAATTTATTGAAACCAGGTGAAGAAAATTTGGAAGCCAAGAAATTAATGGTGAAGAGGCAGCTTAAAGAAAAAGCGAACATGAGATTAGAATCCCTCGTCCTTCCTGAGCCCAAGATAGCCAACGAGTATTTCTCTAGGGATGAAATGATTAAAATAAAAAAACCTAAAAAGAAGGTATTTGTTTTTGTTCAGTGTAGATAGAGCTAGAGCCTGATCTACCTGTAGATGTACATGAATGTTTTTCCTCTTGTAGAAAAAGATACGAAAGTTAACCGCTGACGATTTGCTAAGAGAGAAACCTATTCCAACGACGCAAGAAGATCTTGGAAAAAGAAAAGTCGAGGAAAAGGAAGATGTTTACACTGGCCCCCAGGAATTCATGGAGGTAGATGAACCAATCATCAAAATCAAGGAAGAAGAAGAAGATCCCTACTTAAAACGGGCTGTCAAGAAGGCAATGAAGCTCAAGTCTCTTCCCGTGGAAAAATTAAACACAAAATTACCAGTAATTTCAATTTTTTTTATTGTTGCATTTATTTATTATGTTATAATTTAATTTTTTTTTTAAACAGAAAATAGAAGAAGTAATCATGGAAGTGAAAGAAGAGCCAGTTGATACACTGGGATCGACAATTATTTTAAATTCGACTGCTGAGTTTTGTAGAACTCTTGGAGATATTCCAACTTACGGTATGGCTGGTAATAGGGATGAAGAACCAGATATCCTACTTGTAAGTACTTAAGCAAGTTTCTTTTTTTTAGAATTGTTATTAATCCCCCAATTTATTTATACTCATGATTTTAGGATTTTGAACGAGAGAAGGAAAAGAAAGTAAAACAAAAAAAGAAACCGGATGTTGTCGAAGACAAAGGAGGCTGGAACGATGTTGAAATGAGTAAATTTTGTTTGTTATAATTTTAATTAATAGTATCTTTGGAATTGTACTTACACATTGGTTTTTAGATGAGAAAGTTGTGGAAGTCAAGCCTGTTGAAGCGCCCATACTTGACGCTGAACCAGATTTGGGAGCGGGTGTTGCTGGAGCGCTCAGATTAGCCGTTTCAAAGGGTTACCTTGAAAAAGACATGGCCAACCGGCCCTCGGCATCACGATTTTCACATCTAGCAGCTCAGAATTATTCAATTGACGATAAAGCACATTCAGTGTAAGTCACACAAAATTGTTTATTTTTTTGCTTTGTTAATTATAATTTTTGTCTTCAGCGAGGACGAGAAACTAGGAAGGAGGGAGAGGTATCTGGGTCCGACTTTAGATTTCAAGGAGAAAGACGGTTACAAGCCGAATATTAAACTTGAATATATCGATGATGAAGGACATCTATTATCAGCTAAAGAAGCTTTTAGGTAAAATTAAATTTAAATTGATTAAGACAATGCTTCCTTTTACAAATTAAGGGAACATAGTGCCTCCCTAGCAGTCCTGGGTTTTAATCCATACACAGCCCATGGTTTTTTAATTGATAGCATGAAAGAAGTATTGTGAAGTGGTTTGACCTCTTATCCATGACACCCAATGGGTAGATAGACATTAAGCCCTCCTGTATGACAGGAATTACTTTACTTACTTTTGTACATACAGTATGCCTTGTAATAACACATTTAATTTTTGACAGATATCTTTCTCACAAGTTCCACGGAAAGGGGCCTGGTAAGAATAAAGTCGAAAAGAGGATGAAGAAAAATGAGCAAGAAGGGGTAATTATTATTTTAAATTTAATATATTAGTAGAATTTTTCCCCTGTTGTTTATTTATTTTTTTTTTTTTAAGCTTATGAAACAGATGAGTTCTACTGACACACCGTTAGGAACACTACAGATGCTCCAGCATAAGCAGAAAGAAACGCAATCGGCTTTCGTCGTCTTAAGTGGAAACAAACACCAGCTCAATATGCCGTAAGAAAATTTTATTTTGAGTAAATTTTAAGACTGTCTTTAATAAAACAATTTTTTAGGACGACGATTGCCAAGACGAAAATGATGAAGTGAATCAAGCATTACATCAAAGTAACGAATTTTTAAATAGAACTCATTTTTTGAAAGTAAACAATCTTATTGGTCAGGACCCTTGCAATCGATTTAAATATTAATTCACTTTTAATCAGAAATCTGTCAAACTAAGAACATCCAATTCTTACTATAAATAAACAACTTTTTTTGTAATAATTGTTTTATATCCTTTTTTAATCAAAAATGTTCAAACAATTCTGCCTTTAATTAAAAATTAAGGCTAACATTAGAAAAATATTTTTTTTACATCATTCTAACAAATACTAAACAATTACAAAAATAACTGTTCTAAACTTAGATGATTTAACTGAGGTGAACCATTTATTATTTAACAAAACTCCAAATAAATTAATCAGTCTCCATAATCTATGAGAGTTCAATCTGACTTGGATACCATTCTAGCAGCAGTGCCGTGAGCTGCAGAATGCACTCCAGATATGTTATTCCTCGATTTAGTTTCATATTCACTCGAATTTTGGAGTATTTCATCTGAAAAACAATTATATGACATTTAAAATGTAGAAAGAAAAAAAAAAATTAAATAAAAGAATTTATAGTTTGTTCAAAACATTCACAAAAAGTATTGATTTTGTCGCTAAAAGTCTTGATTTTGTAATAAATGTAAATTTTATTGATCGAAAAAAGATATCACAATTTCCATGTGTTATTAGTAAACAGTGTTTCTGACACTAGGGTGATTATGAAACTAATCTAGCCGCAGCTCCAGATGCCGCGTAATTAACACCTGAGTTAAGCGAAGTATTCGCAGTGTAATCGCCAGCGCCGGGTTCACCTGTTAACAAAGGTTAAATAAAACTGAGTAGAGTAAACACACCACAAAATAAAATAAATATTTGATCGCAATCTATACTGTATTAAAGTGTGTTCTTAAATAAACTGGACTTGATTATTTTTAGCTAATTACGTTTTGTTATATGTATGATAGTTCTTTACCAAAATTACTCAAGTTTTTACACAAAGAAATTTTTTTAAACTTGATATTTGCAAAATTTATTTAACTTATAAAACTATTAAAACTTGAACTAATTTTTCTATTGAATCTGTCAAATGTGATCCTTAACTTTCCTACCATTTGAAGGCATTAGTTAGATACACTAATTCTTAAAATTGTACTTAGATATAATTTCTTTGCCTACACTTTTATAATTTGCAATACTTTTTATTTCCCAGGAAAATAAAAAATTGCCAAGTTACTCATAGGAACTGGCAAACAGATATAATGTATACTTATAGCTACATCCGAGCGAGGTTAAAAAATTTTATTACTTCATTTTAGTTGTTAGGATCTAATGACTGGATACACAATGAATCCATTTAATTTATCCATTACAATAAAAAATACTCCATTTGGTTTTATATCAAATTGGGTCAAAAACATGGTGGAGAGTCGTCATTAGGGTGTAATCTGCCATGCAAGTGGTTCAGGGTTCGAATCCTGGCACAGCTCGTGTAATTTTATTTAAGAATAATTTGAAAAAAAAAAAAAATATTGTGAAGGAATTTGACCCCTCGTTCCACCCAAGGGTAGGTTAGACATTAAACCAAAAAGGATTTATTTATACTAGATGTTACTGACAGAATGCCCATATATAAATTTCCTATCTACACTAAAGTTTTAGTAGTTTAAATTTGCCTATTAAATTTTTTAAAACTATATACCTTGAATTAACTAAAGCTATTTGGAAATGATCAGGATTTTGAGGATTGGCAGCAAATAATTGATTTGAATGCTAACATTTTATTTTACTAAGAGTACATTTCAGTGCCAGGTTTTATTTACAAACAATATTTACATCTGACATGCCCATTTTCTATTTTAACCTTCAACTAATGTACTATTAGCTTCATTCATTAAATTATATTTTTCAAAAATAAAAGTAACGAAAGCTAAAAATTTAATTAATTCAAAAAAGTGTAAAAATTTTAAACAAATTCAGACTGAAACGAACAAGAATCTGGCATGTCCGTTTCATCAAATAATATTTTCAAACTGACTCTACTAAATCAACCGTATATTATTTCTTACTCTTAAGCTTGTCACTCATATCATCGAAATTAGGATCGCTGATGTTCAACATCAGGTTGGCGCCGCTCAAGAAGACTTTGTTTTGGGAATTGGCAATCTAAAATCACACAAACACAAAACAAAAATATTAAACAAAATTGAACGTTTTATGTAGAAGTAGGCGGATACAATACTAACAGTCCTAGAAATGCTCTGGGCTGCCCTAATTTTCCTCAGTTTTAAGTAGCCGGGGTTCCTTCCAACTGCCTCTCCCAAGTAAAACACAATTAAGGAAAATATGTGCTTAATCATTTTAATATGAACCAGCATGTAACTCTTCGTAATCATCTTTTCATAGATATACTCATACACTTTTCTAATATTACATAATCTTTTATTTACAATAAAATATGAACTGCAATACTTTCAAACGTGCTCACAACAATAAATTGAACTTTCTTTATTGAACTTTTTCGCGACATTCAAAATAAATAAAATGATGTAGTTACATCAAAACATATATANTATTTATTTATATTTATATATAATTGGAGGTGACTGAAAAGTTAACTTCCAAATATAAATGTATTTTATTTTTAATCCAAAGCATTAGCTCCTTTGTTTTCTATAACATACTATTCTAGTAGCATAAATATCTCCTGCTTGTAAATGAATGATAACCTTTCTGTGGCATAGGAATCCACACTATTAACGAATATCTCAGACAGAAGGACAAAAAGAAAATGAAGGAACAATGGACAAAGACAATCCAAGAATCTTCTAAACAATTTTGGTAGGAAAGAAATCACAGAATGTGTCAAAGGAAGCAGGAACAGACTGCAAATCCTAACAGGACACTGCATATTAAATGGACACTTAAAGAAAATTGGAACAATCCAAGATGGCACGTGCAGATTCTGCAAGGAGGCAGAACAGACACCAACACATTTATTTACAAACTGCAGAGAAAATGTTTTAGGATGTATAATGTGACCATAGAAGAGCTTCAACCACTGAAGTTCCTTGATGAAATAGGACTCACCGATGTGCTTTAGGCAGAGAACGGGGGCTACAATAGCTCTTAAAGGGCATTATAGATGTAATATTACATCCCGAATATTACATCTATATCTACAAATGAATGATAACTTTTTCTTGACTAGAATAAATCTATATGATTGAACTAGTGCATATTAGCCTGGGAGACAATATATTATTCATTTTTTTTTTTTTTTTTTTGGGGGGGGGGGTATCATGGAAAAACGGGCCGGGAGTGACAATGGGAATCGAACCCATGACCTAGCGGGGTCTGCCAGTCGAGAGTCCCCCCCTACATTTTAAGTGTTACGGAGTAGAACAGATAAAGATATAACGGAGCAAGGTCTAGAGAGTACATCTAGTTTGAATAAAAATTTAAGTGTCTGGTTCTTTTGTCTTCAACTGTACTCGATGCGATCCGACAAAAATCTGGACAGTGGGGATCGCAGAGCGTAGAGTAGGGTAGGGTACAATCTAATGGAAAAATGGACTTTGGATTTGCATCGAGTGTGATCCTGGCTTAACTTGGCTATTTTACTCTGAGTGAGTGCAGATGTTTGAGACCAGACATTGTCAGGGTGAAACATGATGCGTCTATAATCAGGGTTGGACATTTTTACTTCAATGCTAACCCAAGACTAGGTGGGCAAAGAGGACTTTGTGGTAAGTTCCTAATAAATTATTCCTTGAATATCCTACCAGACAACAGGACTTTACAATGAGGTAATTCTGCTCTTGACTACAATGGCAGCGTTTTTTTCTTCTTGCAAATGTTCCTTCATTTAATATATTTTGTATAAAGGAGCCACTTTCACCCCAGCGATCAAATAGGGAATAAACTCTTCCTTGTTCCTGAGGGATAATTTATGGTGAACCCAAGAATCGAGTTTCACAATGTAATCCAGAGATCAGATTTTTCCTTCTATTGTTGTGTGATCTATCTGAAATCTCTTGAGAGCTCTAGTAGAGTTAATTTGTCATCACTTACCATGTTATTAATTAGTCATAGCTCTTAAGCTTGTTAGGTGGTGATACGAAAACTCAAACCACACATTAAGTTACAACATGAGTAGTAGTATCACCATAAATTCCATACAAATTTTGGAAGGCATTCACCAAGCTTTGGTATCCCTTTCTTAACTACCTCTTTGAGTAGAGCTTTTCCCACCCTAAAGCTAACATGGTTAGCAGAATAATAGATCGCTTAGATCATGGACATTTTAAAAATGAAAAAAAATTTGCACTGCACACCCAATAAAATAGCTTGTGATACATGCCAGCAATACAATTATGTTTAAAAAAAGGATATCATCGAGGCAGCCTGTGCTTCACCCTCAGCCTGAAGAATTTTCTGTTGTCGTTCTTGTTTGGCGCGTTCCACAACAAAAACTGCTCTTTGGGCTTCTTGTTGGGCGACCTTAATTAAAATAATTATTAATTAAATATAATCAAACATTGTGTTATATCTTTTTTTTCCCCCAATTGACCTGTTTTGCTTCAACAGCTGCAGTGTATTCTTTGCCGAAACTGAGCTCCGTTATTGAAACATCATCCAATATTATGTTGAAATCTCTTGCCCTTTCGATCAATTCCCTCCTAATTAATAATGAAACCTAAAATGTAATGTAAAACAAACAAACAATAAATACCTTTAAAATAACAACAGTCTTTATAAAACTTGCTTGTTGTCGTTGTGTAATAAGTTGCGATGCGTTAAATTTGGCCACTACGGACTTGAGAACTTCATTACAGATTGATGGGAGGACTTTTTCATCATAGTCGAGACCCAGCTGACGGTACATAGTGGGCAGCTGGATGGAATCTGGTCTCGAAAGGACCCTGAGAGAAATATTGACCATCTGTAAATCCTTTGAACCAGTCGGTGATGATATTTTCCTAGGGCGAGACCTATAACAAAAAGTAATCAATCGTATAACAACAAAGCCAGTAGGCATTGTCATTAGTTTAAACATTTATTCAGATGGTTTTGTTAATGTCAATGATATAAAATTGTAACGGTTTTGAAAACTGCAATATTATCCCACTCATAGGATCAGCTGTAATCTACCTAGTAGAACTACAACCTAATTATTCCTTAGTTTCAATAAATTTTCTGCAAATTAAATAATTTTTATAAAAACCGATGAATTTTTGATCTCGTTTAATTTGGTTTACATTAAAATAACCATGTTGTAATTAATATAACGACAAAATTTCAAATACATAGTTTAAAATAAACTACAAAAAATATGAGCATCCGGTTCTGACGCTAATCGACGAAAATGGTCTAGTTTTATCAGCGGTAACCATGTAATAAATTGTTAGTTAAATTTTATTAACAAAACCATGTAATTTTTACAAACAAAACCATGAAATAAACTGTTAGTTAAATTTTATGAGCAAAACCGTGTAATAAATTTTATGAGCAAAATCATGAAATAAATTGTTAGTTAAATTTCATGTGCAAAACTGTAATAAATTTTATGAGTAAAACAATGTAATAAATTGTTAGTTAAATTCATTCTAACAATAAATCGTATTCTGGTGTTTTGATAAATTTTCTGCCAAACCATTAAAATTAATTTTTTAAAATAAAAACTAATGAATTTTTGATCTTGTTTAATTGGTTTATATTAAAATAAATATGTTGTAATTAATATCACAGCAATAATACATATAGTTTGAAATAAGTTCTTTTTTCTTCAACTGTACTGATGCTACTCAACAAAAATCTAGACAGTGGGGAACTTGGTCACATCACGTAGTGTAGAAATATACAATACATTTTTTTGGTGTAAAGGATAGTCATTTCTTAATTTTAAAAAACTACACAATTAGATAAAATAATACACGCAACACTTGTGAGCCTCCTCTGGAGATAAGGCAGTTAAAATTGGCTTTGAATTTCCTCACTAAACTCGTCAGCCAGGAGAGCCTAATTTTTAACAACATAGTACTCTCACAAAAAACAGAAATAGAAGAAGAATAGGTACCTGATCTTGAAGTATCGGTTTGTTTGAGGATAAGGAAGTATGTAATGGAAAAAAGCTATATCAAGGTTGCAAAAATAATAAAGGCTCATAGCCGAACCAAGAACATTTGGCATAACTTTTCTTGTTTTTAGTTTTTTATTCTCATGACAAAGTTGGCCTTTCATGGTGTGCAAATTTTTTTTTTCAATTTTGACTACTTAAACCTTACAAAACTCCACCAATTTTTTAAAATCACAGTTTCTATATTCACTGGAACTTACTTATCGTAAAAACTAAGGGAATGTATGTCCTCACTAAATTTCAACGTTTTGTGGGTACTCCACAGCATTATACCACTTAACTACAATTTTTTCTTCTAGTTTTTTCCCCTCTACCCGAGAGGGATGATGAAGGAGAAAGGATGCCGATGACACACCCCCAGAGACCAAACCTGCCAATCCCCCACTGTCTGGGAGCCCACTGTTTCTATATTATTTTTAAAAGAAATGTTAACTGATTTAAGAAATACATAAATTAAATAAAAAACAGTCATGCTGTTACTAGCCTACAGTGTTTCAAGACTTATTGGGACAAATATCCTGAGGTCACTATACAGATCATCCAATAGTTATTTCCTCTATTTTTCATGGACTGGGCATTCTAATATTAGAAGAAGCGAGATTTTATGGTCAGTTAGGGGATGTGCATATTCCAATTTTATGCATAACTCCTTCACATGCCATGTTAAGTTTTCATTCTGAAAATAAATAGAATTCCTTTTGCCAACCTCAGTTTTGTTTTAAACCTTGGAAATAAAGCTTGACTTGTCAGCTGTAGTCTTTATGCCATAGGTGGGACACAATTGGTTGAAAAAAAAATTTCCGTTTGTATTCATAGTTCATCTGATATAGTGGCTCCTTCATAAATGCATCTATAGTTTTGTCATGATAAATACATGCATGATCTTTAACCCAGCATATTATCACATTTTGTCCAGCGTGTTTTAGCTCAAAGATCTTTCTGTAAACAACCCTGATGATATAATTGCACTATTGTTAATTTGAAACTTGCTAATTCGAATTTATTGGACTCCTAAGCAGGTCACTTCGGTTAGAAAGATTCTGGGCATTTTGATACACTCGGTAATACGAAATATTTTTTGTAACAGGAGAAAAAGCATGCTATCATTAGAAATGGAGACATTTGCCATGTTTATAATTTGCATTTTTTTCTTTGTTATATTCCTCTAAATTTACCTTACAGCCTAAAGTTTCTTCAAATTTTCTTTATATGTTCTGCGATTCCATTTTGTCAATGTGCTCAGCACTGGTCACTTCAGAAAATCATTTAAACAAACGATGCCATGCCACATTGAAACAAAAGTCTGGTATTTAGTGACCGTTAATTAATGATTATTAGGAAATTGCGAGATGCGGTCTGGTGTGACGTAGGGTTAGAAAAACATTTTCTTTATTGTGCCAACGTTTCTATCTTTATTGTGATCATCTTCAGGGCCTGGGATTTATAAACACTGTTTAAATTTGTGTGGTGTTTAGTGACTGTTAGTTAATGATTATTTGGAGATCACGCCAGACCGCATCTCACGATCTTCAAATAATCATTGTTTAAATTATACAAATACATATAAGATGTGAAAATGAATTTATACAATGATGGACACAATATAGAAATTTTTGGTTTAATCAAAGTATTTGTAATCAAGTCTGTTTTTTCTATGTAGTCTGTTTTTTGCTGTGTGTCGTGTTAAGGGTGTTAGTGAGATTAATTTTTAATTAAGTTAATTTTTTTGTTTATATATGTTTGATTTTGAAGGAGTGGGGAAGGAAGTAGAGATAAAGGCATTTTTATATGAGGAGTCGGCTTCTTTGAGGTGAAAGGAGCCGACAATGGGGAAAAGTGGGTAATGATTTGTTGTTCGGGCCTGCTTAGCCTTTCAGGATGGGGATAATTAGGGAAAGGAGAGACAAATTATGGAATTTGAAGAATTAGGCTACGTAGAATTGTTTGATGTGTGGAGAGAAATGATTGTTTTATATGCTTTGTGTGTTATATGTATTAATATTGAATTTGATTAATGATATTAGCATAGCTGCAACTGAGTTTACATGTGTCTGTTCTGTAATTGATGCTGTGTTTATCTCTGTTGATGACCATTTCTAAAAAGTTATGTTTGTTTTTTTGTTCCGCGTTTTGATCAAACCTAAAATTTCTATCATTGTAAAAATCCATTTTCACAACTTACATGTATTTGTATAATTTAAACTATGTTTGTAAATCCCAAGCCCTGAAGATCCTCAATAAAGATCGAAACGGGACGATAAAGAAAAAAAAGTTCTAAAACCTACGTCACACCAGACTGCATCTCACGATCTCCTAATAATGTGTAACAATGTTCAATTTTACAGTTGATCTATTTCTGCTTTTTCATTATTTTTACGGTTTTACAGTTAAAATTAAATTATTCTTATACCTGATGTCGTAGATGATAGGATACTGAAACCAGGGGACTCGGAAATGTAGACCCTCTGGATAGACTTCCTTTTGAATCCCTCCAATCCGACTGAAAATTATGGCTCTGTGTCCTCCCTCAACTGTAAAGATTCAAAACGTACGTTTAGGCATATGATTTTTCTACACTCCTCCATCCTGGGTATTTTCATTTTAAAATTTTTATATTTTATGACATAAGCTCAAATCGTGTCGAGGTGAATGTTTATGTTTTTTTCCGCCAAAGATGAAAGACCCTTTTGGAGGAATGAGGATTAACGTTGGATGAATGGGTCTTTAGCTAGGACATACCTGTGTACATGGACTGGCTAACCCCATAGGCTGTGGCGCCGGCGAATGCTAGCAATTTGATGCCTAGTCCGAGCCCTTTGGGATTTTGGCTCAGGCGGCCGGCCAAGTCGTTCAGCTTGCTTTGTGCCATGCTTCAGCCACGAAAAAATTTGCGATTCTCTATCGAAAAAATAAGTGACCTAGTGTAAAAAACGTGATACGAAGTCTGAACGTCGGACGAGTACCGGCGACGGGATGACTAGATCTTCGGATTTCCACTGTAGTTTGTCCTCACCGGCGATACAGCGTTCCAGGCGCTACCCCTCGCCCAGTTACATTGGTGCAAATAACATGATTTTTGTGACAAAACTCCAAGAATTTTAATACGATTTTGAATTTTTTTCTTCTCTGTACTGTTATTATTCAGCTGACGTCGTCGCTGATATTCTTTTCCCACCCCAACGGAGTCGGTTTAAATCTCTAAATCGTACACATACAATACAGAATTATACCGAAAGCGTTAAATCTTAAGTTACTTTTGAACAGACGCTGCTCCAACAAAAACGAATTTTACTTTAAACTAAGCCTTAGGCCTCTTGGCTCTAGTCGACGTTCCTCTTTACTCAGGGTCTAACAGCCCATTCAGGTGATTGCAGTCTTTATCTGACTTTCCACGTGTCGGGTAGGACAATTTTGTCAAAACATTGTATCTGAAGATCTTTTTAAACCATCAAATCTGACGTTAATTCTATTCATCAGTTCTGACAATCATTCAAACCATAAGCCTAATTATCATATTGTTGCATCTGACAGTCTTTCTATTCATCAGGTCTGACAATCTTTTCATCCATCAGATCTGACAGTCTACTAAACTGTCAAATCTGGCAATCTTTGAAATCATTAGGTCTGACAATCTATCTTACCACCGGATCTGCCAGTCTCAGTTCATCAGGTCTGACAAACTTTTAAACTGTCATGACTGACAATTTATCTTTGGATCTGAGTCTTTCTATTCATCAGGCCTGACAATCTTTTCATCCATCAATTCTAACAGTCATTCTATTTATCAGGCCTAAGGAATCCTTCAAATGTCGGATATGACAAGTCTGCTAAACTGTCAAATCTTACAATCTTTCAAATTGTCAGATCTGACAATCTTAGTTCATCAGGTTTAACAATCGATCAAACATTGGATATGACAATCTTTCTTCATCATAATGTTTATATGCAATTTGAAAAGAGAATGATCTGTTGCCGTCAGGTATTCCTTTATGGAAAGAAGTGAAAAAATTACCCTTTGGTTTTACCTGTCGTTAGGCCAGTATATGGTGGGAAAACAACTGTAGAAAGCGCTGCTAAGTGGTATCCAAAGGAATAACTGAGGAGAACTGCGCCGACCCCTGGAGATTTTATTAAATCATCCCCAGGCAAGAAGCATGGCTTTATGAATATTTGCTTTTATAAAGATTTTATTTTGAATCATTTAGAACCGGGACTTGATGTTCACATTTTTGCAGACCTTTACAAGGCATTTGACAGTGGAAATAGGTGCATATTGATTACAGAGCTGTCCCGATGAGGTGTGCATGATCCCTTGCTTGGTTGGATTCATTCTTTGCCTACCAAGTCATTTTCAGTTAGATTTAATGGTTTCCTGTTTGAGGTAATTCAGATTGACTCTGGCATTCCCCAGAGATCTATCTTAAGTACAATTTTGTTCTTTATTTTTTTAATGACATTCAGGAATAGCTCTGTAACTTTAATGGCTGATGATTTAAAGCTGTGATTATGTTGCTATTCAGGATGATCTTAAAGCATTTGTTGGATTGCACTAGGGTGAATTGTGAAAAATTAAAGTTATTCATTTTTCAAAAAGGGTAAATGTGGAGGAAAACTCTAAGATCTCATGGTAATTTGTAACGATTAACGCAACTTCTCTGATCATATTGATGCTGTGATCTCCAAGGAACTTGGCTGTTATGAAAACAATGACTCATTTGCCATAAGAGTTTTGTACTGGTCCTTGTATAGAAGTCATAATGCACAAATTGTTTACAGTTCCTGTGATTTGGTTGATGCTGACAGACTTGTGAGGGTTCAAAGGTTTATCAGGTAACTATGTTGGTGATTTATATTGTGCTTTGTTCGATACATGTGAGCTAAATACGATTGAATTTCAACCAATAATGGGTTGTGTTACTTTTTGCTGGAAATTATATAACAGTAAAGTTGATGCTCCAGAGATTCTGGTAAAGTTAGGTTTAAACGCTTCACAGAGACATTTTAGGCGTGTGTTATTTTGTCCATCTTGTCTCATTTAAACGCTTGTCGAAAGTAAACGGGTCGGCCTTTTTTCATCATCATTGAGATCACCGGTTAGTTTATGCAGTAACTTTGAATCAATTATTTTCCCATTTTATTATTTAATGAAATTTCGATTTTTCCGGGCGTAATATTGGCACAGTTCGATTCTGCTCGATTCTATCGATAACAAACGTATAAAAACTGAAATTTTGTTACGATTTTACTGTGAAAGAGCTTTTCAGGCAATAAACATGATTAATATAAACGTACCTAAGTAAAGTAATGATTTTTATGTTAATTTTATTGTTTTCTTGATGTATACATTATTGTGCATTCTTCAGGTTGATAGCATTGTGATATCAGAACCCATGTGATGAACCTAGTACCTTTGTGATAACTGATAAGGAGTCAGTTACCGGAATGTATCTTCGGGACTGGGTCTGCTCCTTGTAACAACTTACCAAATGTTAAAAGTATCACCTAGAATAAATTATCAGTTAATTATACGCCTGGGTGATACAATATAAATAAATCAAGATGAATATCCGCTGGAAACTGTTGGGGGACCGGCGCTCGCTGTGCCGGTATTCCAGTCGAAAGCTATCCGGACGAGAAGTGAGACGGCATTTCATCAACTTCTTCCTCGGCCGAGGTCATGACTTCGTCAAATCGAGCTCAGTCAAACCTTTCAACGACCCTACACTCGAATTTGTAAACGCCGGGATGAACCAGGTAAGAGGATCTTTGGATTTATTCCTGGTAAGGTGTGTTCAGTCATGCAACAAGATAGCATAATACAACCCTATAACCTAACTGAACGAAAGGTCAGATTGTGGCATGGGTACAATTGCATGTCTGTATGCCAGCATCAATCTATCATGTCTGAACATGACTGTTACAGTACATTTTAGTTTTAGCTGTACATGTCACCATAGTTTCTAAAGCGTTGTATGTTGTACTATATTGCACCATAGAGTATGTATGATAAATTATATTTTAAATCAATAAACATAATTTTGACCTGCATACTACTTATAGTTGAAGGCATCAATGTTGATGCTACTTGGATGCCAATGAGCGCAATACCCAACCATTAGGTTAAACTCAATCTTTAGGAAAAAGAATTTCTAGTAAGAAAGGTTCAAACAACCATGTGGAATGCTTAGCTGTGATTCAGGCGCTCGATGTACCTGTATTCAGACAAGCAACAAAATAGCGTAATACAACCCTATACCGTAACTGAACGTAAGATCAGAGTGGCAGGGGTTCCATTGCTTGTCTGTATGCCAGCATCAATCTTGCATGTCTGAACATGACTGGTACAGTACATTTTGCTTTTAACTGCACATGTCACCATAGTTTCTAAAGTGTTGTATTTTGTACTATATTGTACCATAGAGTATGTATGATAAATTATATTTTAAATCAATAAACATAATTTTGACCTGCATACTACTTATAGTTGAAAGCATCAATGTTGTAGCTACTTGGATGCCAATGAAAAAAAGAATTTCTAGTAAGAAAGGTTCAAACAACCAAGTGATGATTCAGGCACTCGAAGTCCCAGAAGAATTATCTTCTGACAACAGATCAGCATATATCATGACAGACAGTTGCATCACTCTTGGCAAGTTGAGAAATGGTAACTATCAATTGTCACTTCAGAAGGTGCCAGAAAAAAACTGGTGTTTGTCTGAGGAATTGGGATGGATGGTACATTTTGCTTGGGTTAAAGCACACCATTGAGGGAAATGAATGAGCTGATAAGCTTGCTCAGGAGGCTGCTTACTCAACCATCCTACCGATCAGGTACAGACTCATATACGATGCACCATGGAATGAAGAAAGGTAGAATTGTGAAAACGGCGCTACCATGAAACTTTTCTTTCCTACAATTGGAACACGTCAACAAGTCATTTTCAAGACACTCCATGGTCATGGTGGAATGGCTTATCTCCATCGCTTCAACATAATAGACAGACCAACATGAAGATGGTCAAACCATCCACAAACTGTTGAACACATAATTTTATACTGCACCCTGTCAGATCAAGTAAGGGCTTTGGTGGTCAGGACAGTCATACTACAAGCTACTCCTGGGCAACTTCAATGCTTATTTATGTGATATGTAGCATGCTGGAAATAAAGTCCCTTCTAGTAAGGGTACTGTTCAAAGGCAAAAACAACAGTCCAACCACTGGATTCCTAGCCACGCTACTGCACCTGAATATATTTTGAAAGGACTGTTGGATGGAATGGTGCAGAATTGCATATATCTGTTGCACAGGTAGGAAAGTTGTTTTCCCAGAAAAATAGTGCAATGCACACCCTACCACTTGTTTCCTTGCTTCGATTCTGCACCGGTTTATGCTTTTACAAGACCTGTTGGATGGAACAGTTCAGTGTTACATGATGTATGAGTGACTACCATATCCTGTTGTGATGTGTCATGATGATGACTTTGCATCAGTGTTGCATGTCTAGACCTACCTTTAAATGATGTAGGTGTTAGCTGGAATTTGTTCTTCCTAGTTCCATCCATATTTAGTGATATTTTGTATATTGTTTTAAAGACAAATTTGTTTTGTTTTCAGTTCAAAAACGTTTTTCTCGGGCTGAGTCCACCTTTAACAGCCAGGGCGACCAACAGTCAAAAATGCATAAGGATCGGTGGGAAACATAATGATTTACTCGCTGTAGGACATGACTCTTATCATCACACATTTTTTGAAATGCTTGGAAATTGGTCATTTGGAGATTACTTCAAGGTTTGCTGCGAGAGTATGATTGAATGTATCCACTGTACTGCTTACACACTTCTTGTAGGAGGAAGCATGCCAATCTGCTTGGAAGCTCGTCACCTCTGCACCTTTCTCCCTTCCAAAGAGCCAGCTGTATGTGACATACTTCAGAGGAGACGAAAGCCTTTCTCTCCCTCCCGATTTGGAGACGAAAGAAATCTGGAGGAAAATAGGGTACTTTTAGACCCTTGTTACAATAACGATCGTTTGATTCATCCTACTCAGTGTTCCAGATGAGAGAATTTTACCTTTCGGAATCAAAGATAATTTTTGGGAAATGGGTATGACAGGGCCGTGCGGTCCAAGCACTGAGATTCATTTTGACCATCTCGGTTCTAAATTAAGATCAGAGTGCGTCAATGCCAATTTAGAAAATTTAACTGAACTCTGGAATTTAGTTTTTATACAATATCAGAGGTGAGTTTAGATAACATGTATGCAGATTATATGTCAAGAAGATTATATAGCATTAATCAATAATATTTGTTTTTATTGCAGAAATGAAGATGGCAATTTAACTCAGTTAAAACAATCATTTGTTGATACTGGAATGGGCCTCGAACGTCTTGTCGCTTTGTTGCAAAATAAATCATCCAACTATGACACAGATTTGTTCACACCTTTGTTTCAGTATATTGCTAAAGTAATTTTTTTAAATGTGTTCAGTTTAAATTTTTTAATTAATTTTATTAATATTAATTGCACTATTTTAGTATTCAAAGAAAGATGAATATGGAGGTAAATTTGGTAACGATGATACTTATGGCAATGACACATACTACAGAATTTTAGCAGATCATTCTCGTATGATAGCAATTTCTTTGGCTGATAATATGTTTCCAGATTATAGGTAAGGCAATCTTCCGATTTGCTTTCTTATATAAGCTCGAATCTGCACAGATATGCTTATATCCAAGTACAGGGTTGAGCCTATCACTTCTCACAGTTCACTGGTGTTGCGGGTCAGTCGGGAATTCTTTAATTTTTTATCTATTTTTAAAATATTATTTTTAATTTAATAATTCCCTGGAAACTAGAATGGATTTTATAGTCTATGTATAATAATATTAAGCTAGTTTTAAATAGTGTATAAGCAAGTGCGAAGGTGCGATTGACCATAGGCTTAGTTGTGTACAGAGTTTTTGATAAATCGACATGGTGAGTGGGGGGGAAGTGCCAAACAGTGTGATGAGCAGACAACATGTATGCGGGACCCTGCAGAAAAATTCCTTTCCTTCTGCCCATTTGGTGTCTATTCTCCAACGTTTCTTTGAGACTGAGAGCCGCATTACACATCTGTGGTAGCTCATTTTACGAGTTACTTCTTGTAATTAATCGAATCTGTGGAATTGAGAGTCAGTAGAATCTGCCAACTTCGTGGAACATCTCGTTCATTCAAACATCCAGTTCTTTCTTTTCCAATCTCCATCCAGCCTGCATCATCTTGGACACTATGCCCCGTAACAGTCGGCCAGATTATTTTTCTAATTGTACATATCTAGTAGTCATATTAAATTTTATTTTATTTTTTTGAAGGGTGCCGGTGTTTTTACAAAAAGCCCATTTGTAAGTATGTAAGCATAATCCAGCGCCCCTGCATTCGAACCCGGGACCTTCACCTTTTTTTTCCCCTCCCCTTTCTTCAATGAATTCCAGGGACTGGAGGAGTTCCCTCCTGAGCCCTGAGCTCCATATTTTGGAGGAGGTCTTGCAACACAAATGTGGACTTGAGCCCCCGTTGTACCGGTGTTCTTCCATCGAAGAAACTCATTTTTGAAGGGGGTTGGGACCAAATTCAGGGTCACTAGATCCGATCCCGCCCCTTCCATTGATGAGTGCCGTGTCAATTTCTTTCAATTTCGGCCACTGGTCCCCTTAGGGGTCAGAAAAAGTCCAGAGGTGGCTATGGGGATCGAACCCACGACACAGGATCTACTAGCCGAGAGTCTGACGCCTTAACCACTCGGCTACTGCGGCCCCCCTGACCTTCACCTTACAGTGATAAGCGCCATATCAACATCTAAACCGTTGTGGCCACCGACGCCCCTAGTCATATTAATATGTTCTTTTAGTTTGAAATTATTAATTTTATTACCACAACAGACCTATTTTATTGCATGCAATACTAGATGTTTTCATGCGATTTTTTCGTATGTGTTCTTTACATGTATGTTTAGATATTTTAATTACTTGTATTAACATTGTTCCTCATTTTATAAATTTAATCTGTTATGTTATTGTATGTTATTATACGGTTTGTATTAATACACTTCAGTAATTGGTTTGTTTGAAGACATCATACTACCTTCCATGAGTGTGAGGGGCTTATTCATGGAAACACCTTCACACCTGCTTATACACTATTTAAAACTAGCTTACTACTATTATACATAGACTATAAAGTGCACTCTAGTTCCCAGCAAATTGTTAAATTAAAAATAACCTTTTAAAAATATACAAAAAATTAAAGAATTCTCGATTGACTCCAACTGGTAATTCCAGTTTTGTAATTTACAATAAATTACCTGCAGGCCTCAAAAATCACCCACCTCGGGTGTTGGCTCTTCAGGGTCAGACCTTGGATTATCCGAAGAGCCACTGAGGTTTGCTCCAGGTGCTGTCAACAGCTAGGTCACTTCAGTACCCAATGTATGCTGTTCCAAACTCATTCACACCCACTCATTTTTAAATACATTCTCCCCTATTTACCATTCATTTAGTTAGGGTGGTGGGGTACCCGAAATTCCTTCATCACCCTCTACACATATTATATAACTAACCTAATTGAGGGTTGATAGGGGTGCTCAATATTCTACCCTATTACACTGTCAACACACGCGAGGAACACATTACTATAAACAACAAAAACAACTGTTTCCTCTAGAAATCGGAACGGGGGACCCAGATACTGTGCTCATGCATGACTTTCATATTGGGTGGCATTCCTACACACTTTTTATGTGGAGCCAAGGAGATGCACCCTTCAATTAAGAGGAACATACATTCCGGACACTTTCACATTCTTTGGCCTAAAAGTGTCAACCTCACATGGCCTATCCTTAATCGCTGTTTTAAGTCGAATACAACAAAACATGAACTATTTTTTATACATTTATTTTTTTATTGTAGTACAGTTTTATTAAATATAAATACATTTAAACCTATTTTTACAAGATTTTCGAAATTGTCATTTATTATTCGTTTATATTATGTTCAGTCATAGTTTGAGGAGGGTGATCAGGAAAACATTAGCAATTTCTGATTATTTTGCTCCAAATAGCGGCGTTAATTTACTGATTGATCTCACAAAAGTTGTTGGAGATTCTCTTGGTGATTTTTATCCTGAAATTCTCCAAAATAGTAGGCAGGTAGATCGGTTAAAATAGATCGGTTCAATTTTACATTTTTTAAAATATTTTTTATTTTAAAATCGTTTTCAGATAGAGTTTATTTTGAAGGACGAATACGAACTTTGGCGGGATGTCCGAACACAACTCAAAAGTAATTGGGATCAACTGCTCAAGACGGATCCTTTACTTGGAAAACTAACAGATGTACAGAGTGTTGGCCTCGTTGCGGCTCTAAAAGAATTGGAAAAGCTGAAGATCAAGAAAGGAGAATGTCTCGAACCATCCCTTGCATTAGCCTTATTCGATCGGTATGGCCTTAATGTTCAACTGATCGAAGAAGTCGCATCAATAAAAGGTAATAATTAGTTGAAGAGATTAGAGTGCGATGCCTTGCTCTCAGTACCTCAGAGGGACTCACCATCCTGAAAGGGTTAAGGAAAGAATTTAAAAATACAAGAAAGGTGGACTGGACAAGGGTGAAAATGTTTGGTCATTACCAACCATGTTGATTTTTTCTTTTGCATTGTGTCTTCTATCATACTATGTTTTTTAAATCAGTTAAACACAACAACTTAACAAGATGGTGAACAGCTTGAGTGTATCTGATGACCAAAATTTTGAGAGTTGAATTGCTCGGATATGACCAAACTACAACTTCATTACCCTGCAGACCCGGAAATCTAACAATTTATGTGTGAAAAGGAGCCGTTGGTAGGCACAATGGTAAAGAATTGACATGGCAACTTACGACTGAAAAGGTCCCGGGTTTGAATCACAATGTTTACAAGGCACTTTATTCAACCCTAACATACTTCCAAATAGGCTTTTTTTTTTTCTCCAAAAATACTGACAGTAGGTGGTGAGTTAACTTGAGCAAATCCACAATAACTTAATGTTAATACCATTTAATTTAACTGAAAAATACACAAAAAGTATATTTTGCAAAGCAAAAAATTTATTCTCTGCTAACTGAAATATGTTCGAATTAGCAGGATTTATTTTTGAAACAAAATAAGATTTCCATAAAAGGCTAATCATTTTAAAGGGTTTAATAATTGTCACAATTAAAATTAGTTTAGAAATATTTTATTCGGGGGAAATGGTCTCCTTTGACATCTATAACCTTCTCCCGAGTTACTAGCCCAATTATGCTCTTTTTATGCCAATTTGTGTCCTGGTACATAAAAAATAAATTCAGCTCATTTTCCAGCTGTTATTAAATTCCCAATTGTACATATGATTGTCCATTGCTAAGAAAAGGTCAGATAGGGTTAGATCCGGAGATTATGGAGGGTATGGTAGGACATCCCAACGAAGCTTCATTATCACCTCCATTGTACTAGCTGTATGAGGACTTCTGTGTCCGGGTGAAAATTTCACCATCAGTTCACGAGAGGAGGTTTTTTCTGGGCCAGGCAAGAGATCTCATTGCAGTTTTGAGTAGATTTCTAAGGGGATGGACTGCCCACATGGTAGGAGTTTGTAGTGCTCTAGCAAATACAAAGAATCACCTTTGTCACCTTGGGATTGATGCAGATTGGGGGTTGACACTTTCACAACATAAAGCCAGTCAATTTTGCGGAAAAAAAAGAAAGTACAGTAAAAATTGGCTGGGCAAAATGAAGGAAAGAAGAGATAATAGCCCCACCTCCAATCCTGATCTGGACGAGGCCCATCCTGGGATGTCATATTAATTATATAAAATGGCATTGCAAAGTTCCAGATGGGGGTAGTGTGAGCGACTGTGGTACACTGTTAAGCCTGCTGGTGGGTATAGGGCCAATAAAAAATGAAAGGACAATAGGGGGGATGATACACGAGGACAATGGCTCAGCTAGGGGTGAGAGCACCCCCCCTCAGGCTGGACGCCTTATTGTGGTTGAGACAAGGGAGATTCTGAGGTGTTTCCAAGATATTGGCTAAGTAGTTTTGAATAATATTTAATTTTTATTTGTATAGCAGAATATTTTTTTGGTTTCTAATTGATTTTGGTGATGGGTAATTCTGGGCTTGCTTGTAGATTCTAAAGTTATTGAGTCCGGGGTGCGTAATATATATTATTTTAAATAAATTTTTGCGATTGTATTCAACTTTCTTTTTACTTCACTTTATTTCCGTAGAATATTTTTGGGTTTTATTTCAATTTGGGGACAGGTCGATCCACGCAGACCGTCTCTTTTTGGCCATATCGGTCCAGAGGGTCACACCTTTTGTGTTGGTGAATATTTGGTTTTTGCATAAATGGTATAGGGTCATTTGGTGGCAGCCATCAATTTGAACTCTGGTGTTACTGCATAGGATTCATTTATCATCGTATGTGATAATCCAGTCGAAAAACATCTTTGTGATGTGTAAGCAATGAAAAGCAAATGTTTAGACATTGAAGCTTATAAGGAACCATTTGCTCAGTTTCCACACCATTCCAAATCTATGCTGGTTTCCAGTTGAACACTGGCAAGCTACTGATATGACTCGAATCAACTTTGACAGCTTCCCTCAAATAATTGTCACTCAAGACAAAGAACCATCCCTAACCAGAAGATGTACAGACCTGGTTCATCTTCAATGCCCCCATTCCCACAGTGCAAATTTTACAACATGCCTTGACTACCTTAGTACTAAGCTTAAATTCATACACTAAGCATGCACTAATTATCAATTTTGAAGCCATGGGAAAGAAATTTTTTTAAATAATTTACAGTGAACAGTTGAAGACACTTTTCTTTATGAACTGATACATCCCTTGATATAATGTGATATAAACAGCTAATTCTCCTATAAAAGAATATGAACAACAGAAAAATTAAACTTTTCTTGTTATCTGGAAACTAATAAGAAGGTTTAATTGTATAGAATTCATACTACTACTTTGTATATTTTCTACTGTTTCATTTAACCAAAGAACACGGCTTAAAAATACAAAATTTATACATTACATCCGGTAGATTTCGTGGTCCGATTAACCAAATAGCCTCTTTCAATTAATTAATCTTTATGTAAGGTATTGTTTGAGATAAAAAGTCAGTGACAGTGTCACGAGCAGGATTCGAACCCATGACCTTCGGCTAAATACGCTCTACTCTACCACTTAAGCTATCGTTTCGATCCACTCGGACACCAACTTCCCACCTCAACCCATTTATACATTACTTATACATACAAATACAAATAAGAGTCAGAATTTTGTCCTTGCAAGAGGTGCAGTACTACATGTACAAATTAGTTGAAACATTACTGTCAGATCAGACTAGTGAGAGTAGGCAGATCAAAATTATTACGAATTACCAAACTAATTTTAGCTTTTTTTTAACTAATAAACTACCAAAACTAGTTCATCAACTTGTAGCTCCAAAAGAAGCTCAAAATTTTATATGCTTGCTATTTTTAATAATTAATAAAAAATAATTAAATTATTTAATAAATTATCCTTATATTTTAATTTGCAGGGTATAAATTAGATCGGCCTCGTTTAAATTCTGATATAATCGAGCTGAAAAGGATTAACAAGGCTGCACTCCATTCTTCCAAATTGCAAGGGATTTCCAAAAGAACTCTCGAATCGCTTTCAAGTCGTTTTGAACCGACTGATGAAACTGCAAAATATTCGTATGTTGTCAATGGGAAATATCGCTTTGAACCGATTCAAGCAACTGTGCTCGCTGTAATACACAACGATTCCGTATTGGAAGGAAGTCCTATCGAGCCGGGTGAACGCGTCGGCATTTTGTTGGACAAAACCAATTTCTGGTCGCATTTAAAAGGTGATAGTGATAAAGGAGTCATAAAACTAACCGATTCGGAAGAAGTGAATGTAGATAATGTAGTAAGATGGGGAGATTACATTCTTCACTTTGGAACTTTAAATTCTAAAAATAGGTTCGGATTATGTTTTTTACTAAATGAAGTTTATTTTTTATATTAATTTGTTTTTTTTTTAGTGTTAACCTTATTGGATCTTCAGTATCGCTACACATAGATACTGATCATAGATTCAATCTCATGAGAAATACTACTGCATCTCACATACTAACTAAACTGCTTAACAAGAAGTTTGTGGCAGATCTCCAACTTTTTGTTAACTCCAAGCACAACCTAACAGTCACGTATTGTTTGTACGGAGAGAATATTTCAGAAGGAGGTATGTTCAAATAACAGTGATAATCGGTAGTGACATATCTCCTGTAAATTTTACTATTTAGAGTGTATGCTGTTTGAATATCTTGTAAATAAAGAAATTCAGGACGGGATTAAAATCGACGTCGCTTCGATTTCAAGCAAAGATGTAGTATCTGGAATCGCCATACCTCAGATATTAAGTTTGGAAAGCTCACACTTTCCTCTCATTAAATTCTCAGGAGAAAATACAAAGTATTAATATATTTAAATAATCGTCAGCGAATTTTTCTATATTAATTTTGTTTATATAGAGAATTATCTTATGGGCCGAATGTCCTTAATACAAGGGATATAATTGAATTTTGTTTCACTTCTATAAATATCAACAAGAAAAAAAGAAAGTATACATTCACTTGTCTGACTGGTCCTAACGTTGATGATGCCTATAAAAAAACCGAAGAACTATTGAATAGGTTACAAAAATTAAACTGTGAGTCTGAGGTAAATTTATAAATGTTTTTCTTTTGTCATTATTTTAAATAAATTGGAGATAATTTACAGATGAGTTTAATCAACAAAGAGATTACTAATGCAAAGGATCTAATTAATCAGAACCTAGTACCAATGTCACGTAGAATAGAGTTAAACTATATTGTCTCAAAATTAAGTGCGATCATTAAAAAGAAAAGTCTGTGAGTATTTCAAATAAAATTGTTTATAATTATTGATTAGATTCACTAATTTCGTGGTCAGCTTGACCAATTAATATATTACAATTAATTAAGGTTTTTAGTTGAGATAAAAAAGTCAATGGCACGAGCGGGATTCGAACCCACGATCTTCAGCTTGATACGCCGCTGATCCACTCGGACACCAACTTCCCATCTCAACCGCACCTTTTGAATTTTCCCTTCTTTTTGCCATTTTTCAAATGTTGTGTAATCGGATTGGATTATGGATGACAAATGAAATGGCCACGAAGAGCTTTAGTGAAGTATACTTCATTTTAAATCATTAAATTCACTAATTTTGTGGTCCGTTTGACCAATTAATGTATTACAATTAATTAAGGTTTCTAGTTGAGATAAAAAAAGTCAATGGCACGAGCGTGGAAGCGTGGGAAGTTGGTGTCCGAGTGGATCGAGGTCACGATAGCTCAAGCGGTAGAGCAGCGGCGTATCAAACCGAAGATCGTGGGTTCGAATCCCGCTCGTGCCATTGATTTTTTATCTCAACTAAAAACCTTAATTAATAGTAATATATTAATTGGTCAAGCGGACCACAAAATTAGTGAATTTAATGAATTAAAATGAAGTATATCTTCACTAAAGCTCTCCATGGCCATTTCATTTTTGTCAAGAATCCAATCCGATTACACGACATTTGAAAAATGGCAAAAAGGAGGGAAAATTCACTTTTTTATCTCAACTAAAAACCTTAATTAATTGTAATTATTGATTAGTTATCAAAACAAAACATTTTGAATTTAATTACAATTAATTAAGGTTTTTAGTCGAGATGAAAAAAAGTCAATGGCACAAGAGGGATTCGAACCCACCACCTTCGGCTAGATACGCCGCTGCTCTACCACTTGAGCTATCGTGACCTCGATCCACTCGGACATCAACTCCCCACTTCAACCCCATCTTATGAGCTTTCCCTCCTTTTGCCATTTTTCAAGGTAGAGCAGCGGCGTATCTAGCCGAAGGTCGTGGGATCGAATCCCTCTCGTGCCATTGACTTTTTTTCATCTCGACTAAAAACCTTAATTAATTGTAATGTATTAATTGGTCAAGCGGACCATGAAATTAGTGAATTTGAATTTAATGTTTTGTCTTGTAAATTATACTTATAACAATTAGTTTTAAACAAAACTTTAGTTCAAAGTGCAATTTAAATTGTTTTAGGGAGGAGCAGGTGAATGAAGTGGTCCGTCTTGTCGAACAATGTAAGAAGGATAAACAAGCGGTCGTCCATTATACAGGCGAAGATTGCGAATTGGAAAAGCTCACCAAGCTCTGTCCGGATCTACCGATAATGCTGTTTGCGTATAACAGGGGTTCTCTGTCGGTGAGATGCTGCACTCCGAAGGTTCGTATTCATAAAAACCATAATCTTGAAATTTCTTTAAATAAAAACGCTTTCCAGGAAAGTGCCCTTGAAGCCGATGCATGGATGAAGGAGGTCACACGGCAAATAGGAGGAGTCGCGACTGCACTAAAAGGGCACGATCCAAAGAGGGTATCGACTCTCAAACCTGTAAAAATGAACAGGCAAACTCTAGATAAAGTAGTGGGCCAATTAAAAGAATTGGCATTGTCTACCGCACAAGAAACAAGAATATAATGTATAAAAATATAAACTTAGAAATATTGTATAAACTTAGATGCCAACATGTAATATAATATTTATCTGTGTATTGTGTCATATTTTTATTTTTGCAGGATTTTTGTTTAAAGTATTTATATTTAATGCATGTACAATCCTCAGTCTTAATACATAAAATGAAAATATATTATGCAAATTCCTATATTTTTTAACTTGTAATTAATCAAGATTAATTGTTGGTACTGTGTAAAGTTTGTGTAATTATAATGAACATCTTGCATTTATTCAAAACAAATTGAAAAGTTTTCCGATAGTAGAATCTTAAACCATTAGAAACTCTATAGTCTCAACAATATTAGAAGAAAAATGACAACAAAAATGAATTTGGTGTTTTGTTGGACAAAACTATTTTCTAGTCACATTTAAAACGTGATAGTGATAACAGAGTCATTTGGTGACTTTAAATTCTTAAAATTGTTTTGGATTATACCTTTTTCCCAAATAAAGTTAAAGTAATAAAATTTATTTAGTGTTATTTTTCTAGTCCTAACCTTCAGTATTGCTACACAAAAATTTTTAGACTATGAAGTCCAGTCATCATATGTGCTCTGTGAATGTAAGCATTGGCTCGGTTACGGTACAGCCACTTTGGTAGGACATTCTCACAGAAAGAGGTCCGTGAAGAGGCATCAAGGAAAATGCTTAGTTTTATAAGGAAAAGTGCACTTTCCTAGGTATAGGTATAAGCTATAGGGGTTGCTCAATAGATCTGCTTAGGTTGCAGTAGAGGGAATTCTGCAACCTCTCCATCTTATTAAAAAAATAAAAATTCAGGAGCCCATTTTTAATGGTAAGGACTTCTGCTATGTAGCATCTGATGGATCTCATTTCTGGTTGCCTAATTTTCTTAACAGATGGTCATCATAATGATTTTTCTACATCTTTCTTAATAGTCATGAGATTTTTTTCAAGTGGTTGGCAAGATTATAAATGTGTAATTTGGTTTATCAAAACATAATTATTTGATTTTAAGCCCTTAAAAAAATATTTGGTTGGCGGACCAGTTTAGGGTCCAAACCACCTCTCACTGATGTACATATTAAACTTAAATTTTAAAATGAAATCCAGTGATGGACTAAAACACACTAAGGAACACTCATCATTGCTTGCTTACATCATTTTTAACTATTTTATGTTTATTACACATATTATGTACATTTTACTGCTCTATTGTTCTTATTTCAGTATTTTCGCTGTGTGCAATCTTCACAAAAGATACATCATCAATGAATATTATAAAATCCTTTATGTAGGGCATATCTGTGACTTTGTGCAGTTTACATATTGTTGTACACCTTGGTGCATCAAAGCAAACCTTAGAAATTTATTTAGTACTCGTAGCAAATTTGTAAGTTAGTGCTAGAGATGAAACTAAATGAGGAGGCTGAATGTAGTAGTACATGTCTTACTAATACTTTAGTAATAATTTATTGTCAACACTAAGTACTGACAATTAATTAAGGTTTTTAGTTGAGATGAAAAAAAGTTAATGGCACGAGAGGGATTCGAACCCACGACCTTCGGCTAGATACGCCGCTGCTCTACCACCTGAGCTATCGTGACCTCGATCCACTCGGACATCAAAAAATGGCAAAAGGAGGGAAAACTCATAAGGTGGGGTTGAGATGGGGAGTTGATGTCCGAGTGGATCGAGGTCACAATAGCTCAGGTGGTAGAGCAGCGGCGTATCTATCTAGCCGAAGGTCGTGGGTTCGAATCCCTCTCGTGCCATTAGCTTTTTTCATCTCAACTAAAAACCTTAATTAATTGTCTTGTATTAATTGGTCAAGCGGAACTAAGTACTGAGTTTCTACTGTTGGAAATAATTGTATCATTAAACCTTTATATGTGTTAATGTGTTCTGTGAACATGTCTTCTATCCAGTCGAACCCATAAGTATTTTACCGTATAAAACCATTCTATTTCGATTTCCTATTTATATTTTGTGTCAGTAGGTCTTTTGCTGAATAAGATGGCCTGTGTTTTGTCAATGTTAATAATTATTTTCCATCTGTGAAAATATCTTAGCTGCTTTTGTAGGTCTTTGAGTCAGTCGGGTGTTTTATGGTGTCATTTCTCCATGATGAGATATATAAAGCACAAAGCACTATTGACAATGACAACATAACGTCATTTTATTTTATGGGCAGGTCATTTAAATAATAATAATAATACTGGACCAAGGAGTGAGCATTGATATATACCCACAGATAGACTTTTTAGGATAAATTTTCTACCTGGACCTGAAATGTTTGTCACGTATGAACTGACCAGTCAAAAAACATAGGGTGGAAAGCCAGATGTTATTAGTTTATAAAGATCTGCGGGTCAAAGTCCTTCTCTTCGACTTCTTTTGTGAAGTTACAATAGCTCAAGTGGTTAGAGCAACGGCGTAATGCTGAAGGCCGTCGGTTCAAATCCCACTGTGACACTAGCTTTTTCATCTCAACCAAGACCTTAGATCAAAAGTTAATTAATTTTGATTAATATTATTATACAGAAGGGCCTAACATCCAACTACCTATTGGGTTTCGTGAACGAGGGGGTCATCCATTAAACATCACTTTTATCAAATTACTCTTAAATTCCAAGAGTCAAATTAAAGTCCAAGGGCTATTCCGAGATTTGAACCACCTTTAGATAAATGCAAGTCAGATGCCCTGCCATTTCACATCGCAGTCCCCTAAAGAGATGTTGCATAAAAGTATGATACTTTTCAAAAATTTGTACAAATAATAATTTATTAAACTGTTAATCCATGCTTTTAAAAAATAACAATTATACTTGAAAATATGGAAAATTATTAACTTTTAGGAATATAAATATGGTTTTGTTTTTTAAATATTTTTCATTATATGTACACAAAATGAGTTTCAATTCAGTATATTTTTTTATAACAATTTTGTAAAACATTTTTATAAATTAACAAAACAATCAACAGTATTTGCAAACTCTTACACTTATATGTATTAACAGTAACAGTAATAACTAATATTAAATGGTATTTTGGAAATCTTCACCATGGGTATGAAACTGAAAATCATAATACGATTTGAATACGGAAGGTATTTCTTTTATCATATCTGTGGCGAGCATTGACCTCGAGTGTGTTGCAAATGCAATTCTGCTACAAGTCCTAGTGAGAAAAGAAGCCGCATAAGCTGCAAGGATGTTGTCAGAAACCTCACTTGAGGAGGGCGAACAATCAGCCCATTCTCTCAGAGCAGCCCAGGCGGCAAAAGTCGCCAAAATCCCCGACATGATATCTCCTTGACCGCCACACCGCCTTAACGAGCCTTTTGTGTCCGATACAAGTTGCATTTTCGAGTCGCATATCAGGTCGATATTACCTTTGAGCACTATAGTCACGTCTTTTCCGATCTCTTTGGACAGCTGTTTCATAAGCTTCTCGGTCGGCTGTTCGTACTCATGTCCAAGTATGACATTCACCAGGAGGTCGAATTCGACTGTATTCGGCGTGAGGAATACCTGGCCAGGGTAGTCCTTCAGAATGTTCTGATGGTGAGTCAAGAAATGTATGGCATCAGCATCAAATACAAGAGGCCGGTATTTACCGGTGTCAGTCGGAGTCGTCTTGAGAGTATCTATTACATCCTTGACCCTGCTGTAGATCGTGTCATGCCTTCCAAGGCCCGGGCCTAACAAAATGGAATGCAATTTTTTCAACCAAGGCCTGATACGAGTAGCTGCATCATCTGAGTCCAAGAAGGGCAGCACCATGAGCTCCGGACTATATGATTTGATCGAAGGTGCCGCACTCGATGCGGTGAACACATAAACGAGATCGGCACCTGTTTTTAAAGCACTTATTCCAGCGAAATAAGGGGCACCTGAAAATTCGACCGAACCGCCGAAAATTCCTATCCTCCCAGAATTACCTTTGTGAGATGTCTCAAGGAGGACTGGCACCAAACTGGCAGAGTCCCTCACAAGCCGGGAGTAGTCGACGACCTTTGACATGACGAATTTCTCTCTTTATACAGCACAGTATCACTGAATTACAAAAATACCTGAAACATTTTAAACAATTTGATTTTGGCAAGGGTAAATCATGTGAAGGTCCAAAAGATTTTAAGACCTCATATTGGCTCAGTTTTTATGCACTGTCCAAACAATTATATTTCAACAAAATTCTTCATCCCAAGAACATAAAAATGGCTCTTTACGCTGACAATATTACTCTTTACTCCTCTTCTTGGAGGATAAATACAATATCGAACAGATTAGACTGTGCAGGGTTCTGTATAGGAAGTTTCTACAACTGTAGTTAAATTAAAATTAATCATAATCAAACAGAGGGAATAGTTTTCAGCAAGTGTGGACCATTGCTTTATAAATTTGAAGGTGTGACCGTGTCATGGTCTGAAAAGGTCAAATATCTTGGGGTGATATTGGGTGTAAACTCACTTTTATGCCGCATATCAGTGATAAAGTGAACAAGGGAAAAGCGGCTATCTGCACACTTTTCACTTTGCTCTGTCACCTGTTTGCCATGCAGTCTGCTAATAAGCTTCTGCACAAAGTGGTGGCCAAGCTAAATGCTCCTGTATGTGCCTCCTGCCCTTCCTAGAGTCTCACATGCAGGACTAACGTCGCCAGGCTGCAGGTTGTGTAGAAACAATTTCTCAAGCTTGCGACAGACTCGCCCCAATATACATGCATATTGGAACTGCACCATGCACAAACGTGTTGATGGTGCTGGGAAATTATAAATTTTTGAAGCAACGGGAAGCCAGTACCAGTACAAAATGTTGCCAAATAAACAAGTATTACTTGGACAATGCACAGGTAAATAAAGAGGACACTCCTATTACTTGGCCATCATATTTAGGTTTTTAATCTAATATTTTGAACAATTAAATGCACTAGCTTATTTCACAGTTCAGTTTTTGGAATGAAGTCTAAGATCTCAATTCCCTTCAATAAATTAAATATTTAATACAATAAATCTTCCCACCAACCAAACACACTCCTGTCCACCTACCACAGTCTATGAACCTATTTTTTGGAGTGTTTCTAATTCTCCTCCCCTAAGGTTGCAGCAGGTACCGAAAGGCAGAAGACTAATTTTATACAGACATCAAGGAAAAGTGATACTGAAGGAAAAATGTAGAAACTGGATAAAAAACTGAGCTGTTGTTACACCAACTGTTCAATGTTTTCTTAAGATAGTCATATAAACTGAGGACGCTTTGACGCTTAAACTGACCAGTTAAAGCTCGTACATAAATTTTATTTTTTACATTTCAATTGATGCATGATTTAGTCTTACCTCGATTCCCTTCAGTATATTGAGTGCTTCTGTCAGAAACGAATGCTTCTATACAGCCCAACAATTATAAAACCTTCCACACCATCTAGAAATGCTCCTATTACAAAGTCTATGAACCTATTTCTAGTCCTATATTATATTATTTATCCTCTAGTGATATAACGTTACCGAAAGGCAGGTCTAATTGTCTTTGGTCACACATGATGCCAACATCAAGGAAAAGTGACACTGAAGGAATTTAAAAACTGGATGGAAAACTGTTGTTGCACAAACTGTTCAGTTGTTGCTTAAGATGAACAGGTAAACTGAGTGTATTAGACCGCTTACATGCTTGGACTGACTAATGAATGCTCATACTTAGATTTTATTTTTTCTATTTCAATTGATGCATGATCTAGTCTTACTTCACAATATACCTGAGAGCTAATCCTTTTTTAAAAAAGATAGTTCCTGCTCACAGTAACTATCTTATTTAAAAAAGGATTGAACACCACACTCACTCCATCATTCACCATTTCTACCTGAGAGCTATGTCAGGCAGAAATGTACACTTCTGTACTGCGCAACTACTATAAAACCTTCCATACCACCAGATACGCTCTTATCCACCTACTATAAGTCTATGAACCTATTTCTAGGCTATATACCCGCAACAAATGAGTGTATGTACTTACTGTTTTGGGGTGTTTATAACTTTCTCACCCTTTAGTGTTGTAACAACTACCAAAAGCCAAAAGTCTAATTTTCTTTAGTCACACTGAAGAAAAAATGTAGAAATTGGATGAAAAACTGAGTGTATGAGGCCGCTTACACGTTTAAACTGACCAGACAAGGCTCGTATAGTTTTTATATTTTAATTGATGCACGATCTAGATCTTACCTCCAGACCTTAATTCCTTTTAGTAAATTGAGAACTATCTCAGTCAGAAACATATGCTTTTGCACTGCGCAAGTACTACAAAACCTTCCACATCAGCTAGTTACGCTCCTACCCACCTACTACAAAGTCTATATACCTATTTTTCTAGGCTACATACCTACAACAAATGAGTGTAGTATTTATTGTTTTGGGGTGTTTATAATTTTCTCAACCTTAAATGCTGTAGCAACTACAAAAGGGTAAAAGTCTAATTTGTTTAGTCACACATGTTGCAGACATCAAGGAAAAGTGACACTGAAGGAAAAACGTAGAAACTGAACGAAAAAATGAACTGTTTAGTTAATCATTAAGTTTTTCTTAAGATGAATAGATAAACTGAGTGTATGAGGCTGTTTACACTTTTAAACTGACCAGTCAAGGCTTGTATAGAGTTTTTATATTTCAATTTTTTTTAAACAATGGATACCAAGAACTGGAAGAGTCCCCCGTGAGCACTGCAGCTGTTCAGCTTATTGTACTTTATCCCTGGCTCGATTTTTGAGGGCTCGCAACATGAGTGTGAATTACCCAGTGTGCCGGTGTTCTTTCTTCGAAGAAACTCATGTTTGATGTGAGTTGGGACCAAATTCAGGGTCACTGGGATCTGATCGCGCCCCTTCCATTGATGAGTGCCTTGTCAATTCCTTTCAATTGCGGCCACTGGTCCCCTTAGTTGTCAGAAAAAAGTCCAGAGGCGACAGTGGGGATCGAACCCACGACTGCGGGATCTACTAGCCAACAGTCTGACGCCTTAACCACTCGGCTACCACAGCCCCCCTGTATTTCAATTGATGATGATCTAGTCTTACCTCCAGACCTTACTTCCCTTCAGTCCCTGTTTGTCAGAAATGTATACTTCTGTACTGCGCAACAACTGTAAAACCTTCCACACCATCCAGATATGATCCTATCCACCTATTACAGTCTATGAACTTATTTCTAGTCCTATAGTTCTATGCGGCTATTTTCTTGGGTGTTTATAATTTTCTCCTCCCGTAAGATTGAAGAAGCTACCAAAAGTCTAAATGTTTTTGGTCACATATGATACAAACATCAAGGAAAAGTGACTGAAGAAATGTAGAAACTGGATGAAAAATTGAACTTGTTACACAAAGTGTTCAGTTATTCATTCCAATTTTTCTTAAGATGAATAGATAAACTGAGACCGCCTAGATTCTTGGGCTGACCTGTCAAGGCTCATACGTAATTTTATTTTTTAAACTTTAATTGATCCACGATTAGTCTTACCTCGAGACTTCATATACCTTCAGCATACTGAGGGCTATCTCAGTCAGAAACATACGCTTCTGTACTGTACAACTACTATAAAACATTCTACAACAGCCAGATACACTCCTATTCACCTACTACAAAGTCTATGAACCTATTTCTAGTTTATATACCTACAAGAAATGAGTTCAAATGTAGCTATTTTTTGAGGTGTTATAATTTTTTTCTTCTTCCCTAAGGTTGCAGCAGCTACCAAAAGTCCAATTTTCTTTGTCACACATTATGCAAACATCAAGAAAAAGTGACAGTGAAGAAATTTAGAAACTGGTTGAAAAACTGAGCTGTTGTTACACCTACTCAGTTAATCATCAGTATTTTAAGATGAACAGGTAAATCGAGTGTATGAGGCCGCTTACACGCCTGGACTGACCAGTCAATGCTGATACTTAAATTTAATTTTTATTGTCGAGGTAGAACGTTTGCCATCCGTGTAACTTTATTTATATAACGAAAAGGAAATATTTTTACGTTTCAATTGATCTAGTCTTACCCAGGCGCGTTGTGTGATAAATAAATAATTAGATTGTAAGTCGAGAACCGGTCGAGATCGGCGCTTCGGCAGTTGTTCACGAGTCGAGAAGGGGCCGCGAGAACCTTCGGACGTCTCGACTCTCAAGGCCAGTGACGAGAGGGCCGATAAACAACGTTATCTCTCTCACTTCGTCCCAGTCGACGGTTGAACAGCTGAGATTCTGTGAAGTGCGGCTCGGATTTTCTCCAAAAACTATTTTCGTTCTAGTTCAGCTGACTTTCGGTGAGAAAAATAAAAAAAAACCTTCCTCCGGTGAAAATGAATTTCCACTCGGATTGTTGATTTTGCTTTTGGAAATTTTGGAGTCGCAACCCCGGCGTCGGAAAACGTAATTATATTCCTCATGTCTTGTTTTTATTATAATGCCATTTAATGCGTATTAAGACTCGAGGGAGATCAGCTGCATTATTCCACAACTGCGCATTTGAGATACAAAGTAAAGTTAGGGGTCTTTTTTTTAATAATTTATTGTTATTTACGAAGTTTATTTACATTTGAGGTTGAGGCGGATCCGTTTAAATTCGCGGACAAAAGGGCCAACACGTTTTCATTCCGTCTTCTTTCTCCGTCCGATGGACGATTTGTCTCCTTTCAAAGTTTATTTATTTCCCCCCTATAATCACTCCCGGTTTCAAGGTTTATAAACACCACCAAATCAAGTGGCTCAGTTTTCTTTTTTTCGCAGGGGTGTTCAGTATCAAATAATGTTCTGACAGTTAAATTCGAATCTCAAGTGGTCTTGTTTATAAAAAGAAATACACACAAAAAGAAAAAAATGAGCCGCGTCAGAGGTGGATTGGCTGCCATTAAAATTCTCAGGTTCTCAAAACTACCAAAAAGTAAGTAAAAAATTTAATCTAAAATCTCCGGAAGTTTAACAATTTTATCGCTTGTAGACGTTTTCTTGTACGAGCTCTGCTATGACAACTTGAAATCGATTTCGACATCTGTGAACCTTTTCAAGACCGGGGTCGGTGACTTCAACACTCCGAAGGGCCCCGGTGAGCTGCCAGGCAGCGGCGGCGGCGGCCTAGGTGGGAGCAAGAACGGAAAGGACGGCAACCACATCAGCTGCCCGAAATGTGGCGATCCGAACATATTCGTAGAGACCTTTGTCTGTAAGTGACTCTTCAATACATTTTCTATTAAAATAAAACAGTTGGGGGTGTCGGTGCCCCAACAGCTAAAGTATGACAAGGCGCTTATCACTAAAGGTCCCAGGTTCGAACTCAGCAGCCGCTGCATTCAAACCCAACATACTTACAAATTAATAGAAATGGTGAATGATGGAGTGAGTGCGGTGTTCAGTCCTTTTTTAAAAAAGATAGTTCCTACTAAATTGTTTTCCAACGTTCCGGATTTTGAGCCCTTAGCTCATCATCAGGTTGTAGAAATCCTTCAACCTGATGTTGAGCTAAGGGCTCGAAATCTGGATCGTTGGAAAACAACTTACTGTGAGTAAGAACTATCTTTAAAAAAAAAGGATTACTTACAAATTGGCTTTTATCCTACAGTTCATATAACCTCATAGTTAAACTTTATTAAAAATAAATTAATTAAAAAAAAAAAGGAACAAAAGATTTGTACTTGTCATTTAAACCATTACAATCAACATCGTATTTTTGTTTAGGATGATACCTTTCCAAGCTGATAAAAATTAGGGCATCAGTGACCTCAATGGTTTAGTTGTTGACAAGGCACCCATCACCCATGTTCAAATCCATCCTGAATTTGAAAAGGAAATATTTACATAAGGGCTTTTATTCAAACGATTCATACACCTTGCAGTTAAACCTTGTTAAAAAACATTAAATAAATAAAGATATGTATTTGTCATTATAAAAACCATGCTAATCAACGTAGTATCTTTGTTTAGGATGATACCTTTAGAAGCTTATAAAAAAGGGTCATAAGTGGCCACAACGGTTAAGGTTCAAATCCATCCTGAATTAGAAAGGCACATACAAATGGGATTATTTTTCACAAACACCAACACCCTGGGGGTTGAAACGATCTCTGCATTACGAACTCCCATAAAAAATAAGTAAATAAAAACAGTACTTTATCCGCCAATAGTCAAATCATATTGATATGAAAGTATCCGGCGACACAGGATCCTTCTGTTCTGCCTAGAAATAGCCATAGAAATGATTTCTGGTTATTCTTTGGTTTGGTAATTCATTTTTTTCTTGAAATATGATACTTTCATTACCTTTCTTTATCACATTATTAGTATATCGCAAGCATGGATTTATTTAATCTTAGTAGCTATTTTATTATTTAATAGACCCAGCGAGTTTGCTTTTGCCTTTTTGTTTGCTTTTATTGATTGAACTTTGAAATCTTTCAGTGAGAATCGACTTGTATCGCTTGATTTATTTCAGGAAACTTAACAATGTCGGTATTTTTAGCTGATTACATTTGTTCGCATTTGTTTTTCTTAAATTGTATTGAGTCAGTTTTTTTGTTTGTTTCCAATGCCAACCCGATGGTAATGACATTATCTGTTTATTGTGAAATTGCTAGACCCATCAGTAGGTCAAGGTCTCGAATTTCAGCTTCAGTTCCTTTCGCTTTAAAAGGTTCAACTGCTTTACCAGTCTGTTTATCCTCCTCGATTAATTTAAATTCTGAAGGTTGTTTGAAAAATTTCTTCGGACAGTAAAATCATAAAAAGTCTCTTATCTACTCAAGATAGATCATTGTTTAAAAAGTACATTTTAATTAATGTTATCTAAATTCTATTAAAAAAATGTGTTAAAAAACATTCTAAGCAATCAGTTTTGTAACGTAAACAATGCAATCTAATAATTCACATGAACAAACTCGCCATTTTCGTTATCTTTTTATTCATTTAAATTATAACATAAAAATTCCTTTAGTTGTTAAGATTAAAATTAGTTGACGTGCAACATGACATTGACGTGCAAGGTGCACAAATCATGGACAGAAGTATAAATTTCTAATTGCATGATATAAGAAGAGAAGATTACGAATAACGTGCCATAGAATTAATTTTTTTTTTAATATAAAACCCTAAATGTTACAAGAAAATATTTGAAATAATGAAAAAATTACTGCTAGGAGATCTGAGTTATTTTTTTTGCATAACTAGAGGGAAAATAAAAGGGCCCCATATATTGTATTTATTTGTCAGTTTGGCTATAGAAGTAACGAATGAAACATTTTAAACAAAAAAATATGGTTATTGCTAAATTATCAAATTTAGCTGTTTTAACTTGTCGTAACTTTTAATAAACTTTCTATTTAATAGGAATTGTAAAAAAATACATTTTACTAACTATAAAAGGAGAGTCTAAGCAAAATATAATTTCAAAAAAAGGGTTGTTGATTTTGTTTTCAAATTCCTTGTATACATAGTGGTTACTTGTTTGTAATGAATTATTGCCAACAATAACTTAACTTCAAGCTCAAAAATAATTTTCCTTTATTCATTGTATATAATTTTTGATGTTTAACTTTGACAATATAATATCGAAAACCCATCATCTCATATTCTTCCTTTCTCCTGCCAGGTATTATTTATAAATGTGAGTGTAAAAAGTTAAATTTCAACTAAAAGAGGATTACATGAATGAATTTGGCTAAATTAAATTTTATTTAAAAAAAGCTTCTTGATTTTGCATTCTTTTTTTTGCCAAATACTTTCATTATTTAATTGTTATAAATGCAATATGCATATATTGTATGTATATATTGTTAAGCAGGTGCACCGAATCTTGAGCAGCGCTAATTATTCACCCACTTCCAAAATATGTTTTGCCGTCACAGTCAAGCCACACAGGGGACACCACCAAGGAGGTGCCCATGTTTCAGGCAGGTGTGGCCTATTCTTAATCATATGAGAATTCTGTTTCCCGTTTTTATTTTCCACCCAAAGGTTTACTGTCAGTTTCACTGATTTTTAGCTTATCAGACAATGGTAGTCCAGTGGATTTGCCAGTATTCCAGCTTAATCTTTTCAATACATTTTTGGCATCCACTGGCCAGAGTCCAGGTTGCAGTATAGTTGCTGCTTCTTTTGTCCCTTTCTCAGCCTCTTTATTTCGTTTCAGTCCGATATGACCTGGAATTCACAAGAGGATTACGTCGCATTCTTTATCTTTTAATGTCTTTAAGCTTTCATAATTCTTTCCAGTTAATGGGCCCGTGGGGAATTTGCTTTGCATAGCTGAGACTGCGCTTACTACATCCTTACAGACTACAAATTTTGAGCCTGGCAGGTTATCAATTTCACTTAGCACGAGCGATACTCTGGTCAATTCTGTGGTGTAGATGCTGACCGAGCACTTTAGGGTTTTTTAATTTTGTTTAGGAATAAGATGTCACAGTCAGTGGAGTCTGTTTCAGTATGAGACTAGCCTAAACTATCCTTTATATCTCTTTAAAGAAAAATAAATTATCACTTTGCTTATAAATCTGGGGTTCTTATTTGTTGTCACTGTTCCCTTCTTAATTGTATATTTAAAGATGATCAGGGTTGAGGACAAGTACATGAGAAGTGGCTTCCACTGCATGTTGTCCAAATAATTATTACATCATATTGAGTGCCAAGTTTAACAAAATATTGTCTTTCTCTCATCCCTGATGGTCTTTTAAATATAACATAATGATGAATGCTTATTAATAATTATACTGGAGATTGTTTTTTAATCTTGTTTATTTTATTGAATAAGGTTTTAATATTTTATCAAATATATATATATANTATACCTAAAATAAATTTATTTATAATTATACCAATAATTAAATTATTAAGATTGTGATGATTGATATTTGTCGTTGTGATTATTTATAATGTGTGGTGATTAGTGACCGTTAATCGATATTTATTTAGAAATCATTTAAAATTATTATCAATAATCAAGATTATTTATAATTTGAAATTTCAGCCTCAACAAGGTTTGTGAAATGTGAGAAGTGCCATCATTTCTTCGTAGTGCTGTCAGAGTTAGATACAAAGAGGAATGTGAAGGAACAGGCCCGTGATGAGCTGAAAGGAGGCTTTGTCAGGAAACCACCACCACCACCTAAAAAGGTCGGAATTTCCTATTCTCTTCTCTCTATTCTAATCTCTCCATACAAACAAATAAACTCGATCAGTCACAGTCAACAAAAAATTTCTATTCCAGATATACGAATATTTGAACAAACATGTCGTTGGTCAAGAGCATGCGAAAAAAGTGTTGTCTGTAGCTGTTTACAACCATTACAAAAGGATATACAACAACCTTCCCTCACAGCCGGCCCATTTGCCGAGACACGACATGGCCGTTATGGACCAGGGGCCGAATTACGCTTTTGCTCACAGAGGTATGTAAGTACATTTAGCTTCATATTAAAATCGTTCCACAACTGTCGATATTTCGCAATGGAACAATTTTAGTGTTAGGCTTTTAGAAAAATTTTTTGACGATGCCCTTACAGATCTGTTACATATCAACGGCCTAGGTGTAGGTGGACATTCGAACAACTTTGGCTTCCAAAATGAAGACAACAGGCAGAACGCTAGGAATGTGCCTGGAAGTGATATTCTAGATGCTGCTACACATGAGCTTAAACTAGAAAAGAGCAACATCCTACTTCTAGGACCCACTGGATGTGGTATGATTATTTTTTTGGCCATTTATTTATAAATTCAGTTTTAATGACGATGTAATTTGTCATTTAGGAAAAACCCTCTTGGCACAAACGATTGCTCAATGTCTAGATGTCCCTTTTGCAATATGTGATTGTACAACGCTTACCCAAGCTGGTTATGTCGGTGAAGATATTGAAAGTGTGATAGCCAAACTTTTACAAGATGCCAATTATAGCGTCGACAGGGCACAGACAGGTTAGTAATTAGAATTTCATAATGTTCAATAAATGAGCCAAAAAGTTTATTATGTATAGAAATTAGATTAACTGTATACTTTACACATAGATACATGACTAGTTATTTTGTACAGGAATAGTTTTCTTGGATGAAGTCGATAAAATCGGAGCCGTTCCTGGAATTCATCAGCTAAGAGATGTCGGTGGTGAAGGTGTACAACAAGGAATGTTAAAGGTAAGTGCCTTTTAAAATTTAATTTATATTTTCAAAAGTTACTTCTTTGTTGAATGTTGTTTATTTCTTCACATCTGCAAGTTTATAATCTTTAATGTTAGTTCTAACAGTTTTATCTGGTGTTGACAACATTTTTAGTTTTATTTTAAATATTACATTTATTTATTTTAATTTTAGTAATATAATAAATAATAGTAATATTTTGTTTATAATTGTTAATATAGTAAACAACAGTAAAATCCCTTTTTCTATGGAACCCCCCCCCAATTGTGCTCTTGTTAGAGAAATAGCTAAGCTGGAGCGTATTGGAAAAATGGAGGTTGTTGTTCAGGTTCTGGAGTTCCGGTCGGCCACTAATGAACGTGAAGACAGGCGAAAGCTGGGATGTCCCACCCTCTGGACTAGACAGTCACTATCAGGCCCACTACACTAAGCTCATAGTGAAAAACATGATAAAAGAAAGATGAGAGCATCAGTGGGCGGGGTCATCCGAGGGGCTCTTGTGAGCCAAGAGCACGACCGGTAGATGGCCCTCTGAAAATCTTGAGCCAGAGATGAGCGATCGTCATCACCCGATTGAGGATTGGTCATAAGTGGTTGACACACAGCACATTCTTTTGGGCGAAAGCCCGTGCAGGGCCTCGATGTGTCCCACATAATAGAGGCAAGTCACACCTTGGCTTCATACAGAGAGCGTGTAGGCCTGCCACCAGATTTAACAGACATCGAGCACAGCAGTTGATTTACGGTTCCCTTGTTCTGTTGTTTCCCTTGTATTATTTAATGTGTTTTGTTTGAATGCATGTATATATTAGTGTGAAATGGTGGTGGTGGTGAAATGTAGTGTTACGATCCCCCCCCCCAACAGTGGTTGTGTTTAAGATCAATGGAGGAATATCCAGTACTTCACCGATTAATCAGAATGTGTGCAATGTATGAATTTATTTATATGTTTGAATGTATTTATTTGTGTGATAGATTTATCCAATTTAATATTAGGCTAGCTTATAGTTTGCATTTTTATAAGGCTGAAATGACGTAGTTGTTGATATTGGTAGGGAAGCAATGATTTCCTGGACATCTGGCTTAAGGGGGATACTAGCGACACAGCCAAATAATGTGGATGAATTCCTTTTAGACACTATGGTCTGCATGCACGTCGGGGAGTGACAACCCTTTGGGTGAAAGTCTGAATAGTAAAGTCATTTTATATATGTTTAAACATGTTAAGGATACTTGCCAGATGATTTGTGAAGATTTTGCTTTCTGAATTAAAAAAAAAAAAATTAATGGCCTTATTTTGCAATATTAACCAGTCATAACTCAGAGAATGTGATGTTGAATTTTATTATACTCTTGGGAGAAAGGTATCGTAAAAAAAAAAGACTGGGGCGACGGAGTGAATCGAACCCACGATCGCAGGGGCTACTGCAGTCCTCTCTGTAATAATTAAAACAACACTTTCAATACAGAACTTGCAATTGGAAAGAATCCAAATGGTTAGCTTGTTAAGCAAGATTTATGGTGCATATTTATCCATGCTGTAGTGAGATATTCCCATCTACTGGTTAAGGAATTTATGATGCATCAGATAGATTAAGCGAGGGTTACATTTATTCTAGAGTTAAGAGCCCTTGATAGAGTCACTCCTTCCAAAGTGCATATTGTTTCTTCTTTTTTACGTGAGTTGTAAAATGAATTAGATTACAATTTTCTGAGTGAAAATGAAGATTGATTTGGTCCGCCTCTAATCAGTGAGAAAGAGTGTATACCATTTTTGACAGTGGAACGATGATTTTGTATGTAAATTCCAGCTCCCCGAAGGAATGATGTAACAGCTACTTACGCTGATTGAAGGAGAGATTTAGTAGTTCTGCTGTTAGTTTCTGTGACGGTCCTTGATAAACTTTTTCACATTTCCTGGGCTACATTCTCATTGAATGGAGGATTTATTTTTAATTCATTGTCTGAAGGATCCATGCTTTGCAGTTTATACCACAGAAGGGTTCAGGACTAATAGGTGTTATGGAACTTTCCTTGGCCAGTTTATTGGCCTTTTTGTTGCCCCGTGTGTCCTGGTACCCAGACAAGGGTAATTTTGTTCTTTTCCCCAATGCCTGACAAGTACTCTAACGCAAACATTTTGGATTATTACTGATGAAGTAATTGCCCTCTGTGCCACCTGGCTGACTGAGTAGATTGCTATTCTTCTGTTATTGATATCTAGGGTCTTAATCTCCTTGGCACAGAGGATATGCCAATTCACAGTTTTTCATTCTTCCTTTAATACAAACAACCACTGCCACAGTAGAAGCTGTTATAAGATCAAAAAAACCTGTAGAATGGCTGCATGGTTTTTCAAAAAAACCTGTAGAATGGCTGCATGGTTTTTGAAAAAATTTCCCATTCTTTCTCATGGGATAAGGCCATAACTTTTAAACATTGAAATATAGTTACAGTGGCAACAGTTCATCATAACATTGTAATACCCCAAAATTTACATACTCCGTTTGTTTATTGCATTAAATTCTTGGGTAAAGGTTTCACATACACCTGGACTTTCATTTTATTAGTTACACAATCTGTTTTTTCGCTTTTTTGTAATGTTGTTTTCTTCTTATTAAAGTTAAAACAACAACCCTCTCTCATGTGAAAAGATTTGACCTCTTGGTCACTTACTATCTTTAACATAATCGTTAAAATGTGACTAAAAAAAGAATAGGCTGATATTTTTCTTTATCACTTACCATTCTCGTGCGCATTCTTGATCATTGGCACAACGAAGTAGAAAACCTTAAAAGTAATGGATTTCCGATGTTGAAACGCGTGTCTGATAGACCAAATTAGCATACTAGGTGTAACAAAATTATCAAAAACTACCAAAATTCATCACCTCTTAGACCACATGAATAAATTCCACAATTAACCCGAGTTGTTCACCTTGAATCTCCAAAGATGATCTCTCAGAAAAATAAATATAAAGCCTGGAAAGCCTAATGTAATTTTTAGTTTAGTAGTTTTTAATAAGGGAAGTTATGTATAATAGGGGGAAAAAAATTACAATGCCCTGTCAGGAGCCCAACTAGAATCCTGGTTCGGTTGTGGTTGCCTGCCAGTAATTCCTTTGTAAGTTTTGCAGATGGCTCTTCTTTGAATCCCTTTGTGTGCCTCTTACCTGTGGTACTGTTCCATCAGGTTTTGGTCTCATTAAGGATCCATTTTACGATATATACTTTTTTTGTGGCAAGATGCCACAGTATGGTTCAGTATCCAGAGAGTCCATGTTGGCTCCCTCTTTGGCCAACATGTCAACCTTTTCGTTGCTTCTATGCTCTTAATGCCCAGGGACCCATGCCAGGGAGAGGTGATTAGTGTCGCTGACTTCCATCATGGCCTCTATGCTCTTAATGCCCAGGGACCCATGCCAGGGAGAAGTGATTAGTATCGCTGACTTCCATCATGGCCTCTATGCAGATCCATAGAGATAGATGCCTTCACCTTGCATGAGGCTAGGCCTTTAGTCCTGCTTGACCGTCAGAGACGTCTATCTTCCAGGAATGTATTCCTAGACTTTTTATTTCTCTGGTGCATTATTCAATCGCTGATTTCAGACTGGAAAACTGTAGCATATTTACCTAAATTTAGAGTCAGTTCGTTATGGATTCATCATGAAGACTCCAGCCCCCGTGCCTAGGTCAATTTTCGAGTCGCCATTGTACCAGTAGGAAAGTGCCTTCAACTAACCACATTCAGCCTGTTCTGATACCCTGTACCTTGTATTATTTTAAAAGTTATATTTTGGAGCAGTGGCCTGACATGCCTATGGCATCTTCCTCTATCTCCTCCATTGTTTATTATACAAGGTCTTTCCTTGCAGATTGCTGTCCATTTATGAGTCTGAGGGCTGAATATAACACATATTTAATTTTTCTTTCTGTTTACAGATGTTAGAAGGTACTATAGTGAATGTTGCTGAACGGAATTCCCCGCGGAAACTTCGAGGTGAGACGGTTCAGGTAGATACAACTAACATCTTATTCGTAGCATCGGGTGCTTATAACGGGCTAGATCGTTTTGTCAGCAGAAGGAAGAACGACAAGGTTTGTACATCTACTTCGGGTATCGTTCGAGCTTTTTAACCATATAATTTTTTTTCTTCTAGGTGTTGGGATTCGGCATGCAAAGCGGTCCTCTACAGGGACGAAGGGCTGCCCTTAGTGCTGACATCGCCAACCAAGGTGATTCTGTCAGCGAGGATAACAAAGAGAAGGATAACCTACTTAAAGAAGTCGAAGCAAGAGACTTGATAGACTTTGGAATGATACCAGTATTTAATTTTCAATATAACTAGATTAAAAATGTAAATTGATGTTAAATAAGTTGACTTTTTTTTAGGAATTTGTCGGTCGATTTCCGATTCTGGTGCCGTTTCATTCTTTGGACGAAGAGTTGCTCGTACGCATTTTGACCGAACCTAAAAATGCAATAGTGAATCAATACCAAATGCTTTTCAATATGGATAAAGTTGATTTAACTTTTGCGCCGAACGCACTTAGAGCTATATCAGCGCTTGCGATGGAACGAAAGACCGGTGCAAGAGGCTTGAGGGCGATAATGGTACGTAATAACTTTAAATTAGAAAATCACAAAAGTATAAACGTTTCGTCTTTTCTAGGAGAAGCTGCTCTTGGAAACCATGTTCGAAATTCCTGGGTCAGACGTGGTGAGCGTTCACATCACCGAGGACTGTGTGAAGGGCAAGACTTGTCCCGTCTACATCAGGGGCAAGCCTGTCGATGTCGAGCCTCCCCCGGGCCCGCAGTCGAATCAGGAACAGCACAGGCCTATCGAGCTGAGGGCCGAGGCCAAATGATACTCATTTACACAACATAAACAATAAAATAAAATTCTCAACTGTGTAACATCAATTTTATTTAGGGTGGTTTATAATTATTATAGGTGAAAGGTTTCTTGCAATTTGTAAAATATAAAATATTATTTAATAATTGATTGGCCCCTTATAACTTCTTTTAAATTTTGTAAAATATGTAAATATATATTTTATTCTTTTGAATTTTCCCTTTTTAATCTTTCTGTCAAAAGAGATGTTATTTTCAGTTCCTTACTCTAATCAATACTTTTATTTTTCAAATTGTAAATATCACTTGCGATGATGTATATAAGTACTGTATCTTCGATAATAAATTGTAGTTAGTTAATAATTGTGATGCTTATTATTATTTAGAAATAAACACATTGGTTTAATTTGTGCTGTTTGAAATCCTTATATATTTCTGTTTTTAAAAATTGTATTTTCTAATTATTATATTAGGGAATTAAAATCAGCGTGAACTCTTGGCTCGTAGACCCCACGATCGTGGGTTCGATTCCCACCTTTGCCCCTGGCCCTTTTATTTACACACTCTTTCCCCCACCCCAACTGTATATGAAGAAATAATCAACAGAATCGTACTCTGGCTAATAAGCTCATAACGCCATAAATAAATAAATAAAAATTATATTTTTTTTCTTATTACAATTAAGCCTTGAAGAACTCGGTTTTTGCGTTAGTCTGAAAATATTTTTTTGTAATTTAACAATTTCAGATCATTTTGGTCTGCTTTTCCTAAGATGATTTAGTCTGTCAGACTTATTTACTTTTCACTAACTTCACTCTGTGTGTCTACTTCTACCTATAACGTTGATGGCCATACATGCATGCAAGATACAAATTGCCTGAAACACTTCCAAGCCTAAGGCCATACTCGGTGTCTTGTACGGCACCTAGTTACATGAAAATTCTCCAAAAACTGGCCACAAATTGCCCAAGCCCAATATTCCCCTGGAACTTGGGAGGGCTGCTGATGCTGGCACACCAGGGGCAGCTTTCTGAGAAGTCTGCCACTGTCTCACCACTAAGGTCTTGTGTGGAGAGGAGCTGGTCTGGATGTCTGGTTCTTGCCTGGTCTGGTGGTGTCCAGTTAGCTGTGCCCCTCCTGGCTTATCGCTCTCTGTTTTCTTCTCTGATTGATTAATTCGTCATCAAGGCAGTTTTGACCCATCGTGGTTGTATGCCTTTATAATTAAATAAATTTAAAAAAAAGCCCCAGACCCAAGTTTTTATAAGAAGGGCATAACTGGGCTGTATCACATTGGGAGAAGGTTTATATACGCTGATGGAGTCTATTTCCCTGAACAAAATATATCTGAACTAATTTTAATTGTGACAATAATAAAACTCTTTAAATTAGGACGAATTTTTCTGGTTGCCTGGTCACCTCGTTGACCCCTAAAATTAAATGTAACTATTCAAAATTGTTTCACTTTCATTCTTTTTAATTTAACTTTGTTGTCTGAAAGTTATGTAAATTTTTTAAATAATATATTGGGTTGTCCGGAAAATAATGCAGGATTTTAAGTTTTCATTAAAAAAAATCTATATAAAATATTCTGTTTACGTTTACAGGATTACTCATTTGTANGGAAATTATTTTGATTAAAGAACATTGCTTTAAAGTAACTAGTTTCTTTTTTTTTGTTTAATACCAAAATCCTGCATTATTTTCCGGACAACCCAATAAAAGTACTAGAATCAAAGGTGGGAATAAAACAAAAATTGAAATTTTAAGCTTTTCTCCAAAAGTAAGAGAGATGTATATTTTTCTTTCCAATGCTATTAATATCAATAATATCAATTCAAAGCACTATACAGTAAAGTGTTTATCTTTTCAATCTGACACTGAAAAGATTTATTGTTAAAACAAAAAAGGTGTAAACTACTGTACAATTTATATATTGAGGTAGCTTATGTACAAGTGTAAAAAGACTTGACTAAATATATTCCCCCGTTATTTATTATTGTATGGAAGAAAACGGTCTTTTGCAAAATGTAATTTGCTTACAATCTTTAATTGTCACTTGACCTTCTGTTTCTCTTGATGGGAAGTGTCTTAGAATAACTTAGGGTTTAATTTGAGATGAAGGGTAACAGAGATTAATTTTTCTGCAAAAAAATAAAATTTCAGTAGTTGCAATTTTGAACAATTTACTTAGTTCAAGTTTAAAATTGTATTTTTTTTTTGTTTGTTTATATTATTAAAATCTCATTTTCCATTTTATTACTCGGGGAAGAAAATCAACTGGTAAACTCGCGACAAAAGATAATTTTTTATTGTTTCTTAATACCTCTATCAAAACATAATACTTTAAAAAACCATTACCTCAAGCTTTAAAAGGTTAACGTAAGGATAATAGGATTGAGCAGAAATATAAAGAGCTTAGGATATGAGGAAGTCCAGGGCTTTGTCTCTATCAGATGTCTTCGCGAGAGCCGCTATTATGTCATCCTCCTTAAAGCCGAGGTTCTTGAATTGGATGAAGTTTTCCAAATACTGTCTGGTTTTCTCCTCCTCGAAATCGTTGAGGCAGAGAGCTTTTTCAATTTGATCTTCCCTAAATTGTTTATCCTCGAGAAGTGACTGAACTTGCAGTAGGAACTCGACAACCTGAAATTGTGAAAATACCTCCTTGATAAAGTGTGAAGTTTAGTGGAAAGACAAAGATAAAATTGGACAAAAGATTTTTTTTTTTTTTTAAATAAAATTTGATTTACTTAATCTAAAATTTTTGGTGAGATTTGATTACTGATTGATTACTGATTTATATAAGCTCAAATCTGTAATGTGTGTACATACATAAACGCGTCCATAAATCCACCAGCGATTCTGGTTTTTATAATTTATTATAAATTATTGGCAGATGTCGAGAACCCCACCTCGGGTTTGGAGGTCCAGGGTCAGATCTCGGTCTTATCTGACCAGCCACCAAAGTTCTGCCGTTGACCGCCTCACATTATTGACAGCCTACCCATTCACACTAATAAATACATTCACTCCCAACACACACTACATACACAAATATCAGTGCTACTATTGTACTAAATACAACGAAACAACCCTGTTTCCTCCAACAATCGGAATAGGAAACACTGCCATGCTCAAGCACAATATTCATATCGGGTGGCATTCCTATACACTCTCTATGTGGTTAGGGAGCCAAGAAAATGCACCGTTCAATTAGCTGGGACATACTGAGCAACCTTTCTTTTCATGCAGTACCCATATTGGCCTTTGGCCCAAACATATGTGTCTGTGTGTCAACCTTACATGGCCTATTCTTAATCAGGTGAGGATGACCCTCTTCTATGAGTCATGTCCTCCTTGGGCCACCTTGATCCATGAGAGTATTTGTAGTATGGTAAGCATATACTCGCTGTTTTGGTCTGTCAGACACATTCTGGTTTCTCCCCATCTTCTGTCACACAGAGACTGACTTTCCTCACTTATATTCTTTATGTAAGTCATTAAAAATGGCAAAGAGCCAGAACTTTTTTAGACAGACCGAAACAGCGAAGTGAAGCGGACCCAAGCTGATGGGAAATGACCTAACTACAGGTGAAGACATGAAGACCCAAGTAATACATTTATGTACAACCATTATTAACAAAATCAGACACCCATTTTTAAATGAGGACTGACTAGATGTAAAAAAATCACATCAAAATTAGTCAGTGAATGCATCTAAAAACATTCTTTACAACATCTTATAGTCTTAACAGAACTCAGGAGATCATCAGATACAATGATATGGTATACAAATGGCTCCAAAACAAAAAGGAACCGGATCAGGGTTTTTTTGTACAAGCCCAAGATATTTTTTTTTTCTGGCCTTATGATCTATGCATATTAACCATGGTGACGAATTCTTGTATGTATGTTCATATTTGGAGGGGGGGGTTATCGTGAAAAAAAGGGCCAGAGGTGATGGTGGGAATCGAACCCACGACTGCGGTGTCTATGAGCCGAGAGTCTCTCACGCTAACCATTCGGCTACCGCGGTCCCTAAAAGCCCAAGATATGAGCAATCAAACTCATTAGGGAAATACACTTTGGTCTTTCAAGCAGAAATACATGCAATCAATGCTTGCCATCAATATCCTAGAAAATCTTAAAAGGGGTTACACTGGCAAAAAATCCTCATAAGATCATAAGAAACAGCTATTAAAGCATTTGCATGTAAAAAAAATCACATCAAAATTAGTCAGTGAATGAATCTAAAATCTCCATCTAGGGAAACACAACAACAAGATGATCCAGGGCACAAAGTTGGCCAGACTCAGAGGAGTGATAGGACTATTAAGCGGTCACTGGCATCTGAGAAAATTAAAGAAATACAGAGATACCATTTGCAGAATATGTAATGAGGATGAAGAAACAGCGACTCATATCATCTTTGAAGGCAAACTGCTCAATGGAGACATAACCTAGCACACAGAAAAAAACCTAGGGAATGAAATTGTAGCAGCAACAGATGATGGCCTACTACTTCTGATTTTGTTGATTGCACTGTACTAGAGAACTAGGAAGGTACATAAGCCAGAAGGCTGCAGTGCCTGGGGAGAGCAAACCCTACTTCCTAGTATCCTCATCCTCCTCCTCATCATTATCAATATATTTGTTTATCTCAAAACAAAAGGAAAGTATCTTTCTTAAAACAAAATAAGAACCATTTCTGTTCAATGTATAATTTTTTTGTTCCATCTATAAATAGGTGTTTTATTTTCAGTAAATCAATTAACTCTATATATTTATGTTTAAATTAGCTATTAGATTATGTGAAATACCTTAGCTTCGTCTTGACCAAAATACTGAACAGCCCGGGCCACTCTTGGATATGGGAAACCCATTTCTGCCATATTTCTTGCGAATAATCTTTCCTGTTCATTGAGAGATGTCGACTGTTGTTCATATTCATTTTGTTTTTCTATTTGAGAATTATTAGTAACTAGTGATGATGTGCATGCCTTTCAAAGATTAGAAAAAAAATTAATAAATTGTATGAAAAAAAATCTAAACTGATGGTTTAACTGTATCAAACTGAAAACTTACTTGGGCGGGTTCTGGCCGTTGAATTTGAATTTCTAGTTTTCTGTCTTCGATAATTTTCTGAAGATTTTTTAGTATGTCATATTCTTCTTTGGACTCGGCGCTCTGGTCAATTAGGTTCGGAGAGTAACTGTCTTCCAAAGGATTCACTACAGGCAGATTGTATGATACGGCTGCTCTCGTTATTGGGCTGTTGGTGTAATTTTGTGGTATCATGTTGGAACTGGTCGTGGAATGAAGCGGACCATGCGATTGCAGTGTAGGAGGAATGTGGTAAGTTGGTGCTATGTTATTCATATAAGGTGAGTTTGGGCTGTAGCCGGTGTTGTTGTGACAGTTTGCCTGCCAATGGTTTGCAAAACCGTTGGGCAAGGATTCTCTAGCCCTGGGAATCACATGGTTTTGCGATATGTTACTACTTCCTAAAACGTGAGCCAACTCTTCCATGTCGTTGATAGTTTTTAATTCAATATTATCAAATGGACTTGACGTATCATTTTCAAAATCGGATAAATTAAAAGCACCTTCCTAAAATAGGTTTTTAATTAATAGTTTATTTTAAATAATTAGATAATATATTTACCTGTTTCTTCTCTTTGTGAGTTTCAGTCTTATTTTGCAAAAAGATCGGCACTGGTGTCAGTATTCTAGTTTCATTCGGGTATCTATCTTCAGTTCCTGCTGTTGTTTTGTTTCTTGTAACGTCGAATTTTTTTAATAGTTCCAGCCTCTTCAATCTCTTCTCGAGTTGACTTTTTTTAAGCTTTTCCAATTTTGACAGCCGATCAACAACTGCGTGTTCGAGTTTAAAATCATACTAAAAACAATTTTTCAATTGTTAAAGTTGAGATAATAAACAATAAGTAAAAAGTTTATTTCTGCTGATAAACTTACAGTTTCAAAAGTGGGAATCACATTAATTTTATTCCTTACACTCATGGGTAGAGTAATTTTTCTGGGAGGCTTGTATTGCTCACTTATTTTGACCGGTATGCCTTCCATCAATCTTACAAATTAAGATACCTAAAAAAAATGGAAAGATGAGAGTAACACAAAAATAAAATCAGTAAAAATTAATCATGAAAAATATTATAAAACTGACTTAATCATAATTAGTTATATTAGTAAAAATGATAGCTTTACTTTGAACGTCACAATGCAAAGATATGAGCACATCAGATCAGAAACGTTAAAATTAATTGTGGAACATTAAATTTTTGACCCAAAAATAATTGTAATCTGTAGTCTGCTAATCCTCACTATTTCCAAATCTTGCATGCCTTAGCAATTAATGCATAAACTCAACATTGAAGATGGTGAGAAGCCAAAATGTATATCACAAACCAAAACAGCAAGAATAAACTGAGTAAAATGATCAGAAAGGACTAAGTTACATACAACGATAGACAAAATAAATGCACCACCTTTAAATTGTAATGTTATTATTTATTATTATTTAGTATATGAATTTATGTTTATTCAAATTTTGTATACTAAAAATAGGTTTGGTTGAAAAAGTAAGACGTTAAGAAAATGTTTATTACTTAATTCTGAAAAAATAATTATTGATTATTAAAAAAAAAAAATGTAAAAAACTTTTTTGTCCCCTTTAATACAGAGTAGTTCTACTTCTGAAATCATAAGGAATTCTTTCCCATTCATAATGAACAGCCATTTCTAACTCTTCTAGGGTGTTAGAACCTGGGTTTTGCCATCGTACTCGTTGCTTAAGTTGGTCCCAAATGTGTTTTATTGGGTTCAAATCTGGTCTTTGAGCTGGCCACACCAATTCCAACCTCATTCAGGTAGTCATCCGCAATACGTACTTAATGGGGGCCTGGCATTATCCTACATTAGGAAGATTCTCTCACCGATATGGGGGAGGGGCAAATACATGTCTAGTAAGTACCTCCATGAAGTTAGAAATCTTCCTCATACAACAACCAATTTGGTGCAGGCGTCCAAAGAAATTCCACCCCAAAACGTCAATGATCCACCATGGAATGCCACCTGAGGAACCATACAGCATAGGGTGTACCTTTCTCCTAAGCGTCTCCATATAAAATTATGCCCATGTGAAGATTTGAGAACAACTCTCACCTCATCTGTAAAGCGAACTCGTCCACAATCTTTCAATGTCTAATTCTCACGCTCCTGTGCGAATTGAACCATGGCCGTTTTCTGAGTTGTAGTAAAAAGATGTCCATCAAATGAAATCAAAGAAGGTAAAAGATTAACTGAGAGCGACCTTTAAACGGAATGAAAGGGCACAATGATACTTTTTGTGCCAGATTATTATCAAGATTACTTTGATTATTCATTACAAACGTAAACAAAGCATAATTTACTGTTTATTTCATTTATGATAGCTTTTAATTACCTGATACTAATGTTGAAAGATTATGGATTTAATTTTAACCTAAATAAATTGAGTGTGTGTTAACTTTGTCCAACAGTGTAGTTGCACTGACAAGTGTTGTCATAGCCAAGTTTCTAGCAGATCAACAAAGTTGGCAAATCAAATAGGGTTTGTTCAAAGTACCAAACTTAAGGTCATCACCCCACTGACCTCAAGAGGAAATTCACAATTTTCTTGATTTACTAAAAAGTTGATCTTATTACCAAGCTCTTTTCCGAACTTTGATTCAAATTTCACCAAAATGGTCCTTCAAACTTGATTTGTGAAAATGACACAATTTACATTACATCAAGAAGAAATCTCAGAAATTTTCTTGAAATGTTCAAAATTTGATCAACTCTATTACACCAAAGTGTGTTTAGCTGTTCTCTTTATATTGTAACTATAATTAGTTATACTCTTTTTTATAGCAATTATTAAGTTCACTATAGGTGTCAATTCTATCCAAGACTTGGAAGTAGCAATGACTGTATATGCTGCTGGATCATCCGCATGCAGAGTTTTCTTGATGACAGTCAGCATCCTTCTTGGTTGTATTGGAGGCACCTTATGAAGATATGCTGCTGTTTCCTCACTCCAACTTATGCACTATCACGCTCTTGGTGATCCAAATTTCTAAACCATGGGGTAGTTGTGATCCTTGGGAATATTGTTTAGTAAAATCCTTTCTCGTCTCTCTGTATCGCTGTTGCTACTCTTCCATACTTCTTTTTTGACCATCTCGATGAGGATTGACGTCTTGTCTCCTCCTGGGCTACTCGCTCACTCCTCATGTCTTCTATGGCAGCTTCATTTGCCAACAAATTTGCTTTTTATTATTTTATTGCCTCGATGGCACTCAGTGGATTGTGGATATTCGTACAAGTTGTGTATTTAAATTTTTCACAAGAATTTCGAATGAAATTCTCGATGTTCAGGGCTTTTAACATCGCGCAATTTGTGACTTTCTAAAAACAATAATACATACCTTCCAGTTTTCAGTGGTGTTTATCATTATAGCATCACAGATCCTGGTTTTTTATTGGCTTAAACGGCGATGGCTTGGGTCTCAGAACGATAAAACTATTTAGGAAAGTTGGACAAAGTTGTAAAACGGCAAAACGTCAAAGTGGGTAAGTCCTCGGCGACAGTTTCGAATCAGCTGAATGGTGAAGTGAACAGTGAGGCGAAAGCCTTAAGAAAAGCCTCGGAACTTAAGTCTGTGGGTGAAAGTCTCGAGTTCCGGTGGAAGGCGGAGTGGACGCCCCTCTGACGTCGCCGTCCTATCACATTTTGGTTAAATCGAGACGAAGTTTGACTCAAAATTATCACTTTGTTCCCAGCCAAATTTAATTTCGTCGTCTCATAAAATCAGGATTCATGATAACTCGACCGACTTACTCTCAAGCGAAGATTTTTTTCTTGAACCTTTATCCCCCTGGTAAATTTTGATTTTTCATCCCGGAAAAACTAAATGTTCGGGTGAAAAGTAGTCGAAAATTTGAGACTGCTTTAAAATCACGTTTGCCGTTCAAACTTTCAGTATGTTAAAAAATGTACGACTTGAAAATATCGAGCGTAGAAAGTCGGTTCGCCGTGGAACGTTGATATAATCAGAAATAATTTGTCAATGTCTGCGGGTCCATCTATCACCTGAAGTTGAACCTTATGGTGGTATCATTACTGGGAGACACACTTTTGTTAATGTGTAAGGCCGCGTTCGTCAACCAAGTCCGGACTTCCTTCGATTTTGAAAGCTAACTGATCAATCCTCCAACAATGACCACTTATTTGCAAATAAAATTTAGTTTGGCCGTTTCCGTTTTTGTCTTCATACTCTCGTTTTGGTCTGCTAGGCTTGTTCCGGCTTCTAGGCATCTTCAGTGGTGGATCTGTGTGGGTCAGACAGACTATGACAGAATATGACCAAATTACTAATCCCCGCAGGTCCACTTCTACAAAAAAAGTGGTAGAATTTGATTTTACAAATTTGAATTCAGATCCGCCGGGAACTGAAAAAGCTTTGTTTTCATATAACAATAAACAATAAAAACAACAATACATACCTTCCAGTTTTCAGTAGTGTTTATCATTCATTACGCATCACAGATCCTGATTTTGTTTTAGATCACTTAGATCTTTTTAGATTTCTTGACTCTTATTAATAAAAATTTGAGATTCACATTTAAAAAAAAATGCAAAAGCCGTTGGTCGTTTACGTTCATTTTGAACTGACTGTTCTCGCTATTGTGTCCTATCAGTTGAGTTTCGCTTTTTCGTCATCTTAAATCCATAGAATCAAGGATGTAAGCGGGGAGAGGCAGGCGCTTATTATTTTTTTGCTTGATGGAATCTTATCCATTAATATAACCTACACAACCTGGTTGTGCCTTTTCTCTCTGTCTTTCACGACTAAAAAATTAAATCACATATCATTGAAGATGGTGTTCTCGCCTAAACGTGACAGACCGTACCGCGAGGATTGGCAGACCAATAAGATCGATAATGACTAGCAGGTTCAAAAACCCATAGAGACCATGAAGAAATTTCCCAATACTCCTTACATATTAAGGATATAAGCTGGGAAAGGCTGGAGCGGAGACCCATAACTGAATTTGGCAAGAAATCTAAACGCGTCTGAAGACCAAAACGGCAAAGAATAGATGGGCCCAAATGATTAGTAAAGAGCTAATACTGCTTCACCCCCTTCAGATCTCAAGATGTCAACAAAATATACAAATAACGTGGGACATTAGCAAGGAAAAGAAAACATTCAGTAGTGTTTCACTCGTAATGATTACAAACAATTGACCGATCAAATAACTTTGCTTTGAAATGCCGGAGTTGCTATTTGAGGGCAATTTCTTGTAGAAATGGGTTAGGGACTGCAAGTATCTTGAATTGACGACCGGATATCAGTCGGAGGATACGATTTTGCAAATTTTGAATCGGATGCTGATGACCATAGCAGGCTTAAGGGCTCCATACACGAACCGGCAGCCTGTCAATAAATAACGTCTGGACATCCGTCGGATGATCGGAAGGAGCCATACATGTTCCGGCCGGCCTGTCAGTTCGAACTTAACTTAATCGAGGTTGGCTCCGGGTGCTGTCAACAACTAGGTCAATTCAGTACACAACGCATGCGGAAGTGTCCGTATGTCAACCTCGTATGGCCCATTCTTAATCAGGTGAGAGGATCACCCTTCTTCTACACCCAGGTCCTCCCGAGGGCCACACATAGGCGTGCTCTTGGCTTTCCTGCCAAACTGACCCATGTACTTAACAGAATAATGTGCTTAATTATTTGAATTTTTTAAAAGTACTGCTAAATTGGCCGGAAAACTACAAGACATTTCAATCGTTGGACATGTTGATTTTGCTATTGATTGTGCATGACGATGTTTTTACGTTTCTCATGTGAGCTTGGACAGGTGTTCCTTGTAGCAGGATTTTTTCGCTTGAGGGTGGTAACGTTAATCAAATAATTGGATGACCTGAGACGTTAGACTAACTTGCATCCTTCTTATTTTGCACCATTCACTAATATCGTAAGCGAAGTGCTGGAGCAAGTCGGCTTTGTTTGGACAGGATAGATTCCATTCGTCTCTTGCAAAAATTAAGTAGAGGCTTAGCTTAAAGTACTACAAATGTAAACCCTAATGGGAGTAAGCTTGTTCATACGCATATTCTACCAAGTGTGCTGGAGGTGGAGGAGATTTTTAGATATCAAGTCCGTTATAAAAGGTAAATAGAGGCTCCAGTACACCTAACTTGATGTACTCTACGACGAGGTACTTCTGGGAATAAGCTTCTTCATACGTGTAGTCTGCCAAGTGTGGCTGGAGATGGTAGGAGATTTTTAGATATCAAGTCGGTTATAAATTTAAATAGAGGCTCCATTACACCAATCTTGATGTTCTCTATGACGAGGTACTTTTGGGCATAAGCTTCTTCATAAAAGAGTACGTGCGGTCGGCCAAGTGTGACTGTAGGTATCTTTTAAACAAGTAATTAATGCTACATGCTTATTAATAGTCTGGCATCTTTTGGCACAATCTTCCTGTCTGTTTTGATCGAAATTCTTTAACCAAAGTATTTACAGCTCTTTTAATTATTAACTGTTATCATCGTTAATAAACGAGTGGGAGATCGTCTCTCTTGAGAATCAGGTTTCTGAAGTATCTGGAAGGGACGAGCGCCGCGAGGTGGTGGCAGTATAAAACCCAGGCCGACCTCGTCCCACCTCACAAGGAAGCATGTCTCGATTATCTGTATTTCTTCTGTTCTTGGCCATCGTCGTCTGTCAAGGTAGAGAAACTATATCTTATTATTTTATATCGCAAAAGAGCCTGATAGATGCGACTCTTGGAAAAATCCTCTGTTGTCCACATTCAAATCTTATCTTATTTGCATTTGTAAATATTTTATCGGATTTGGCGCGATATTGACATTCCAAAGTCTACTTCTAAGTCTATTTAGAAAACATTTTGAATAATATTCGGCTTTAGGCTAACGGTGCCATGCTGGAACCAATTTTTTAATATTATTATTTACCATTTGCTTGTCACTTTCTTAAAATTTTTGTTTTTACTTAATTAGGTAATTTTTTAAATATATTTAGAAAAAGTTCATTACAACCAACATATTACTTGTATATATAAACTTTAGGAAGGCAGATAAAAAAAACAAAAACAAATGCTTCATGTCTGTTTTGAAAAATTAGTGTTGTATAAGTTTTTATTTTACATAGGCTAACATACAATAAAAATGTAAATAAATCACATCTCGCATTATAAATTACGTAACATTAATTATGAGAAAATTATAACGTTTTGCGCCACGATCATCGTTGATAAATTACAGACCTTGAAGAGACGGGTTTGGTAGGAATCTCCAGAGATTCTAGATGTAATCCGGCTTCCTCACAAAGTTAGTTCCGCTTTTAATCGAATGCCTTATAAACTGAACTTAAAGCGTGCCTCCTATTCTAAGCATTATCTGAAGATGTCTTAATTGTAGAAATTATTTTTACTGTTTGATAGTTACCTGTCATCTTGGTCGGCCTATCCTCGCTGATTTTGACATTCATAGACATGTCTGAACCAACAAGAGGTTTGGCAGGCCAAGTGGTAGGTATCAAACATTAGGTTTATCACCCTGTAGACCACAAGAGGAAATCTCACAATTATTATCATCCATTTAGAAAGGACTTCAATGCCTTTTGTTGTTGACAAACGTCATAAAATGAACTCTACGCATATTTCTTAGAAAAGGCATAAAAGGATAAAAATCAATCAGGAAATATAGTAATTCAATTTGTTCAAAAAATAGTTCTTATTTACTACGTTTTCAACGATCCGGATTTCGAGCTTTAAACACTCATCATCAGCAGGAGTTACAAACTGAATTGCAAGAGTGCTAACGCGACATTACAACGAGAAGTTAATTTTATTGTAGCTCAATTTTTAACGTGCGAAAAACGTGAAGTACAACAGTAAATATTATCCTAATAAATACTGTAAGGAAATAATTTTAAATTATTGATTAATTTGATGCCAAATATTGTTTAGGTTCAGGTATTAAAATAGGAAGTAAATCAAAATCTATTATAATATTTATGCATTTTTGTTTGTTTTCATTTTTTATTTAAAAAATTTCAAACCAATCTAGTTCCCTCTCTTTGTTGCTACTGTGTAACACTGTTGTATTTAAATCGAAATTGTATTTTGTTTCATTTAGATGGTCCTTAAATTCCTAAAATTTGTTTTTGATTTACCTCCTATCTAAACATGTCCCTAAATAATATTTGACAAACAAATTAATTACTAATTTAAAATTATTTTCTTTATTAAGATAATATTTAGTTTGATTGCAATTCTCGTTTTTCGTACGTTCAAAATTGACATTAAAACCAGCTTCTCGTTGGAACGTCCCATGGGCAGTTTCTCTATTACAATTCCTGTCGAGAGAGGTGTTTGTAACTCCTTCAAACTGATGATGAGCGTTTAAAGCTCGAAATCTGGCTCGTTGAAAACAACAAACTGTGAGTTTTTTGAAGAACTATATTTTGAAAATATTAATACCCCACCTTTATCATTTCTGTAATAATTGAATGTATGTATTATTTTATTTTTTTCAGGGACGAGGAACAATACGATAAACTACTACAAAGACATCCTCTGCAATACAACAGAGAACGGTCAATATGATTGTAGTAAGTTTTTTTAAAATTTAAAACCTTACGCCTTGTAATCACTAGGAAGTCAAGAGTGAATTCAACAATTTTGATGGCATATACGCAATTTTAAACTGAAAATCCTCTTTTGTAACCGAACAAAGACCGAGAATACGATCGTACAAATTATCTTACAAATACTTTTGTAAAACTAACATTGAATATTATATACAACTAACTTTACAATCTCGAACAAAAATTTACATCTTGATCTTGCATTTCAACAGTAGATTTCACAAGTACTAGCTTGAAATTACGAGGGCTCGTTCTCCTGAAACTCATGTGAAGAAAGAGACCAATTTGACACAAACCAATAGTCAACCAACAAGCATGACCAAAATTATTGGAAACGACCAAGCTAAAAATCGATTGCAGGCAAATTAAAATATATTTAAAACTAATTATTATTTGTATGTAAGATTTTGGTTGAGATAAAAAAGTCAGTGTCACGAGCAGGATTCGAACCCATGACCTTCGGCTAAATACGCCGGTGCTGTACCATTTGAGCTATCGTGACCTCGATCCACTCGGAAACTAACTTCCCATCTCAACCCCACCTTTTGAATTTTCCCTCCTTTTTGCCATTTTTCAAGCCGAAGATCGTGGGTTCGAATCCCGCTCGTGACACTGACTTTTTATCTCAACTAAAAACCTTAATTAATTGATAGATATTAATTTGTCAAGCGGACCACGAAACTAGTGAATTTAATGACATTACATGACATTTGAAAATGGCAAAAAGTGGGAAAATTCGAACGGTTTGTCGGTTGAGATGGAGAGTTGGCGTCCGAGAGGATCGAAGTCACGATAGCTCAAGTAGTAGAGCACCGGCGTATTTAGCCGAAGGTCGTGGGTTCGAATCCGGCTCGTGACACTGACTTTTTAATCTCGACCAAAATCTTACATAAAAAGAATAATTAATTGAAAGAAGTAACTTGGTCGATTGACCACTAAAACATAAATGGATTTATATTTACAGTGGCAATTCAAGCAGATATTTAAATGAGGTGTTAGTAGAGCTTTGAAAGTTACATTATGCTACATTCGGGGACCAGCCGGGTCAATAGGCGAGAGAGAAAAAGGATTTATCCATCTGTTTTGTGAAATCAAAGATTTACTGACGATCGGGACTCGTCAAACTTCAAATAAATACATAACTGGAAATAAAAGGCCATATTGGATTCAAGCAAACTGCCAGATAAAATGAGCGTGTATGGTGGCCCTAAAAATGCAAAAACGGTGGCTCAGTTCAGTTCAGCTTATTCTTCTGATTTGGATGTAGGAAAATTGACAGTTAATCTGAGGTATTAAGACCTAAAAAGGAGCAACTAAACGAAAAACTGAGCTGTGGCTACCCAAGCTCAGTACAGAATCGTTCAGTTTATTCCTCCGATCTGGATACAGGCAAACTGACAGTTAATCTGAGCTTGGACCCCTCCAGAAAGGTGATGATCGTGTTGTCTAAAATTTGGAACAAAATTTCACTGATATAATGTGTGACCAGACCAAAACTTAGAAAAGGGTAGAAATAAGAAGACAATATGATAGAGAACATTAAAAGATTTTTTGATCTAAGCATCAAGAAGATTGTTCAATAGAACTCCCAAGTGAAGTCATGCTATTCTTATTTTGAGTCAAACTGGAAGACTTTTAACTGAAAATGATGGAATTTGCTGAAACAGACATTTTTATTTTTTAATTTAATTTATTTTTAATTTAACAATGACTTAAGTCTTCAGTTTACGTACTATAGCTATTCAATTTTATTTAAAGTTCTTGGGTCTTAACAATGTCTCGTGAATTTCAACGTACCCTAAGGAAGTACACGACATTGAAAAAATAATAATCGGGTAAACAAATCGCACCTCTTAATCCACCAGATTTGCATTGGAAAGTAAACAGGATTAGCAGAGCTTAGGTGGTATTTTTCAGAATTATGTTTGCTGGGTGATCTCGCGTTTTTTCATTTAATACCACATTGAGAAGACCTCGTGGTTTACACCTCGATAATATATCTTATGAAATAGTTTTATTTTTTGTATCTTTCTCTATTTCTTCATATATTGACTAATCAGACGTGATATTTATTTCGAGACTCGGCGTATTTTTTCATGCCAAGTGAGGCAGTCGGGCGCAGAAAGCGTAAAATCTGTCCTTGGTATTGTTGATAGCTGAATTCTTTTGAAATATTTCAATATTTCAGGTTTCCTAGACGACCTCAAGAAGGACAAGTGTTACTTCGCCGGTGAAAAATACGATTTAGGCCAGGAGCTGCCCAAAGAACTCCTGAACAGGGAGGCCAAGTGCAAAGTCTCGTGCAATTGCCACATGGACCATTTCGAAAATGCGTAAGGCAGAGGAAATATCAATATATGTATATATCGATTATAGGAGATTTCAAGAAAGTTTAATTTGTAGTCAGACTTGATTTAAAGTTCATGAATTTTAATTTAAAAAAATTCTGGCAAAAAGGAATTACACTAAAATCGTGCTGTAAGTGTAAGTAAAGAACCTATCCTATAAATATTGTACCGCCCTTAAAAGCGCACCTCGTCTTAATTTTCAAAGTGGCGAAAAGTTAGTTTTAACAGTACACATATCCAATAAAATTCAATCGACACATATTTATGTAGTTTTGTATTTTCAGGGCAGTTTGGAATTGCCTCAATATCGAGTGTCCTGAGCACTTCGGTCTAATTCCTGGCCGATCCTACACCTACTCACACGACAAATGCTGCGCGTTGATTTCCGACAAAGGTGAGAAAACGATTGGGCAACTTGATTCCGTTTCGCCAGAGAAAATACGAATTTGTCACGTTTTGGCATTTCAAAAAAGCCGTAATTTGTCACGGTAGTTTCTTCTGTATTGCCTCGTCATAACTATGAAATAAATGTTGCAGATCCATCCGTAACTGAAGATACGAAGTGCATGTATCACGGGAAGGAATACTACAAAGGTCAGAGGTTCTACCCAGAAGAGGAACCATGCCTGAGTTGCATATGCGACAAAGGGTTCAAAGGTTGGACTAGTTACTACAATTAACCTTTTTCTGAGACTTGAAGATTTTATTGAGTCTGTATACTTACACACGTACATTTAACTAGCATTCGTTTCGGTTTCACGCCATCTTCGATGAGTTCCCCAAATTTGCAAGAGTTCAACATGCATTCACCGATTGGCAAACAACGGGCACCAATTTATACTTCTTTTTATATAAAACATTCCCAGTTAAGGTTTTTTATTTCTAGGCAAAATAATTTTAAAAGTTGGTCTTCCAGTCGATGAACACATGCTGAACTGATCGATCCCGATTACTTAACTCATTAAGTCTTAATTTGAACCCAAAACCACCTAACCAGACGACCCTCCTAGACCAACGAGAAACAGACCCCGTCAAGTGATCGTTGACGATCAGTTCAAAATAATTTTTGTCAAAAATATTTTATTTTTTTTGTAGGTGAGCTGAAGGAACCTTGGTGCCAGAGAATCAAGTGCAATACCTTCCTCCATTACCTTAGCAAAGTCCGCAACCATTGCATTCCTCTGTTTACAAGTAGCAACGGCTGTTGTGCGATTTACGATTTCAGATGCCGTAAGTACAAGTAATGTGTGAATACCAAGCAAACGAACTTTCGATTTTTCTTTTACAGCTTCGGAAGATGACGCGGTGATAACCCATAAAAACATCGAGTTGAACCAGCTACCAGAAGGTAATAACTTGTATAATTGTATGTCGTCAAGAAGTATTTGCATTTATTTATTTATTTTTTTTACAGCTCCTAAGTGTAAGTTTGGCAACCTAGAGTTGTTTGTCGGTCAGTCCCTTTCTCCAAAGAAGCTTGCCGGGAGCTGCACAGACTGCACCTGCTCAGTACCTCCTGTCGTCACTTGCCACATGACGGATTGCAACTGAACAGCTAAAATAAACAATAATTAAAGTATGATTTCATTGCAATAGGCAAATGTATCGTTTTTTAGTTAATTATTAGACTGTTTATTTTATATATGTATATGTTAAATACATGAATACATATTATGTATTAAAACTAACATGAGTGTAACATTATGGAAACGAATAATTTTATGTTTTATTGTGTAAACAACCAAATTGGTGTGATTTTAGACGATTAGATAGGTTTATAAATAAAATATACACATCTAACATTAATAAATATATAGATACAACGCCAAAACACAAGGATCTTTTTTTAATATGGCCATACTCAGAACAATTATCAATTACCTAACTGACCTGAATTTTAATCTAATAAGATATTTTATATTACAAATCGTGAAAAATTTCAGCTATTTTGTTCTATTCTAGAGGTCGCAATATATCAATGGCCTACCGTCCAGCGGTATAGTACAATTAATTGGTTCGTAAAATAGTGCATTGTGATATTTTTCATGTTTTCAAGGCGATGATACTATATTTTGGTCATTTCCGAACATTTCGGTCTGACTTCGCTGGTTAGGTCAAACTCCCATCTCAACCGCACCTTTTCAATTTTCCCTCCTTTTTGCCATTTTTCAAATGTCGTGTAATCTATTTGATTCTCGGCGACAAGTGAAATGGTCACGGAGAGCTTTAGTGAAGTATATTTCATTTTAATTAATTAAGTTCACTATTTTTCGTGGTCCGCTTGAGCAATTAATATCATACAATTAATTAAGGTTTTAAGTTGAGATAAAAAAGTCTGTGTTACGAACGGGATTCGAACCCACGACCCTCGGCTTGATACGCCGCTGCTCTACCACTTGAGCTGTCGTGACTTCGATCCCCTCGGACACTAACTTCCCATCTCAACCGCACCTTTTGAATTTTCCCTCCGTTTTGCCATTTTTCAAATGTCGTGTAATCTATTTGATTCTAGGCGACAAGTGAAATGGCTTATATTTAGCGTTGAAGATGACGAAATGCCCACCAAGGCAGACCAAAATGACCAAAATTGTACAAGTTTGTTTTACTAATATTTAGGAGCTATACTCACGCTTCACCTTTCCTGGTCCAAAATATCTCGAAAAAAAGGGATAAGTATATTGGTTTTCTTTCATTATGCAGAACATCGTACTGCTCAGAGTAAAATATTCTGTATTCAATGCAGCCTGTTGATCAATTCCGTGTTATGGATGTCAGATTTGGGGATACCAAATGTACGATGAGTTGGAGAAAGTATCCATCAAGAAATTGCTTTCGTTACTGTCTGCCACATCCAACCATCTCCTGTACTTGGAAACTGCCACTGATCTTATTTTTTTGTTTATACTTTAAAACTGCACTTTGCTTTTGCAAGACAAAACCACCAAGGGCACTCTCAACACGACAGACAAGAATGACATATCTACACGGAAAACAAACACTTTGAGCCCTGAAGATGAATGATCTCAATAAAGATCGAAACGTTAGCACGATAAAGGAAATGTTTTTCTAAAACCTACGTCACACCAGACCGCATCTCACGACCTCCAAATAATGATTAGGTAACGGTCACTGAACACCACACATATTTGTCTTAAGGTACCCAGATTCTACTCTCCAATATTACCTCTTAAGGGATTGTTAATGGTTGGTTCGCACAACAAAGGTCTTATTCGGAATTCTAGGCATTTTAAACTTAGAGAACATAACCGAATGGACCTCTTATTTCGAAACATTCTTAGCCCATATTTCCAAAGTACATCATAATGTGTGGTGTTTAGTGACCGTTAGCCAATGATATTTGGAGATCGTGAGGTGCGGTCTGGTGTGACGTAGATTTTAGCAGGGCACTCTCAACACGACAGATAAGAATGACACATCTACACGGAAAACAAACACTTTGAGCCCTGAAGATGATATCAATAAAGATCGAAACGTTGGCACGATAAAGAAAATGTTTTTCTAAAACTGCGTCACAACAGACCGCATCTCACGATTTCAAAGAGTACATAATGTGTATCCGTCGGGTTCACCTTTCGACCAAAGATATTCTTTACAAACAGGTTTATCAGAGGCCTGGTCTAGTCTTGAGGAAACCAAATATAATCTAAATCTATCTGTTCTTCGATGGGAGTTCAAAATGAGATGTGAAGTGCTATTGCTAAATGCGGTGGTGTGGCGGCATGATAATTAAACATTGTTGTGATATTTATGCAATTCACGCAGTCCGGAAAATGTATTTCATTTTATGGCGGACTGCACTACCCTAGGTAACACAAGGGTTCAACTACTTGAGTTTCTGATAAGGGAAAACGTTAGGCCCCTTATAAGATATGCCCGACATGCTTGGAAATACAGGTACGAATTGGTGGTAATGGAATTTAATTTTTAATTTTTGAAAAAAAATCGAAGTAACCTTTTTTTCGTCCTATCAGTACCTATTTCATATTAACTATTATTTCATTTTTTATTTTTATTTTATATTCTTTTTTGTAAAAATAACTATTGCAGATGGAATAAAATCCATGCTGTTGAACCGTAGTTATTTTTGTCCAACCTTCTAATTTAATTGAAAAAATAAAGTGTATTCTTTTCTAAATTTGTTTTACAAATAATGTCAAAACTGTTACCGTAAATAGTTTTGGGTCAGGTTAAATTTTTGACCCTTTGTAAAATTCCTCCTGCATCATGATTTTCATCGATTTTCAACTCATCCATTTTTAAAAATCAACAGGTTAAATATTTGTCGGACCTGTAGTTTGAACCTGTAGTTTCGTTGATTTTCGGAAATGATCAAAATCAAGTTAATTTTTTGATAGTGTCGATCTTGATTTTGTGGAACGCCATAATCCATGACGGGTTGGAAATAAATGGCCTTTTCTGCAATAGGCGTTTATTTCATCAGACACGTTTCGGTCTAATATAGACCATCTTCAGTGACATTTTTTATATAAAGTGGTTTGACGGGTTTTTACATTGTAATAAATGCAAAAGTGGATGTCTGGATGACTATGGACTTAGCTATCTGTCAAGAATAGATTATTTTGAATGGATTTTTTTAAAAAGAAAATTTGTTAACAATATTTGGCACGAATTAAATTCACCCTTTGGGGCATCCATAACCCAGATTTTAAAAATAGAGTTAAAAAATCCTTGTGATGGAAAAATTAGCGATAGACTTCAATTCTCCGACCCCTGAAATTAGTAAGAAACTACGCAAATAAAGAAATCAGGTATGTTATTACACAAATAAATTTAAATTTTTAATAAACAATAAAACATCACCACATCGATTCCTACATAATCAATCTTTTTTAAAATAATCATGTTTTTCTTTTAATTTAAGGTTTCTCAGGAACTTAAAAAAATGAAAAAATATAAAGAGCGAAAATGGAATTGAAGATATCGAAACATGGCTCTATTTTTCGTTATTAGGTTTATTGTTTCTTTTCTTTGTAGAAAGCTTGTGCTGGTGGTACACAATACAACATTTTTTTGTATTCATTCAATCTTCATTTCACCTGTTTCATTTAACTTTTATTGTAATTTTTATTGTAATTGTTTCCAAAAAAAAAAAAAAAAAAAAAAAGGAAAATCATTAATTGTAAATATAATTTACCTTTAGTTATATCTATATGGGAATATTGAAAATCGCAGGAGCTGTTTCTTTTTTAAATTCCGCTTACTGTACATTCAGATATACGGAAGAGGCACTGTAGACTGCCATAAGAATCACATGAATTAATAACACATGCTTTATTGTATAATACAAATTAATATAAATTGTTGCATTTCAAATATTTATTTGTTACAAAAAATCGTTTTAAGGGAAATGCTGCAATTGTTATATATAAAATTAATAAATTTTAAATATTTACCTGTTGCGAAAAATCGTAAGGCAACCATAAGACGCTCACGAGCAGAATTGCTTCTCGCATTGCAGTGTCTTGTAAAAATTTTTGGGCCCCACTAATTCTACCAGTAATTCAATTTCAACATTTGAAAATCTGAAAAAAATTCCTAAATTGCTGCCGTCTTCAAGTTCAATTCCCGTGGTACGCCTAAAAGATAACTCCTTTGTATCCTTGGCTTGACCTACTTTTTTTTGTTTTCGAACTCGGGTGAATTTCATCTCCTGTGCAAAGGGCTCTCTGTAATACTGTACGAGTTGGTAATTTTGTAATGTAATAATAAAGAATAAAGAATAACACACGACCGCGGGGTCTATGAGCCGAGAGTGTAATATCACGCTGACACGCTAACCACTCGGATCCCCAAATCAAGTTAAACAATGTTTTTCAAGAATAAAATCGAGACGATTGATTCAAAATTACATTTTATTTCGAGAGTTGTTGCGTTGAACGAAAGACCTGCGAGTTCATTTCGATCGATACACCAATTTACATGAGGATGACGAACGGATAATCCGGCCTCGAGTTCCCCTCCGGCTGAAGGATGCACGACTATAACCAGGGGATTAGTAAATTCGGAAGTTGTGCAAATTAAACGGATACTGCGCTAGCAACGATCGGGTAATTTTTGTATTTTCCCTTTTTACAATGCAATTATTTGAAAAGCTACCACCCAGCGAGGTGAATCATTGTAAAAAAAATTGAAATAACACCGCCAATTGTACGGCAGTGATGGAACTGAACAATTAAAAAGTACATAGTTTCACCGGTCTGTTTTACAGGACCGAATTCGGATCATCATGGTCCGCCTGTCATCGCTAAATTTCTGAACGGTTCTATCATACCGAACAAAACTCCACAATTTAATTCCTCCTATTAGAAAAAACATACAATATACACAATACAAATATTTGACGGTCTCAATTCGCAAAAACTACTTTTTAAATTGATTAATTTTTACTTTATTCAATCCTTTTTTTCTATTTTTCGCGATGGCCGAGTGGTTCGGGCGTTCAACACGTGTTTGCCACGCGGTCCTGGGTTCGAATCCCGGCACAGGACGTGTCTTTTTTTGGGTTGCCACGCTCTTCGCCAACTACTTGGACCCTACTTGTTGAGAAAATTATAAAATAAATATTTTGAAGTGGTTTGACCCCTCGTCCGCGACAGGCAACGGATAGGTGGACTTAAGCTTAAGTTAAGCCCTCCTGTAACACTGAGATTATTTTCATATAATTTACTTACAACCGTCTCTTTTCTAAGATCTGCTAAATGGAATTTTTTATCCTTGATTGCGAAAGAACAATAGGAAATTTGACAAGTATGGTGAAACGCCGTTAAATATAATTGAAATCAAATGTAGAGATCGACGGACATGGGCTTGATTCGATTTGAAATGAGTTCTACGGCTTTACAACTTGAGAATAGATTTGAGTTAAAATGAAATGAGCTCTTCTGCTTTTTGTCAGGTTGAGGATGAAATTGAGCTGATATGAAAGTAGTGTTTCTGCTTTTTGACCCATTAATAATAGGCCTGAGTCAATATAAAATGAGCTTTTGTCCCGTTGAGAATGAACGTAAGTCAATACGAATTGAATCGTTCTCTTTTTTCACTCGTTGGGAATGAACTGTTTTGATTATGAAATGACCTTTTTATCCAGTTGAGAATGAACATAAGTCGATAAAATGAGGCCTGCTTTGTCTCCTTGAGAAAGGATTTGATTCGATTTGAAAAGAGTCCTACTTCTTGACAAGTTGAGAATGGATTTGAGTTAAAAAGAAATTGGCCCCCTCTGTTTTTCGCCCCTTAGAGGATGAATTTAAGTTGATATAAAAAGAGTTTTTCTGCTATTTGACCTGCTGAGAATGAATTTAAGCCAATATGAAATAATTTGTTCTGCTTTTTTTACTATGAGTTGATACGAAATGAGACGTTCTGCTTTTTGTCTTGTTGAGACAGAACTTGAGGCAATGTGAAACGAGCTTTTTCTCGTTGAGAAAGGACTTGATCCGATTTGGAATGAGTCCTGCTTCTTGACCTTCTTCACAAGTTGAGAATGGATTTGAGTTAAAAATGAAATGATCCCTTCTGTTTTTTGACCAGTTGAGAATGGACTTAAGTCGATATAAAAAGAGTTTTTCTGCTTTTTGATCCGTTGAGAAGAACTTGAGACAATCCGAAATGAGCTTTTGTCCCGTTGATAATGAACTTAAGCCAATATTAAATTAATTTGTTTCAATTAATTAATCTTTATGTAAGGTATTGGTTGAAATGAAAAAGTTAGTGTCGCGAGCGGGATTCGAACCCACGACCTTCGGCTGGGGGGTTGGTTCCAATCCCGCTCGCGACAGTAACTTTTTCATTTCAACAAATACCTTACGTAAAATAATTAATTAATTGAAAGTAGTTATTTGGTCAATCGGACTACGAAATATAATGGATTAAATTAATTGTTTTGTTTTTTACACGTTGGGAATGAGCATGGGACGGTATGAAATGAGACCTGCATTTGGCTCGTTGAGAAAGGATTTGATCCGATTTGGAATGAGAAGTTGAGAATAGATTTGAGTTAAAATGAAATGAGCTTTTCTATTTTTTAACCAGTTGAGAATGGACTTAAGTCGATACAAAAAGAGTTTATCTGCTTTTTGACTCGTTGAGAAGAACTTGAGACAATCCGAAATGAGCTTTTGTCCCGTTGATAATGTACTTAAGCCAATATTAAATTGTTTTGCTTTTATACACGTTGGGAATGAGCATGGGTCGATATGAAATTGCTGCTTCTTGACCTTCTTGACAAGTTGAGAATGGATTTGAATAAAAATGAAATGATCCCTTCTGATTTTTGTCCGGTTGAGGATGAAACTGAATCGATGAGAAATGAGTCTTTCTGCTTTTTGTCCCGTTGGGAATGGACCTGAACCTGAGTCGATACGCTTTTGTTAGCACATTTCTGCCTCAATTTGATCCAGTTACACGACATGTACTATTTATTGAAATCTTTTAACATTATACCACTAATATATTTTAAAAAACTCTCAAGGTGACTATTATTACTGAAATTGTTGTTTGATTATTAAACGTTTTATTTTTAAAATTGAAAATTAAAGCCATATTATTAACAATTTCCGAGGAAATTGTCTTGATAAAATGAGTGGAAACATAAAGTTAACGCCATTTTATTGTTATTAAACATTTTAAGCTTTCACTATTCGGTAATTAGCAGTTCCGCCTGATAATAGATTATTTCATGGTTTCAAATTGAAGCAGGATATAACAAAAAATAAATTATTTTTACCCTTTCTTATCCGAAGAAAGCCGTAATTAATTTTATGACGATGGGCGAACCACATGTCGGTTACGGTCGAAGCAGGTCGAAAATCTCCGAACCTCGAGGGCAGCCTTTGATCCGGCAGATAAAGGCGAAGCGACCCCGAGAGAATTGGTAGATTCGATCACAGGTCCAAAGGGACAAAGAAAATCTTGATTTTCTCCTTTTACCCTTGGTGAGAGGTGTTTTATTGACGTGCGTTTTGTTACATTTCCCTCTTCCAGGCGTAGACACCATGGCCGAACCGGCTAGCAATCTTCTGGTCCTTTCAAACCGGCTACCATTCGTCCTCAAGTTCAACAAGGACGGCAAATTGGAGAGAAATTCGAGGTACGTACGTTTTTGAAATAACTTTTAACCACTGGTTCTACATAAATTTTTTAGCTTTTTTCACCGTCAAAGAATTTTTTGCAAAAAGTTGTTTTAACAAACCTGCCGAATTTTCTGAATATTTAATCTTTTTTGATCCACGATCTTAAAGAATGCAAAGATTAAACATTTTTCTATTGTTAATTTTGAAGTCAAGGTATTTTCCTGTGCTTTAATACTTGATCTGGTAAAGTTCGCGGAACAAGCGAACTTTTTACTGCGATTTATTATTTTAACTGAGTGTTTTCGTAAAGGTCCCTGTCGATAAGAGTAGGGTGAATGTTTGTTTATCATCTCCGAGTTCCATACAGATTAATTTTTGGGTTATCGCTGTGGAAAATCAGCATTATCTGTCTGAACCTGTGGTCTCATACTGATCCTTGGTCGCAGCTTTATTTTTTAATGTAGAGTTTATTTTAACCAATTTTGTCCTTCTTTTTTCATGACCATTAATAAATTATTAGACCATGGCAGATTGCTTTTCAAAAATTTTGGAATACCAAGGTACAAACTATTTCCAGAAAGGTCTTGACTCTTCGATGATGAGGGCTTTTCTACATTTCCGCCTTAATTTAATCCTTTTCGAAAACTTAATTTAGTAAATTAAACTATTTTTAGTTTAGTTTATTGTCAACAGTTTTAACTGTCAGCAATGGTTACCATAAACCATAATGGTAGAAAGTTAAGGGCTTATTGGGTAGACTTCATTTCACATAGGATAATTTGTTTGAACAACTAAGTCAATAGGAACCCCATTCCCGAAATCTCATACCTAGAAATTTGTAGTCGGAAAAGATAAAATACATCTCGCTAGATAGTTTATGAACTATAATCGTAATAAATTCACTAGTTTTCGTGGTCCGCGTGACCAATTAATATCTTTAATCTAATTAAGGTTTTTAGTTGAGATAAAAAGGTCAGTGTCACGAGCGGGATTCGAACACACGACTTTCGGCTAGATACGCTGGTACTCCACCACTTGAGCTATCGTGACTTCGATCCACTCGGACACCAACTTCCATCTCAACCGTACCTTTTTGAATTTTCCCTCCTTTTTGCCACTTTTCAAATGTCGCGTAATCTATTTGATTCTGAAGTCACGATAGCTCAAGTGGTGGATTACCAGCGTATCTAGCCGAAAGTCGTGGGTTCGAATCCTGCTCGTGACACTGACTTTTTTATCTCAACTAAAACCTTAATTAATTGAAAGATATAAATCTAATACAAAAGAAATCTTTACTAATTCGTCTCTTTTCAATTATCTAAACATTAATCATAACAATAGTACACAGCGTGAGATGGAAAAAAGTCAAAGGGCAAAACAAGAAGAGACATCAAAAATTAAACAAGGCATATAACCATAGCTCGTAAAATACTTAACTAGGAGGAACAAATGAGCAGAGTAAAAGACGATAGTTGAACTAAAAAAAATCAACAAAATGAAAACCATACTTTGGAAGGAGAAGAAGAGGCTAACACAAGGAATAAATCACCATACAGGAATTTGGCCGTATTTGGCCTAGAAAGTAAGTCTGGGTAAAAAATAATTTGCTTTTTAATTTAGCAATTAGTACTGCAAACAGAAGAGGCCAATAAAAGGCTTATAGCTCAATTGTTTTGTAAAACTGAACCTAAACTGGGCCCATTCTTGCCGTTTTTCGTTTCAATCATACGGTTTCGGTTCACGCCATCTTCAATGATCACTTCAAAATGTGCTCATCGACTCACAGCCCGACTAACATACCAAATTCTATTATTTTTGGCGATAAATCACTGTACGAATCAACATGATCTAGTGATATAGGGGATTTTCTACTGTTGATTTTGCATTTCTTTATAAAAATTCTGCAAAAATTTAAATAGTCGTAGCATGTACAACGTGTATATTGACACCTTGAAACCGCAATTACCGATCAATTGGTTAACCTCATTTTCTATTTAGGGATATAAGCAGGGAGAGGTAGCCTCATAGATCCTGAAACGACGAGTCAAAAATTAATCCGGACCCAGAACTATTTATAAGTAACAGCTAACAATTTTCGTAAAATAAACATGAACATTATGTTGTTGCATGTAGTTTGCAAACATTTTGGTCTGATTATCGTACCAGTTTTGATCTGTCAGACACGTTTCTGCCTCTCACCATATTCATTGTCAGCCATTAAGGATATAAGCAGGGACAGGCAGGCGATCAGACAAGCACTGAATTGGTTTTCCAATGAGAATCATTTATCCATCGGCCTATTTAAAGCTGTTACGAGGAGCTATTTGATTTAAAGGGCCATTTTTCTCTTTCTGATACTTTTCTACCTTCTTAAATTGAATTACAGCGCAGGAGGTTTGGTGACAGCGGTAGCTCCAGTCGTGATTGAGAATGATGGAATTTGGGTTGGATGGCCTGGTGCGTTGTACACTGAAGGTTCTTCCATTCCTGAATCGAATCCTGACGACAAATCTCCCTCGGCTCAGCTCAAGAGCAAAAATGTTAGTTATAAATCTATTTTATAAAACTAGTTATAGATCAAAATCACAACTTAATTTTGAACTTTGCGACTTTTAGATAATCCCAGTTGCATTGGCTCCCTCGATGTACCAGAGCTACTACAACGGATGCTGTAACGAAACCTTCTGGCCACTCTTCCATTCCATGCCAGACCGAGCTACGTTTGCAGTTGACTACTGGAAGGTAGAAAAAAACAAAGCAAAAAAACCAAACCAAAAAACATAGTGTTATGCCTATGGATAATGAATTTTAACTAAACGTATATTTCCAGTCCTATTCCAAAGCCAATAAGATATTTGCAGAGAAAACATTCGAAGGTTTACAGAGACTGAGTGGAAACAACGGTGACCCCCTGATCTGGGTGCATGACTATCATCTGATGCTAGCACCTCTTTTTATAAGAAAAGTAAGTAAATACGTTTAAGTTTAGATTACTTATGCTGCTACATACATAATATTATGCATATTTGCAGTGTATGCTCTATATACTACTACCCCAGCAGTTGTTCCATATACACTGCCTATATGTGATTGTTTTAAATTTCTTGCAAATTGTTAAATTAATGGTTAAAATTAAATAATACTACAAATATTGTAGTTTTGTATCTATGTAGAGGATAGGGGACAGGGTGGTCAGAAGAGCTCAATCCGAGTAGATCTATTGTGCTCCTCTATTTTTATAACTCAATGGCAAGCTTTAGGTTGTTAATCAACCCCATAGCCATGCCAGGAGGTCCTTAGTGTAGAACCTTTCTTGTGGCTTTTCCTCTCTCTGCAGGAATCTACATCAACATAAACCCTCACAGAAACATAAAAATGTGTTCTGCGATCTTCTTTTCTTCCTGTATCTGCACATTGTCCATTCTGTCTATACTCTGAACTGTTGTATGTGCCTGATGATCCGTAGGCAACAGTGCCCTGTCAGGGTTTCACCCAGAATTCTGGTCCTGTTGCAGTAACTCTCTGCCAATTCCATTGTAAGTCTTATGGATGGCCCTTCTATGAAGCTGTTTGTGTGCCTCAAGCCTAGGGTATGCTCTACCGTTGTTCCATTTCTAAAAATAATATGCAGAGACCTACATTATTCTAAGTTTTTGATTCATGGGTTGGATATTTTTTCTCCGCAATCAACAGGTTTTTGGTACTCAATATTTATTTCACTGTTTATTCCTTAGAACTTGTCATTGTAGCTCATGTGTGTTATATTTTGTAAGAATTAGTTTTTTAATGTGTTCTTTATTAGTTAATTAATACTTTTCTTCAGCAAGCGAAGTTGAAGGAAATTCATTTTAAACTGGCATTCTTTTTACACATCCCATTCCCACCTTGGGATATCTTCAGGTTGTTCCCTTGGTCGGATAAGATTCTTCAAGGCATCTTATGTAAGAATTAAAAAAAATAAAATAAATAAATAAAATTAAAAAAAAGTATTTGAGAGTGAAAGTAACTGAATTTTTTGTAGCATGCGATCTTGTTGGATTCCACACCTATGATTATTCAATCAATTTTATTGACTGCTGTAACCGACGACTGGGTTGCAGAATTGACCGGTCCGAAATGCTGGTAGAGCATGGCGGTCGGTCGGTGAAGGTATGTCCTCTTCCGATTGGAATTCCGTTTGAACGCTTTTCTAGCTTGGCAGAAAAGGCACCAAAACTGTCGAACCGAACGATCATACTCGGCGTCGACAGGCTTGATTACACCAAAGGGCTACCCCAACGGTTGAAAGCCTTTGAAATGCTTTTGGCCAACTATCCTGAACACATTGAAAAGGTATACTGAGAACGCATGTTGCTTGTCAAAATTTAATTCAGATTATAGGTAGAAATGCTGCAAATAGCAGTACCCTCGAGGACTGATGTGAAAGAATATCAAGACTTGAAATTAGAAATGGACCAGCTTGTCGGACGAATCAATGGAAGATTTACAACTCCTAACTGGTCCCCTATAAGATATATCTATGATACTGTATCTCAAGATATACTGGCTGGATTTTACAGGGATGCTGCTGTAGCTTTTATTACACCTCTTCGTGATGGTAAGATTAGAAGGAATGAGCATATAATTAAGTTTGTTAACTGAAGAATTTGATTTTAGGTATGAATCTAGTAGCCAAAGAATATGTGGCTTGTCAAGTGAACTCTCCTCCAGGAGTGCTCATTATATCACCATTTGCCGGAGCAGGAGAGTCCATGAATGAAGCAATAATCTGCAACCCCTATGAACTGAAAGCGGCATCGGAAGCTCTCCACCGGTAAAGAGCAAATAGGAAACAAATTTTTTAAATGATTGCCGATTTATTCTTTAGCGCCCTCACCATGCCTGAGGATGAGAGGATTCTTCGAATGAATTATCTAAGAAAAAGGGAGCAGAAAAGAGATGTGAAGTACTGGCTCAACAAATTTATGGATGAAATGGAACAACTGAATGAGGGAAATGGCAAGCTTAGTAGGGTCATACAACCTATTACTCTAGAAGAATTTGATAAATATTTTGCTAAGTAAATAATATTTTTTTTTTACTTGTCAGAAACATAAAATCAATAAAACTTAATTTATAGGGAGGACTTCCAGAATAAAAAGTTGGCTCTGCTTCTTGATTATGATGGAACACTTGCTCCTATATCACCACATCCGGATCTTGCAATTTTGCCAGAACCTACCAAGCAACTTTTACAAAAGTTGGCAAACCATCCTGATATCCATATTTCCATCATCTCAGGTAGGAAGATTGACAATTTGAAAATGATGGTTGGAATTGAGAATATTACTTATGCTGGCTCACATGGCCTCGATATCATCCATCCTGATGGAACCAAATTTACACACCCCATGCCCGCTGAGTATGAAAATAAGGCAAAGAGCTTACTGAAACACCTTCAGGATCAGGTAGTCCTTATATTTTTTTATAACTAATTTCTTTATTCCATTAATGTTTTAATTTAATTAATTGAAAGGTCTGCAAAGATGGCGCGTGGGTTGAAAATAAAGGCGTTTACCTCACGTTCCACTATAGAAATACACCGATAGATGCCCAACCTGAGCTTCTCTCCAAAGCACAAGACCTAATTGAAAAAGAAGGATTTGTCGTTAGCCATGCGCATTCTGCAATTGAAGCGAAGCCTCCTATCAACTGGAACAAAGGCCGTGCGGCCATTTACATCCTCAGGACTGCCTTTGGCCTAGACTGGAGCGAACGGATCAGCATCATCTTTGCAGGTGATGATGTAACAGATGAAGATGCTATCCAGGTAACAATTTATATTCTATCATAACTTTAAATCTTACTGTGCATAGAATATACCGTTGTATATATTTTTCACATTATTTTTTGCTTTTTGCTTTTTAAACAATAATTTAAGATTTTCAGTGGTAGGTTTATAAATTGACAGCTGATATTGGTTCTATCAAAACTATATCTTTTTCTCATTGACCTGTGCTTGTGTAGGTCTATGTGTTTTTACTGTAAGAGCACTGTTGATGCTATGTCCCCTTCTTCTCACTTTCTTCCAGCTCCATTCTTTCGGCCGTTGTTTTTTTATTTTTTTAATATATCTTTTTTAATTTAACAGTTTTGATATGTCAGTAATCAAGATTAAGTTTTTTCATTCAAAAACAGCTTGGAGACAAACATTGTGGTCCTCCGGGCCGGATGAACCAGCACCCTAGGGATTAGGTAGTTCGGTGGACTGTGAACAACATGTTTCCCTTTCAGTTCAAAACTATTATTTTTCTTTTTGTAATTTCATTGGCTTTGTAAATGTATTACAGTAATAACACATATTATTTATTATCATTATCCACTATAATTATGAAATTTTTAGTTTGAGTATAGTTTCCTTAACCATAAATTCATATTGCCATGAAGGTATTTTTCAGTCTGACTAGAATCATAAAAAAAATTAAAACAGGAACTATCATAGTAGAATCTTAGGTGATGTGATGTGGATCATGGTTGGATCAGCAAGTTACCTTTATCTTTTTTATAGTGATAAAATAGTACATTAGTTTGCACATTTTTTTAAGGGAGTTTTGTTCTGAAGTTTGTTTTGTTTTGTAACAGGTGCTAAAAGGAATGGCTTATACGTTCCGAGTGACAAATGACTTGCAGGTCAAGACTGATGCAGATGTACGCCTGTCATCTATCGACAGCATCTATACGCTCTTGTGCTGGGTGGAACGCCGATTTGTCCTTTCTTCAGAAAAAAAAGAAATCTCCTCTTCCCCGGCCAAGAAACCACTGGTTGAAAAGTAAAACGCTAAATTCCAAAGACTGAGAAGAGATCCGTTTATTTTTCGACTCCAATTTATTGAGAAATTCAATAGCATATCATTCCATAAAAAAAATGTAAAAGGTTTGTAAAGTAAATTTAAATGATTTCAGTATTTTTTTTTAATATATACAAGTCAATTGTTGCCCTGTAATAGTAAATATATTTTGGAATATTTGTTTATTTTATATGGAATCCATTTCGTGGAATAGGTGTTACTAAAGAGACCGTTAGATAAAAACACCTGAAAGTTAGAAGTTAATAGCCTGTGACAGTCTTTGTCAACTGAGATTAATCACGCCGCAATGGAACTTGAAATACAACACTTTATGCACTGGATCAATTTCATATACATATAAGAAAATCTATTCTTTTATATAGAGTTAATTTTCAGAAGAATTAATAAAAGATATTTATATTTCAAGTTTTTGCTTGTTTTGGACAACTCGGTACAAAAAATAATTCTATATATTTCTTAAATAAATAACATAATTTTATTTGCTTATTAATACATTGCTTCTTTCTTTAGGAGACAAATTTACAATAGTTTCGATTCTAGGCCAAATTAAAGACCTCATTGAAATAAAAATACTACATTTTTAATGATATTTTTGTTTGTTTAAATATCTAATATTTAAAAATGTTAATTAACTTTTTTGATTTTCATTGATTTAATAATTTTAAACTTAAAATTGCGCATAAGGTCCACCTTATCTTATCGGTTATCACATAAATTTTATTTTACAGTTTTTTTTCACATCTTTCTCTGTGCAATCCAAATTCCCACCTTTTGGAATAAGGCGTCTTGAACAGGACTTCAATCTAGCACAAAGACATAAATTTCCCATTAATAATGGGCAAGATAACTAATGCGGGAAATAAGTATTTCAAAGTTAGCCTAAGTTAACATTTTAAATAAAAACAATGGGGTGCTTAGGTTGAGAGATGACAATATGACTGTACATTAAAAAAAAATCTGATTTGATCTGTACAGTAAAAATTGTAATTTGAAATTAAAGAAATGGGCTAAATAAAAAAAGTGAATTTTAGATTTGAGTTCTTACTCAAAAAAAGAAAACAAAAGAAAGTTTTTTCAAAGAAACAAAACTATTTAAACTTTATAACTAGAGCATGGAAATCTTGTGAGGTGTATTGGTCAAGGACTAAAGTAACAAAGGATTGATCATTAATGATAAAATGACTGACATGATTTGCCTCCGTTTTCGGTATCTTTTGTTTTCAACAATCCCACAAATTATGCTGAATAATATTTGATTTGGTGATATGGTACAAACACCGTTAGAATCTGCTGGATAATTACCCAAAATTACGATTAATTAAGGTTTTTAGTTGAGATAAAAAAGTCAATGGCACGAGCGGGATTCGAACCCACGATCTTCGGCTAGATACGCCGCTGCTCTACCATTTGAGCTATCATGACCTCCATCCACTCGGACACTAACTTCCCATCTCAACCCCACCTTTTGAGTTTTCCCTCCTTTTTGCCATTTTTCGAATCCCGCTCGTGCCATTGACTTTTTTATCTCAACTAAAAACCTTAATTAATCGTAATATATTAATTGGTCAAGCGGACCACGAAATTAGTGAATTACCCAAAATATTGAAATGTGCCTTAACAACTGAGTAAATGAATTGCTTTGACACAACACTTTAACCGCGTTATTTACTATGTCTATTGATTATCTGTTCAATTAAAATTAAAAGAAAGACGAGAAAGTTGTAAATTATTAATAGATGAGAAATTGGTACATATTACAACCCGACATTTTGATATTATTGAAAAATCTTTGGTTCTACATTTTTTAATTCACCGCGTTTTCGATAGATATTTACACGATTATGATTATTTTTTTTGTAATTTGTAGTTCAGTACGGTCTCCAGACGGAGGGGTCCCCGTGCTGGCGGTCGTACTGCTGAGGCTGATCGTGTATAACATTGTCCATCGATCGGTTGCCCAGGCTGATGGTGACGTTATTGGGTGAGACGATGGTCGTCACGTCCTCCGGGTACTGTTCAGCCGGCTTGTAGTCGCCGACGTTGTGAACATGGAGGTGGATTTGGTTTTGGTTGACCGTCGAGTAGAGCGAGGGGTAAAGCACCATTGAAGGGGTGTAGTGCTGGCTCGGGGGTGGCTGCCCACTGGGGTAGTAGTTGTAGTTCCCGCCGCTCCAGTAGCCTCCTGGGTCGTAATTATGACAATCTTCCAATTCGCCAGTCGCCTTGTATCCACCGTAATCTATCGTGTCCATCACATCTACAATAAAAAAAAAGAACAATACTTTTAAAAACAACTACATTTTCTAAATTTATATATATTAAAATGTATACTTTTATACAATGTAATACTTCAGTGAATTACAAATTTATAAATTTAGATTAATTTTGCATCATATTTTCAGTGTTGCAAATCATATTTTTTTATATAGAAATTGTTAAATTACTTTAGGGATCAGTTATTTTTTTTTTGGTAAACCGAGAATGATGTGAAATTACTTACTGTTCGGGGGTTGGTAAGGTGAAGTTTCCGGGATTGTATCGATAGCACCCATCCCATATCCTGGGGCATTGTATCCGCACGAAGGGGTGTAACCGCTCAAGCAGTTATCGTTCATGTTTGCAGTCTCTGAAACAGAAATCTTCCTTATTTTTTCTGCGGAAGCAATGCTTGACATTATTTACAAGAGAAAAAAAATTGACCGCTTGGTCATTTCTACTCGTAGTTGGTAAAGATCTAGGTCGTTGCAGAGGTTTTTGTACGTGAAACCGTTATTAAATTTAGTCAAATATTGTTGATTCGCTTGATAGGAAAAACGGGTTAAATGTAAAAGGGGGTTGCATGGTAAGATGGAATAGTTTTAAGCTATATACATTTCACTGCTGAGAATACCAGTTCGATCAGGTCGATAATTCTGAATTACTCGAGAACAGATTCCTGATTATCTGACAAAATTGGATTTTGTTTAAAAAGATAGCGTTAATTACCATCATTGTAAACTTGATTTAGATTTAAATTATTAGGATGATCTTAGGATCCAAAATTAGATCTCAAGATGTCAGAGTAGCGAACCACAAGTGACAAATCGGACATCTGCGGAAATTTAGAAACCGTGTTTATCAAGGAAAAATTGCTTAAGATTTAAGATTAATGGAACTATGGAATTTGAAATAAATGACGCAAAGGTGAACTTTTGTATCTCCCTGCTTATATCCCCGACTTCTCTTCATTCGACTACGTTATTTTTCAACCTCCGGGACTATAAAAACTCTAAAGTTGTTTAATTAAAATTAAAGTTTTTTTATCTCGAAATTGTATGATACCGCCTGGAAAATTTAAGCATAGACTGAAAAATGTTTGAGTGGGTGGACAATGTATACTTTTTGAAAGAAGAAAATGTAATTAATTGTTTAAATTGTTTTTAAACTAACTGGATTTAGCGGAATATCACTGGTTAAAGTTGGTGTGCTGCTTGGTGCATTAGTGGATGAACGCTGGAATTGATCTGGGTCCGCCTATTCTCGCTCAGACGCGTTTCTAATCAATACCATCTTCAGTTGAAACAGTTTAGATCAGTTGACATTATTTAGTTTGGAATAAGTAGTTAAAAATAGTTGAGTCGTTTCCAATCATGATCTGCCTCATCGCTTCCTCTCAGGCACGTTTTGGCTTCTCCTCAGCTTCAGTGTTGGTTTTGCCCTCTAGTCTTACATTTTGCCTTATTACTACAAACAATTAAGGCTTGTCTACATTTAGATACGAGTTTGTAGACGCATAGTTTGCTTATAGATTACCTGAGAGGCAAAAAAATGTAGCCAGCCTCTTTTTTTACTAAATACTTGCAAATTTTTATTTTTTGTTGTTTACTGGATATTTTTAAAGAAAAATGGTCCTATGGAAACATTGAAGAAAATATTAAGTTTTTCCGTAATCAGTATTTCTTCCTCATGATTTGATCACCGTTTGTTTTCGACGTGGTATCGATTTTATGAGGTTTTGAATGTAGTGCTGTGGGATGTTTTCATACTATTCCAACAGCGCCATTTTTATTTACTGCAAATGCTCTGACATCACTGTGCTACTTTTTGTCCTCTTTGACAACTGGTCTCAAAGGTAGTTCGATAGGGTTTTTAGTAGGAACTACATGCTGGCTACGCCAAACATTGAGTTGAAGCCTGTTCCAAGTAGACACCAACGATCCTAGCTAATGGGGTTTGAAAAATAAGGCATATAAGGAACAACTTCTGATAACACAACTTCATTGTATCGCGGAGCTGTTACGGAATTCTCGATAAAGATCAAGCGACCTTCCGAAGAAATGCCTGCCCAAACCATAACAACACCACCTCCATAGCTTCTCCGGAAAACGTTGAGGGATATATCGCTCTCCTGTTCTTCTCTAAACCCTCTCTCAGCCGTCATAAGACCTCAAACAAAACCTTGACTCGTACGAAAACATATTTAGTCCAATCTTGCTCAGACCAATTGATATGATTTCTTGCGAAACTTAACCGAGATAATCTGAAACTTGACAGAGATTTTGGACCAGTGGGAAGCCTTCTCGCATGGAATCCAGCTTCTGAAAGTCTTGGCCTTACAATGCGTGAACTGACAATCATATTTCTAACTTGTTCACGTGGCTGCTCGATCTCAACAGAGGTAGAATGCCGATTAAGGAGTACATTCGAAACAATAAAACGATCATCTATCTGAGATGTGACACGATGATGACCTGATCCATGCCTTCTTGAGGTGACCGGAAGACCGTTCGGACAGTTGTTCTGGGAATGTTAACCACCCTGGTCATATACGTTTAACTTCTTCCCTAACCATCCCTAACCATCTTCCAACAATGTTACGATTCTAGCCGAATTTATATCAGTTAAAATCATCACTAAAACAAATTTGAAACTTAAAAATGGTGCAGCATAAAAAAATCAAACCACCGGAACGTTGCTTCACAGAAAAGCCAACAGAGAAGACGTTTACTATTCAATAATTTATTTACAACTCCAAAGTGGGAGATTTTACCTGTGTTTTTATCGTAATTTAAATTTGAACAGGCTTTTTTTTGTTGGACCGGCATACGGGCACTACTGGGTCTGTCTTCACTCGCGGGTTTTTTTGTTTGAGTTATTCAAACGCGTTTCGGCATTGCGCCATCTTTTTTTCCAGTTTTTCACTGAAGAAGGCGCAATGCCGAAACGCGTTTGAATAACTCAAACAAAAAACCAGCGAGTGAAGAAAGACCCAGTAGTGCCCGTGTGCCGGTTCAACATGAGTTCACCAACTCGCAGACCAAACCCCATTCATCTACTATAAACGCAAAATATGCGCAGTATAAAAGTTGAAGTGAACTGTGAACTGGGAAATTCATATGTTTCAAGTTACGTTTCAACCTGCAAGGAATGACTCATTATTTGAACGACAAAGTTTCAAGAATTTGAACCGGTCAAACTTTAGCTGATGAACATTTTAAAGGCGCGTTCTCACGATTCAACTTTTGTTGTAGTACTTTGGTAAACTTTACTACTTTTAGTATTAAAGTTGAACAGCAAAACATGAATGGTGAGAACACAGAACAGACCCATTTAAGTGATAATTGCTGATCAGTTCAACATTCCTATGTTGCTTGAGGCGGTATTACTCTTTATTTTTACCTTCTAGTTCTTACTAATCTTATCATTTTATACTTTTCTTCCTATTTCTCTACCCTGGTGGAAATTTCGCTCGCCGTGTAAAACTGAATAGAAAATCAAGAAGTTACTTTTTGACCTTTCAAAAGGCTAAATGTACAGGTTAAAGTGAAAACAGGCATACGTTGAATATATAAGACGCAGTTGTACAACTCGCTCTTTTAAAAAACAATACAAACGAGATTGAAAAATGTTTTCGATGCAAGAAGAAATCGTCTAGTTTAACGGGAGCCGATGTGAAGAAGTCGAAGTAATAACCTGTGATACGAGCATCCGGTGAGTAGCTGGATGAATGAGCCTCCAAGGAGCACGTAGCTGACCACAATCACAGCCCGATCCCCATTCATGCTTACCTTCCATTCCGTCGGCCATTCCATTGCAATTATCAAATTATATAAATTAGTCTCCTATCTTTGGGGATGGGGGAGAAAAAGTCCCGGTAACGCCCTTAAAGCGGATGGGAATGGAAATTCCTTCGTCTCATTTCCAACGGTAGCCAGGAGGAAGAGCCTTCCATTATTTCGTAAAGACGGTAATTTCGTGAGATTTAAGCCCAGGATAAACAAACCAAAAGCAATTTTGGTGCCCTTTGCATATTCAATTTTCAATTAAACCACAGCTCATAACGTAGTGTAAAAGAACCGAAAAGATGAAATATCAAGGAATACCGAAATCTAAAAGTGACTTTTCCTTATAAGTCGAAAATAGACATCCTTTCTTGAGAAATGTCATCGCTGTATTACAATTTTACATGTGATCATATTAAGGGGAACGATTGACCCCTGCTATTTATTTAGGTGGCATATATTTTCATATTGTATTTTTTCTAGAATTGTCAAAAAAAAAAAAAAAAAAAAAATTGGTACTGGTTTGTGTTGATTCTGTGACCAGCAATTCAATGTGCGTTCTAATAGAGCGAACCTTTTTTTCTAATAAAATATTTGTTACCAACTGTATAAAGTAATACATTATCTAATTTTATGGAATATCATACATATTTACAATACACTATGTCATAAGGGGAGTTAGCAACCATTGTTGTTCTTCCAATTTTGCGCAAAGGGTAGTTTTTGGAGAGCAGGTCCCGGACCCATCACCGCTTTAGACATCTGACAGGATTATATGGATGGATTATATTGTACATGGATTGAACTAGTGTGTTGGGATATGGAAATATTATTTTGAAACAGAATATTTGATGGGGATTGAAAAGGACTTTGGATTAGAAGGGCCGAATTCGTTGGATATTGGTAGGTTTTGCTGTGTCCCATAGTTCTAACCCATATGTCCAAATTGTGTTTTGTAGAGTGTCAGTTTGTTTATTGTCGACATCTTAGATTTCCGTCCAGCAAGTAGTATATAGAGAAGTTTGAAGCGTCTTTCTGTCTTTTTATTTATAAGTGTCGGTTCCAGGTTATGCTTGGGTCAAGATAGAACCCAAGGTAGCGTACGCAATTGAGAGGTAAAAATGTTGGGAGCATTTAATTTCGATAATGTTTATCCTCGAAAGTTTACTCCTTTTGGCGATTGGAGTATGCGTGGAGCTCCTCCTAGTGATTGAAGGTACTCACAGTGTCGTCAACAAAGGTTGCAGGGGAGTAAAGGGTGAAGTTAGGATAGCTGATTAGAGGAGAACAGGAGTGGTCCAAGCACAGCGCCCTGTGGCAACCCCCTCCCACAAGACAGTAGTCGGAGTAGCCTGATCCTTGAACTCGGAAAATTCGTTCTATGAGGTAGACCAAACCTATGTCATAACATGTACGCATCTACTACCATATTTGCAACTATGTAATAAATGGTCAAATAATATATTAAATTGGCCTTGTTAATTACTGTGGCAGATCAAACCTACTGTGCCTTACTGATGCGCTAAGGAATTTCTTGTATGTATTTTGCAAAAGTCGATCTTTCCTACGATCGTACGACCCCCCG